CTTTTTTTTTTTTTGTTATTATTGCGTGCAAATTATTTTTATTTTTAAGTCTTCTTTTTTTAAGTTAATAAATCTACCAAAGTCTTATGGATTATCTTAAACACTAACAGTACAGTGGAAAAGAGTGACCAATAGGGAACATCACAGTAAACGGAGAGATGTTAGAACAAGTAACAAGTTTCTCCTAACTTGGATAAGTAGTAGTAACAGATGATGGCAGAAGTTCAACATAAATCAAAAAGATAATAGGAATGGCTAAAACTGTCATCAATAAAATGCGAAATTGATTGGACGGTGACGGCCGCTTCGTCGGAGTTCAGTCCCCTGGCTGTAGTGCAATTATGGAGTGGACAAGGCACGAAACAAAGTCAGTTCAACATGCTCGTTCCGGGCGAGACATGATCAGCTGTAATGCGCAGTGTACTGTTTGCGCATGTAGCCTCAGGACATCATCAAACCAGCAGCTGCCAGGATGGCACTGGTACTTCCGACAGAAGACGTAGCTCCTGTAAATTGTTGATTCTTTTTCCGGCGACTATAGTGCCACCTCCGAGTGTATACCCCGGGCTAAACCTGATGGCTAGGACTCACGAGCAGCAGCTACCGCAGCTCCTGCAGCTTCCTCCTATGTATTACAGCTGATCATGTCTCGCCCGAAACGAGCATGTTGAGTTGACTTTGTTTCGTGTCTTATCCACTCCGTAATTGCACTGGAGCCAGGGGGACTGAACTCCGACTGAGCGGCCATCGCCGTCCAAGTAGCGAACGTTATTGCAAGGAGAGCCGAATAAGCAACTAAAAAATCAAATTGAGTCTCTGGAAATGTGGATATACAGAAGAATAGATCATATTTCATGGAAACAAAAAAACAATCAAATACGTTCTGCAAAGGACCGGCTACATGATGATAGGCCTGTAGGCTTAAGGGGCTCTGCCATGAAGATTTATTCTAAACAGGGTCCACTTGTCAGGATGGTTATGAACCAGTTTTGAAGACATGTTGCTCCACACCTTCATGCATATAGTGCTAGTCCTGTATTTATATAGACCAATCAGCACTCTGTGGGTGATGATGTGGTCAGTATTATGATGACTACCTTTACTTCCCAGGACTCCTGAAATCCCATTTAAGGCTTGGTCAACCTGAGAGCGGGGATAATTTTTGAAAAAAGTCAGGCTTTCCTGTCAGGTTTGAACTCACGGCCTTAGGTTCCGCAGGCGAGCATCTAGTCACTATACCGTGGCGGGTCCCTGGGAAGCATTGATGTACATACAGTACATTGTTATGGGCATGTAATTGTTTTCAGTGGCTCCCAGTGTCTGGTCTTTCTGCATGCCTATGTGGACACTGACAAACCACTGTTCTTCCATATCCTGATATCTTATGTCCTCATGTCACTTCTGGGGCCCCATTGGGAGAAAAACAATAGACCCGCTGCCTACCCTACAAGCATGTCATAAGAGTCAAATAATTGGGGGCTTTAGTCGAATTCAGAGTGCATCTTCTTCTGCGTTCGACATCAGTCATGCTAAACATTGAGTCCCGTCTGGGTCACAAATAGGATTGTGCGTTTAAGGTCGCCACCGGTCCCCCATAGCTTCTCTTGCAATGTGGCTCCCTTGGGCCAGATCCAGTCTTTGCTGGGAGAGGTTAGGGCAGTACTGTAGTATGTGTTCAGGGGTTTGTCTTTCTGCTCCACAATCACAGGCAGCAGATTCTTTTATGCCTATCCTGTGTGCTCAAAGACCACAGTGTCCAGTCCGAAGTCTAAAAATGGATGTTTGTTCTTTCCTGTTGAGTTTGTTTATGCTGTCACTCTCTGGTCTGTAATCTCCATTCTGCCTTCTCCACTCCCGCTTGAAAGACTGCTTTAGCGCTGTTTTGGTTTCCTTGTAGCTGTGTGGTGGATGAGGTTGTGGAAGATTACTCCCAGCTTTTGCCAACTCATCTGCTCTCTCATTTCCTTGAATACCACAGTGGGCTGGTATCCACTGCAAGACCAGTTCTGCTTCCTTGGAGAGTAAGCCAATGTTGGTCCTTAGATCAGCAATTAGTTTGTCTTGTTTTTTGCTGGATAGTGCTTGGAGAACAGACAATGAGTCACTAAGTATAACAATTTGGTGCCTCCTGTGTTCTTTAGTGATGAGATGTTGGACTGCAGAGAGGAGGGCAGTTGCCTCAGCTCTGAAGTTAGTGCAGATGTCACCTGCTGGTAGAGAGAGAGTTTCTGCTCTACTGCTAGGGGGTTTAATGTAAATTCCACAACCCCCTTTCTGACTGCATCTGTAGCAGAGCCGTCAGTGAAAACCTGAGTCCAAGTGGTGTTTGGATACTTCTCCTCAAGCATAGCAAGAGCCAGGGTTCTCTGTTGTGTCTCCATTTGGGCATCTTTGAAGTGATTCCTGGTACCTTTAGGACTACATTTGCTTTCTCTGGCTTGCTTGTCCATGGTTCTGGCCTAAGTTTTTTGCACAGTGCAACATCTCTTACAAGCAGATCTTGGTATTGTCTGTACAGTTCTCTAGAAAGGTGGTTGGGGCTCTGACGCTTCAGTCTGTTTTTTGTTCTCTCTTGAAATTTAAAATGCAGTGGGTGACTTTGAAGTCTTTTTAATTTCTCATACTGTAAAAGAGTTTTGTATTGTCTTCTGAGTTCGAGTGGTTCAGTATCTGCTATCTTTTCTATTTCTCTGATGGGGGTGGTTTTCATGGCTCCGAGAACAATCCTTAATCCCATATTCTGAACCTTGTCCAGTTTTCCCATTGTTGTCTTGGCTGCTGCAGCCCATGCAGTGGAGGCATATTCCATGACTGGCCTGACTGTTCCAGTATATACTTGTGTTAGGATTCTAGAGTTGGCGCCCTATGTGGTACCTGCTAATTTTTTCATCACTGCAAGCTTCTTGAATGCTTTTCCCTGTACTGCTTCTACATGTGACTTCCAAGTTAGTCGTGAATCAAGTGTAACGCCCAGAAAGGTAGGAGTGTCAGTCTGTGGAATGAGCTGGTTTTTAATCCAAATTTCGATTTTTTCTTTTTTTGGGGAGAGAGAGAAAAGTGATGCTGGGCTTTTCGAATTATTTAGCTTTGGACCCCACTTTTCGGTCCAAGCTTCTACATTTTCCACAGTTTTCTGTAACAGATATGAGGCTGTGGTAGTGTATTCGGAGGCTGTCCAAACTGCAAAGTCATCAGCATGTAGGGTATTAGAAACGTGCTGGTGGCAGGTTGCTGTGATATCATTTATGTAAACCAGGAACAGAGTTGGTGCTATCGCACTGCCCTGGGGAACTCCTTCTCTTAGTTTTGCCAGTTTGCCGATGTGTCCATAAATTCTGAATCTGGCTCTGCATTGGAAAAGAAAGTCTTTGATCCACTTGTACATGTTGTGCACAACTCCTGCCTGTAGCAGTTTTAGTTGTAGGCCTTCTTTCCAAACTATCAAAAGCACGAGAGAGGTCAAAGAAGACAGCAAGAGCTTTATTTTTTTCCTGGAAGGCATTCTCAATTTCCTGTGTCAGATATGTCAACTGGTCCTCTGTATTTCTGTGCTGTCTGTATCCTGTTTGCGTGGTGGTGATTACCGAGTTTGTTTCCAATAACCATATTAGTCTTTTATTTACTAATTTCTCCATCAATTTTCCTACACAACTAAGAAGGCTAATGGGTCTGTAGCTTTTTGGGTCTCTTCTGTCTACACCCTTTTTAAGGATAGGCTGGATGAGGGCTTCCTTCCAGGCTGACGGTACTACCCCTTTTTGCCAGCTCTGGTTGCAAATGCAGAGGAGAAACTTCTTGACAGCAGGTCCAAGATGAGAGAGAAATTCGTTTGTAATGCCGTCAGCCCCTGGAGCTTTCTTCATTTTCAACTCTCCGATTCCAACTTCTAGCTCTTGCATGGTAAACCTTTCTGACATGCAGGCCTCTTTTGTTTTTGTGCTAAAGTCTGCTAGAAGAGTCTTGGTCTGGTTTCGTACTTCTTTTATTCTTTGCATGGGAATATGAACCTCAGTTTCCTTCTGGTGTGTTTCAGCTAGCACATATGCTGCTACCTTGCCAGTAACAAATCCATCGTCTGTTTGGAGTACAACTCTGGCTTTTTCTGTCTTGTCTCCATTCAAGCTTTTTGTGAGATTCCACAGACGTGAAGTGTCCTTCTCGAGGTTAAATGACGCTGTCTTTTTGTGCCAGCTTTCCCGCATCTGATTATTTCTCTCTTTGATGAAGGCTGCTTTTGCGCTGTTATGAAGTATTACAATTTTTATCTGGCGGATCCTTCTCCATATTTTCCCTCCTGATACTAAGTTTGAAATGCAGAGTGTCCAGTTCAGGCAACCAGTAAGGTTTAAAGTTTTTCCTGCTGCCTCGTCGTATGTTACCCTTGGCTGCATTTAGAATAGTTGTGTTAGAGTGCATCTGACTGAGAGGCAAGAAACCAACAGTCTGCATACAAATAAGCCAGATTTGTAAATGTCTCAGGAACTACCATATGCAGTTGATTTTGTTTTCAGAAATGTGACACACTGTCTTCTGGATATCTAAATCTCCAGATGCGTAATTTGATTGGGTTTTTTACCAAGTAATGTTAAATATACTCAATGATGGAAATTACTCATTTTAAAGTATAGTTAATTTTTCTTGAGAGTTTTTAACCCGTCCCCACCCCGGCTAATTACATATATTTCCTCTAAAGTCAAGAGGCATCTGCCTGAGACATGTGAAACTACAAATCTGCCTACAGAGAAACCAGATCTGTAAAACAGATGTGCACGTTAAAATCAAGCTCTAGAAGAAGAGCAAAGTCAAGAAGTGGACAAACACCCAGAACTTTTCTGCCAGAGTTTACAGCTTATTAATGCACAGAAGAAGAACATATTCGAAAGGATCAGAAGCCTGATCTTTCCACAATGCTTCATTTCAGAGCAAATGTCCTCCTGTCTTGATTTCTTCAAAGAGAAAACAACCAGCAGCGGCAGCAGCCCGTATCAACCAACATCACCATGATCTCAGACACCAACATTGGCGACTATGAAATCATCAAGGGGGCTGTGCTGGGAACTGGTGCCTTTGCTACTGTTTGGAAGGGCCGCTCCAAGAAGGTAGGGTGGATGTCATGAACCTTGCACGTGGGAAGTGTATGAGGGTGTCAGCAATTGTTTGTTGAAGTTCATAAATTGGTTGTTTTTGTACCAGTGTGGATTCCTGAACTGCGTTTTTAGAGAGAAGAACAGGCATGTTGTAAAAGATGACTGCTTGGCATTTTGCTGAATTTTAATGTTTAGGGTCATATTATTTCAAGTATAGTACTGGGCGTATTTCTGTCTGTATTTTTTTAAAGTATTGCTATTCTTTTGTTTTTTTTGGGGAGTGTAATTTCCTTCATATACTGCTATAGTGTGTCTAATTTTGGATACTGTTTTCTACATCACAGCTCTATTCACAGTCAGTTCTACCGGTTAAATTGCTAGCAGTATAAGGTTGAGGCACTTGAGTTTTAGAAAATGACATTGCAATTTGTTGAACTATCACATTTGAATACCTGCTCCTGTTAAGGAACACATGCTCAACCAAAATTACTCTTCCTTCGATAGTTAACACCATTATAGCAAAAATCAGTTACTAAAACACCAGTATATAGCAGTGATATTATAAACTAACGGTTACATGGTGCCTGAAGCATCATGTAGTACACACATTTAATTATGGTGAACAAATAATTGCTGGGAAAAAAAAATCTGCAGTCATTACACATACACCCTTTTTTTATATTTATTTGCCAACTACCACATTCATATAAATAATAATTATTATAATAATAATGGAGCCCTCCTCTTAAAACAATAATTGTAAGGCAGGGGAGGGGCACAGACCTTTCCCCCATAATTTGTAGGGAGCAAGGGCTCCCACAAAATCTAGCTGTTCTGTTTAAGCATTTGTTTATACATTTTACAGTCTGTCAAATATATTATTTTTTATTTGCCATTCAGTTTAAGAACATATAATTAATAATTATTATTATTGCATAATAACACTAACCTTTAGCCCCTTAAGGACCCCTCCTATTAATTGTCTAGGGGTGGCAGCCTCTAAGGGTTTGATGTTTATTTAAATGTGCAATAATAATGTATTTTATTACTGTTATTATTGTGCAGTTAAACCAGGCTTGAGCCTGAACCAAGGCACAGAGAAAACATAATGGTGCAGGTGTGTGAGCCCATTAAGTTTTTTTCTGTGTAGGTGCGCCTGACATGCTGAGTGGCCCTGTCTTCTTCTGTGGCATGCTCCCGCCCCCCACTTCATTCTCTAACTCCCTACTTTGTGTGTGTGTGTGTGTACTTGTATCCCCTGTTGGCTTCATTCTCTAACTCCCTACTTTGTGTGTGTGCGCCTTTATCTTCTGTTGGCTGCATTCTCTTAACTCCCTTCTGTGTGTGTGTGCCTTTCTCCCCCTTTGGCTTTGTTCTATAACTCTCTTCTTTGTGTGTGCCTTTATCCCCTGTTGGCTCCACTGCAGTAAGATTATAGTTGTATCACTCTCACGTTTTCACTACGCTGTCACACACCAGCGCCGCTGGACATCAACAGAGCCAAGATTGAGTGTCGTTGAAACTTGTCCAACAGCGGTGTTATTTCCACCCTGATTCGCCAGGTGTGGGTTGTGTAAACAAGCACAGAGGCAATAACGCGCGACATTATTAACCCTGACATTGTGTAGCGGTCAGGGTCGTCGTCGACACACAAAAAACATTCGGGATTCTGCTGGCGTTAGCTCCCCTTACACGGTTTCGGGGGGGGGGGGGGGGGGGGGGGGGCTGCAGGGTCAAATGGCCTGGAGCTGCAGGGTCAAATGGCCTAAGCATTCACTTTAATAATAATAGTGAGCTGAATGTCAGGAAATATAATATTTCTGAAATAATAGGAAACGTATAAATAAATACTCAAATCGAAAACTTATCTGCCTGGGAATGGGGGGGGGGGGGGGGGGGGGGGGGTGTTGCGCTTGTTGCTTAAGGTGATAACAGTTCGTCACTAATTTTCAGGGACAGTCACGTTATTATGTCTAAAGTCCCGGATTTTTTTTAAAGAGCTCATTATACTATCGAATCGTTGTTCCCCAACACATCTAAAGAAAATGGTCATAAATGTTCAGGGAACATTTTGCTCTCCAATGTTTTTTTTTTTTATTTTGTGTTCCCCGAAAACATGGGGAAAAATAGTTACTCATCTTAGCCCCTCCCCTCCCCCAAATCTCTTTCATTTACCCATTCTATGTGGGTCTGCAAGAGCTCCCTTTCGAAACTTCCTGGGGCGGAGGGGGAGGGAGGGAGGGTTGCCTCTTGGTGCCTGAACGATAAAGTTATGTCGCCCCTGATAGTAGTACCAACATTTTTGGCGTCTAAGAGTGGAGGCTAGAGACAGGATAAACCATGTCTCTGTGTTGCATCATGTTTCCTTCTGTACGCTGCTGTTGTGTGTACGCCTGTGCGGAGATTTCATCATGTTTGTATCGGAACACTGCCGCTGTTTCTGGTCTCAGCTCTACCGGCGCAGGCTTTGTACCGTTTCCTTGGCAGGGCTGCCGAAGTTGGCACTTTTGTACAAATTTGGTACTTCATTTTTTTTTTTTTTACCCCTGCCGAGGAAAACTGTACTTTTGGTACTTTCCCCCGATGTTTTGGTGCATTTTGAAATTTGAAATTATGGCCTTGTATTCAAGCTATAAAGTGATTGGGAGTCAACTGGAAAAAAAAGTGGGGGGGGGGGGGGGCGTTGCAGTTGGTGATGCAGAATTTTACATTATTGGGCAAGTACGATTTATTTGTATTTTCAAATGCCAGTGTAAAAGTGTCAGGTCCAGTCAATGGTTCACTATCATGTCTTTGTCGCAGTTTACTATTCCAGCTTATTGGATGTTGGGGCTTTTCTGATTGTTTTTTTTTTCTTCGAAGTACTGTGTCATTTTGTAAATCTGGTATATATATATATATATATATATATATATATATATATATATATATATATATATATATATATATATGTGTGTGTGTGTGTGTGTGTGTGTTTAATGAAGTTAAAAATAGTAAGAAAAAAAATCGTACCATTTCGTGTTTTGGTATCTTTAAAAAGTACTATTTCCAAAACAGTTTCGACAGCCCTATTCCCGGGCATGAGGTGTAGTAGTTATTCTTATTGACTATTGCCAGGCCGAGTTGTTACAGAGTGCATGGCTCTGGTGCGGTTTGTTTATATCACTGTACAGCTCTGTTGGTTTGTTTACATCAACAGCTGCCACTGCCATGGATTGTTCTTGTGCGTGTGTGTACGCCGTCAGCTGTGCCGTTGCCTTCTCTCTTGCCTTGTTACTGGTTGTTATTTCGCATCGTATGTCCCTCTGTGTTATGATAGGGTAAGTGAAGTAAAAGTCCCTTTTCCACTCATTTAGGCGTATAGGGCTAGACCTATATTTTATAGACCAATCGGCACAAGATGGGTGATGTGATCAGCATCACACAGGCCGCCTTTACTTTCCGGGAGTGCACCCGGTACCTGCTCAAGGCTGGGTTGACATGGAAGCCTATGTTAGTCGGCTAATAAGAAAATACCTATTTGGACCTTAACCCACGACCTTGGAGTCGACAAAGACTAGTTGCTACGCCAGTACGCTGGCCTGGGGATCCAAAGATCATGGGTTTAAATCCGAAAGAATCTGGACTTTTTTCTTTTTCAGAAATCACCTTGGCAGCCAGGTCGACCCAACCATAAATGAGTAGGAGATAAAAGTCCTGACCACATCACCTGTAAAATATAGGTCTAGCTATTTGCACAATACGCCCGAAGCCCTTAAAAATGGGGCCCTTTCAATTTGGTGTCATATAACGGGGGAACAGGTTGGCGATTAAACTGCGGTTGTGGTATATGTGTACTCGAAGTAGCAGGAATGTCAACAGTGTACATTCTACTGAAGCTAAGATGCCAGCGTTGGTTGGGACATGTCTCGCACATGGAGGACGGTCGGCCGCGTTCCTAAAGATCTCTAGTATGGTGAGCTGGTAACAGGGATAAGACCTGCAGAAAGGCCAGAAGGAAATATGCAAACGTGACCTGAAAGATGTCAGCATTGACACAGACTGTTGTGAGAGATCAGTTGCAGGCTGACTTCCTTGGAGGTAGACAGGGAAAGACGGACTGTCGTAGTCCGAAAGAGGTCAAACGCAGCAAGCTATAGAGATGAGACGTGAGAGAAAACCAGCTTTGAAGCATCAACATTTTTTATGTGGACTATGAGCCAGAGACTGCCGTTCCCGCAATGGACTTTACATCCATTTCAGACTCTTCTCAAAACCTGCGGCATAACTCCATGGTCCCTATAAAGTGACAGTTGCCGACTACTGAGCATATGACCTATTTGTGCCTTCTAATCTCTAGTTGAAAGCTATGGATCTCTGTTGTCTTAATGACGCTGTCACCGTTACATCTTTCGGCGCCTTATTAATATCCTACCCCAGATGATGTCACAGGACAATCCAACATTATAGAGGGTGGTAAGACTGGTTTCCCGTCTATCTGATGCTTTTAACGACCCCCAAAACATCTCGAACTGGTCTTAACCCCAACCCACCTACGTCTTTCGAGAGAGTGCAGCATAGATCCCACGATTGCATGCAGCCTATCTACCGCCTTCTAAAATATTAGACTATCCTGTGACATGTGGATTTCCCCTGTTTGGGGTAGGATTTTAATAAAGCACCCATCTTTCCAGACGATAGTGTTATTTTCTGCTGTGGGGTGACATGGTAATCACAGGCGATGGCGAGTAGCAAAAAACCTGAGCGGTATTGTAGAAACCACTAGTTGCCCACACATCTTGATGCCTATCTTGGCCTGCCTTCTTTACTCCAGAGGAAAGGTAACACCAGTACCCTTGGAACAAAGCAGGCTGCAGAGGTTGCCGGATCAGAAGAGCAGTGCTGTGTCCGCCTTAGGGAGCTTCCTTCATAGACCAGCTGCCAGCCAACCAAGGTTGAGGATGTCGTAAAGATATGAAATGTTGAATGTTCAGATTGAGAATCGACATCGTAGCACACGTGACACTACCCCATTGTCAGCAGCAAGCGAAGAATTCTGATTCCCATGGCACCAATAACTTTCTGATTGCGAATTCGTCTGGTCTTTCCTTTGAGTTTTGAGCGTGGAGCCAGATACCCTGGTAACTCCTCGCAGCGTTATTCTCCTCAGACCATGATGATATATCTGTGCCTCCGCACTGTTCACTCGTTCCCAAAGCACCCACACTACATCTAGCCAAGTGGTGCAGATCTGGCCAGTCTATCTGTCTGCCCATTTCCAAACACAACAGCATGACCTGAGAAAATATCCAAAGGATGCTAACTACCCGGCACCTCTGAAGTGATGCTTGTCACTCTGCACGGAGCATGCCTGTCTCCACTTTTCTGAACATGCTCTGTGAGTCAGTTACAATCACGGCATATGTACAGCTGATTCTCAAGCCAGCAGAAGGCAGCTGTGGTAAAGATAGCGGGTTACTAATAGCTGTCTTTGTTCTTGTGTGACGCGCTGTGGTGTATTCACCCCCAGAAATATTGGCAGATATCAGGCTGACTTGCTTTAACTGCGACAGTGTCACCAACTTTATCTGGCTGCGCATTTTGCTCTCAGAAAACGTCATGCCTTAATATGCCGTGGCTAATAATATCGGTGACACATTTGTGATGACACCGCCAGCAAGTTTAGCCAAAGATTTGTGACTATGACGACCTTGGCATAACTGCAACAGTTCCTCAGTGTTTATAAACACAGGTTTACTTACACACACACACATATATATACCACACACACGCGCTTGTTGTATTCGTTAGCTATGGTTGTTATCATATGTTTATGGCCGCTGGCAAACACCCAACGCTGTTTGTTGACTAAGTAGGAAATTTCCCGTACCATGGCTATATATATTTAGCAGGTGAACCAGCTGCCCCTTTGTTTACATACAAGGGAACTACTTTCTTGTATGTATTTGTGTATCCCAATTATAACCAAATGGATTGAACATATTTTTTTTTTAAAACTACTACTAACAGCGGGAGGGGAGGTCCTCCCCCCCCCCCCCCTCTCTCTCTCTCTCTCTCTCTCTCTCTCTCTCTCTCTCTCTCTCTCATATAAACTCACACTCTGTGTCAGTTGTATACAAATGCAGGTCTCAGTAAAATCTAAACATCTTATGTCATCAGTGGCCTTCACTGAGCAGGGCTTGCCCTGCCTGATACATGTTGATGTCTCACTCTCGCTGCTGTCATAGCTTTTTTTGGCCATTAGATGTGTGACAATTTCCTTTGCTGTGGTACTTGCCTAGTCTTTAATTTCAAGGCGGCTATGTTCCATCTCATGTCCTGCATGTCTTCATGTCACATTTGTGTTATCTGTTGGCATTTATTGTTGCAGTGACAAGTTGTTGTTGTTTGGTGGATCCTCATTTTGATACTTAGTTGTTATTGTTCATTGAGGTTTTGTTCTGAGGGTTTCTTGTTGATTGTTTGTTCTGAGGGTTTGTGATTGTTTGTTCTGAGGGTTTCTTGTTGATTGTATGTTCTGAGGGTTTGTTGTTGATTTTATGTTCTGAGGGTTTGTGATTGTATGTTCTGAGGGTTTGTTGTTGATTTTATGTTCTGAGGGTTTGTGATTGTTTGTTCTGAGGGTTTGTGATTGTTTGTTCTGAGGGTTTGTGATTGTTTGTTCTGAGGGTTTGTTGTTGATTGTATGTTCTGAGTGTTTGTGATTGTTTGTTCTGAGGGTTTCTTGTTGATTGTATGTTCTGAGTGTTTGTTGTTGATTTTATGTTCTGAGTGTTTGTTGTTGATTGTTTGTTCTGAGGGTTTGTTGTTGATTTTATGTTCTGAGTGTTTGTTGTTGATTGTTTGTTCTGAGGGTTTGTTGTTGATTGTATGTTCTGAGGGTTTGTGATTGTTTGTTCTGAGGGTTTCTTGTTGATTTTATGTTCTGAGGGTTTGTGATTGTTTGTTCTGAGGGTTTGTGATTGTTTGTTCTGAGGGTTTGTTGTTGATTGTATGTTCTGAGGGTTTGTGATTGTTTGTTCTGAGGGTTTCTTGTTGATTTTATGTTCTGAGGGTTTGTTGTTGATTGTATGTTCTGAGTGTCCGTTGTTGATTGTATGTTCTGAGTGTCCGTTGTTGATTGTTTGTTCTGAGTGTTTGTTGTTGATTGTTTGTTCTGAGGGTTTGTTGTTGATTGTTTGTTCTGAGTGTTTGTTGTTGATTGTTTGTTCTGAGTGTTTGTTGTTGATTGTTTGTTCTGAGTGTTTGTTGTTGATTGTATGTTCTGAGGGTTTGTTGTTGATTGTTCTCACTGGTTGTTGTTGATTGTTCTCACTGGTTGTTGTTGATCGTTCTCATTGTTTGTTGTCTGCGTTAAATAGAGTGATGTCTTTCTCTGTTGCCAGGACCCCTCTAATCTGGTAGCCATAAAAGCTATCAAGAAGAAAAACTTCCTCAAGTCTCAACAACTTCTCAGTAAGGAGATCACTATACTCAAGGTAAGCTCTTCACATGTGACATCTAATGGTGTTTTGTTAAGCCATCTCCCCCTGTAGGTTCTAGGACCTCATTTGGGGGGGGGGGGGGGGGGGGGGGGGGTGAAAGACCCCTTGCCCCTTGAAAAGCATGTTGTAATGTTTATGTTTCTATCAACATCATGGCACAAGGGTAGTAACCAATAAGTTCTCTGTTCTACTTCTAACTGAAGCCTGAGTCTGAAGAATCTCAACACCGTGCACGAACTCTGTTGCGTCGGCAAGGATCCTGAAATACTTAGGGTGGGTTTGTAACTCCAGATTTTGCCTGAGCATCGCCCTTATGGTATTCTTAATTTCCAACTGCCAATACATTTGTTTACATGCACAATAATACACACGTTTTACTATCTAGAGACCAGAGGAAATTACTAGAAGATCATGTGAAAAATCCCAGCCTTCACCGGGGCTTGAACCCGGGACTTTGAGCACTCGAGGCGGACATCATTCCTTGAGAACACTCAACATGGCACTAATTCATGCTTTGCTTATATTGGATCTGTTAGGCTGACAGGTGCTGCATATATCACAGCCTCCTTGTAAGCTTCAGCACACTTGTGTCCAACTGCCTTTTCAAGGGCAAACACAGAAGAGGGAAACGTTAAGCCAGCCACCAGAGTCAACAGTGGGTGCTTTCCTTGCCTGAGTAACACAGTCTGCTAGTGTTGTTACTGAACACACAAGAGGTTTAGTGTTGAAAGGAAGTGTTATTATTGTTATTGGTAGCATCATGTTTGCCAACTGCATTTCAGTATAATTATTATGCATTTTCTTAATCACTTTTGGTTATGTAGCTGTGTTTGGAGGAGACAGTGTAAAAATGTAAAGTGTTAAAAATAGGTCGCAAGCGAACAACTTTGGTCTACATTTGGCTGTTGAAGGTCAGGGCTCTGTTGCTTAAAACAAGAGACATGCACCAGGTGTGTGCGTGTGTGCACTTACATAAGGAGAATGTCTCCATTGTTGACTCTTTTAGTAGAAGTAGGCTGCAATCAATTCCAGAACTTGTCTTTGTCTGTATGAGAGAGAGAGAGAGAGAGAGAGAGAGAGAGAGAGAGAGAGAGAGAGAGAGAGAGAGAGAGAGAGAGAGAGAGAGAGAGAGAGAGAAGTGTGTATGTTGCACTACATAGAGAGGTGTGTGTATGTTGTGCATAGAGAGTATGTTGTATAGAGATGTGTGTTGTTGCCACTACAAAAAGAATGTCTCCATTGTTGACTTGTCTTTGTCTGTATGATGAGAGAGAGAGAGAGAGAGAGAGACTCTGAGAGAGAGACTGCAATCAGTGCCACATCTTGTCTTCAGTGTGTGAGAGAGAGAGAGGAGATTGAGTGTGAGAGAGAGAGAGAGAGAGAGAGAGAGAGAGAGAGAGAGAAGTGAGTATGTTGCACTACATAGAGAGGTGTGTGTATGTTGCACTACATAGAGAGGTGTGTGTATGTTGCACTGCATAGAGATGTGTGTGTATGTTGCACTACATAGAGAGGTGTATGTATGTTGCACTACATAGAGAGGTGTGTGTATGTTGCACTACATAGAGATGTGTGTGTATGTTGCACTGCATAGAGATGTGTGTGTATGTTGCACTACATAGAGATGTGTGTGGGTGTGTAACAGAAGAGGAATGTCTCCATTGTTGACTCTGGTAGTAGGTGTAGACTGCAATCAGTGCCACATCTTGTCTTCATGTGTGTGGAAGAGAGACAGAAGGATGCGATTGTGTGTGACACAGAGAGAGGTTGGTGTAACAGTGAGAGAAAGGTGTTTGTCATGCAGAGAGGTGTCTGTGTGTGACAGAGGGAGGGAGGTTGATGTGTCTCATCCAGTGGGAATACATCCATTCTGTGTAGACAAACTGAGCCATTTTGGTTACAGCTAGATACCACGAGGTTGATGCTCTTTCATTAGAGACAGACATCTTCCAGTCCATTACAGCATTAGTGCCTAGTTACCGAAGACCTTCAGGGCCCTTCTTATTTCCAAAGGTCTGCCAGGACATCCTACTTTTTAATATTCATTCTTGAAAAAAAAGTTAGTTGCGTATCCTTTACAGGACGTTCCAGAACCAGCTCCAGCATTTTTGGGCTGTTGTTTTTCTTGGCAAATTTACATCCAGTAGTTTGCCATTGCCTCTGAACAGTCGGCTTCTTGATACCACTGTTAAAACCAGCACAAGGCCCACAGCAGTCATACTAAAGAACTTATAAATATTCAAATTGCAGAAAAGATTGCATTCTAAAGTTTAGAGATTTGTGTTTTATGAATGGTATCATGGAGACCCTTTGCCCTGTAAGAAAACAAAAACTTTTTTTTCATCTACCGCATTTTAGTTATCGTGCTGATGCATTCAGGGTAGATGGAAGGTTGTGAGGTCTATCTCGATTTATTGTGTTCTTGCTCAGACTTGTGCTGTCTCCCTAATTCTTTCATCTCATAGTATCATGTTTGTGTTTCAGGAGTTATCAAGTCTACATCACCGAAATGTAGTGGGGCTGCTGGACTGTGTGGTGGGTTGTGTTTGTGCATCGTTCTCATGTGTGTGTGTTGCTGTACACATTGTGTGTGTGTTGCTGTACACATTGTGTGTGTTGCTGTACATATTGTGTGTGTGTTGCTGTACACATTGTGTATGTTGCTGTACACATTGTGTGTGTTGCTGTACACATTGTGTGTGTGTGTTGCTGTACACATTGTGTGTGTTGCTGTACACATTGTGTGTGTTGCTGTACACATTGTGTGTGTGCTGCTGTGTGTTGCTGTATTGTGTGTGTGTAGCTGTACATGTTGTGTGTGTTGCTGTACACTTTGTGTGTGTTTTGCTGTACAGATTGTGTGTGTTACTTTACAGATTGTGTGTGTGTGTTACTGTACAGATTGTGTGTGTTGCTGTACATATTGTGTGTGTTACTTTACAGATTGTTTGTGTTGCTGTACACATTGTGTGTGTTGCTGTATACGTTGTGTATGTGTTGCTGTATATGTTGTGTATGTGTTGCTGTATATGTTTTGTATGTGTTGCTGTATATGTTTTGTATGTGTTGCTGTATACATTGTATATGTGTTGCTGTATACGTTGTGTATGTGTTGCTGTATATGTTGTGTATGTGTTGCTGTATACATTGTGTGTGTGTTACTTTACAGATTGTGTGTGTTGCTGTACATATTGTGTGTGTTACTTTACAGAATGTGTGTGTTGCTGTACACATTGTGTGTGTGTTGCTGTATACATTATATATGTGTTGCTGTATAAATTGTGTATGTGTTGCTGAATACATTGTGTATGTGTTGCTGTACACATTGTGTGTGTTGCTGTACACATTGTGTGTGTTGCTGTACAGATTATGTGTGTTGCTGTACATATGTGTGTGTGTGTGTTGCTGTACATATTGTGTGTGTGTGTGTTTGTACACATTGTGTGTGTTGCTGTACACATTGTGTGTGTGTTGCTGTACACATTGTGTGTGTTGCTGTACAGATTATGTGTGTTGCTGTACATATTGTGTGTGTGTGTGTTGCTGTACACATGTGTGTGTGTGTTTGCTGTACATATTGTGTATGTTGCTGTACACATTGTGTGTGTTGCTGTACACATTGTATGTGTTGCTGTACACATTGTGTGTGTTGCTGTACACATTGTGTGTGTGTTGCTGTACATATTGTGTGTGTGTGTTGCTGTACACATTGTGTGTGTGTGTTGCTGTACATATTGTGTGTGTGTTGCTGTACATATTGTGTGTGTTACTTTACATTTTGTGTGTGTGTTGCTGTACATATTGTGTGTGTGTGTTGCTGTACACATTGTGTGTGTTGCTGTACACATTATGTGTGTTGCTGTACATATTGTGTGTGTGTGTTGCTGTACATATTGTATGTGTGTTGCTGTACAGATTGTGTGTGTTGATGTACATATTGTGTGTTGCTGTACATATTGTGTGTGTTGCTGTACATATTGTGTGTGTGTTGCTGTATGTGTTGCTGTACATATTGTGTGTGTGTTGCTGTACACATTGTGTGTGTTGCTTTACACATTGTGTGTGTTGCTGTACATACTGTGTGTGTGTTTGCTACAGATTGTGTGTGTTTTACTGTACAGATTGTGTGTGTGTTACTTTACAGATTGTGTGTGTGTTGCTGTACATATTGTGTGTGTGTTGCTGTACATATTGTGTGTGTGTTGCTGTACAGATTGTGTGTGTGTTACTTTACAGATTGTGTGTGTTGCTGTACAGATTGTGTGTGTGTTTTGCTGTATACGCTGTGTATGGAGCTTTTTTAGCTTATACTGAAAACCGACATTGCTCCACACTAAAATTAGACATTGTGCCCTAAATCCGACACTTCCTCACCACTTAACTCTATGTTAAAATTAGAATTTGGACTCTGAATTTGACACTGCCTCACCACCCAGACAACTCCACGCTAGATTTAGAATGGTGCAGTTGCACCTTGAGACGAAACCTATGCATATGGCAGTTGATACGTTAATCACGTGACCTGACAGTGACGCCTAATGCGCTCAAATTTTCCGCCGACTGTTGGCCCACTTACCTAGTTCCCCAGTTTCTACTATCACAACCATAAGTGAGATAGTGAAGCATGATCTATGTTTTGTTATTCGACCTGGATATCTTATGTCAATATTTATGTATTCAGCATTGCCAGTAGCAGTGTCTGTTAATGTTTGAGTGGACTTTTTACATGCACAAGTGGCCAGATTTTGAAGCTAAAGGGATTTATTCTAGAGTATTCGTTATCTTCTTCCCTTCTCTCTCTCTCTCTCTCTCTCTCTCTCTCTCTATCTCTCTCTCTCTCTCTCTCTCTCTCTCTCTCTCTCTCTCTCTCTCTCTCTCTCTCTCTCCCTCCCTTCCCCCATAGTATTCCTAAGTAAACGCATCATGCTGTACAGATAAAATATAATGACTGTGTGACAGAAGTGTGTTTGGAAGGGCCGAATTTATGGCAGGCCTGCGTTACCCAGCGTATGACACTTTGAAAATACAGTTCTTTCATTCGTTTCTCTGTAAATATAATAAACAAACAGACAGTATGTTGATCGGCACATAGAGAGAAGTAGAAACTTAGAAGGACATACAAAACGGCTCAAGTTTTCCCTCTCAGTCTGTGTGAATTCGTTCCTCTGGTTCTTTCGTCTACATCAGTGGTTCTCAACCTTCCTAATGCCGCAACTCTTTAATACAGTTGCCCTTGATGTGGCAACTCTTTAATACAGTTGCCCTTGATGGGGCAACTCTTTAATACAGTTGCCCTTGATGTGGCAACTCTTTAATACAGTTGCCCTTGATGTGGCAACTCTTTAATACAGTTGCCCTTGATGGGGCAACTCTTTAATACAGTTGCCCTTGATGTGGCAATTCTTTAATACAGTTGCCCTTGATGTGGCAACTCTTTAATACAGTTGCCCTTGATGTGGCAACTCTTTAATACAGTTGCCCTTGATGTGCCAACTCTTTAATACAGTTGCCCTTGATGTGGCAACTCTTTAATACAGTTCCCCTTGATGTGGCAACTCTTTAATACAGTTCCCCTTGATGTAGCAACTCTTTAATACAGTTCCCCTTGATTTGGCAACTCTTTAATACAGTTCCCCTTGATGTGGCAACTCTTTAATACAGTTCCCCTTGATGTGGCAACTCTTTAATACAGTTCCCCTTGATGTGGTAACTCTTTAATACAGTTCCCCTTGATGTGGTAACTCTTTAATACAGTTCCCCTTGATGTGGCAACTCCCAAACATACACTTATTTTTGTTTCCGTTACTACTTCATAACTTCAGTGAATATGGTCTTAGGCGACCCCTGTAAAAGGGTCACTCGACCCAAGAAAGGATCGCGACCAACAGGTTGAGAACCTGTGGTCTACATAAAATCTTTTTTGTTTATGGTCTTCCAGCTGCTCTGCGTCATAGGTTGTGCTTGTCTCATTTGTACATGTCAGAGAAGGTCGGACACAGAGAAAACATTGGGGGGGGGGGGGGGGGGGGGGGGGGGGGGGGGGTTTTACATATTTTATAAGCAAAAAAAGTATCCAGCGGGCCTAATCCTAGTTTAAGACCATAATAATAGTAAAAGTAAAGCAACTGGTACCTCCTCAAGGCTGGATTGACCTGGGAGTCATGCTCATTTTTGTAAAAAAAAAAAAAAAGAGAATAAACTCCGGCAGGACGCGAACTTTCCGATCCGCAGGAGACTCCCAGACACAAGAGTGCTTGACTAAGCATTCGTTTGGTGATGTCATCAACGTCATCATATTTGGTTTAGATTGTTAAAATCTGCTGATGACTTGCTTATGCCTGTCCAAATTCCCTTCTTTGTATTTCTTTCACTGGCAGAATTCCCCGTGTGGGTTTCAGGGGTTCCATTGTCGGGAAAAGAAGAATAGACCCACTGCCTCCCCAGCAAGCATATCGTAAGAGTCGACTAATTTGGGAGGGAAAAGGGGGGGGGGGGGGGCTTCCTTTTAAGTTGGAGCGCATCTGCCTGAGAGGCAAGGAACGAACAAACATTGTGCATACAATTAAGCAATGATCTGTAAAACGGTTGCACACGCAAAACTGAGGTCCTGGAACAAAGCCGAGGTTCAGAAATGGACTAACAACCAGGTCTTTCCGTCGGTGTTTACAGCTGGTGAACGCAAACAAACAACAAACTATCAGCATTTTTACGTAAGTAAGTAATGTGCAAGAATGAGCCGCTTACTTAAGATGCTCTTTCACCTCATCCATCAACCCTCACCCTCGGGTAACCCCGGGATGGCACTGCCACGTACATTATAAATGTACACGCGCCCTTCGAACTTTGACCTATCTACCTATCTGCACTGAGTGCGCTAACGCTTGCGGGTTGATACATTAAAGAGATAGACATGTTTTGCCACGTGTTGTGATGGTTTCGGGCGCACACACGCACACATATGCATGCACGCATGCACACAAGTAGATTGCGCATCGTGCATATGTACTGGACAAGTTGAGAATGTATTATTGCCAACACGGCCTAATTGGCAGGCTGTCAACATATATATTGAAGAATACTCGATCACGCCCTGGCTTCCCCACTTTGCTGCTGCTTAAGTAAGTAGGTGGGGACAGCTGACCTAGTCAATGTTACCAGGCAACATCAAGCGCTCCCTAATATCGTCGTCCTGTAGCAGGTTGTTTGCAGAATGTCGCTCTCATCACAGTTAGCATGACAGAAGTTCGGTCTCTCGCTAGCTGTCCCGCCTGGTGCACTTTCCTACCCAGCGTCGTGCTGGTTGGCACCTGTCCCTCTTTCCTTGTATCATGTCTTCTAATTTTATTCTTTCAAATCTGGCACTTGATATAACCAACATATTTTAGTTTCCGAGACAAGATGTATTACTTTTCCTCTTTATTTCAGTATTTCTTTTCTTCTTTATGTCAGTCTCTTTATGTCAGTCTTTTTCGCTTAAAATCAGCCTTTCTTTTTCTCGTTATGTCAGTATTTATTTTTCTCTTTATAGCAGTATTTATTTATTTCTTTGCAAATGGACCCATGTCGTAAAATGCGACTTATTAGGAGCTTGTTGAAATCGTATGTGTCGACTGAAAGGCGCAGATATTGCAGCCTAGCTGTAAACCACAACACAAGGAGCAAGACCCTCTTTTAAGAGCAAACACGGACGAAGATGAAGAAGAGGAGGAGGAGGAGGAGGAAGGGAAAAACCTACAATTTTTCATCAAATACTCATAGAGCTGTCTCGTGAAACACCTTGTTAATCTCTCCTGCATCTCGGTAATGTTTTCCTGTCATGTCAGTTTGTGCAGTATTGACTGGTGTGTTTCTGCCGAAGTGTTCTACCTTGTTGGTTCTACAGTACGGTAACAATGGCATTCGCTGGTAACGTTAATTAGTCACGATTTAAGAAAACGGCGATTAAACCGTCGACACACGGACACACATACAAGGGGCACACACGACACGCACACAGAAAGAGAGGGGGGGGGGGGAGGGAGGGGGTGTTGTTGTTAGTTTGGTTTTTGGGGGGTGGGTGGGTGTTGACCACGTTGAACCCTGCTAAGAACAGTTTCGGTTATATTTTTGGTCTTGGCTTTTCTGTGCCAAGTTTCGTGACTTAATTTTTGTGTTGCCTTTTTGTCATTAGCTGACGAGAGAGAGAGAGAGAGAGAGAGAGAGAGAGAGAGAGAGAGAGAGAGAGAGAGAGAGAGAGAATTTCCCAATTCGTTGGATTGAGGGTGTAGTCAGCAGCATCAACATCGAGAAAACGTGGTGGGTTGGGGGGGGGGGGGGGGTATTGCCCCTCACCCTTGCTTCTAAACGAATGGATTCTCAATAGCAGATGCTGCTGTTGAGTCCTTACAGGTACTAGATTATGTCCCAAAGAGGTGGGCTTGGCCGTTCTCTTTATCGTCGATTCTAACCACAATCCCCTTGTCCTAAATAAAAAATTAGAACCGATTGTATGTGGTCGAGTCAAGTCTCAACAGAGGATTGTCGATAATAGTACTTCGCTGAGGGAGCGTGAACCGAGACAGCAGTCTTCTTAAGTATACAGTTCAATTACTATGCCACAGCAGCAATTTAGGGTCTTAGGTGCATGATTTTGGCAGGTAGCAGTTTGGAAGTGGGTCACGCCCTTGTCTTGGTTGCAGCAGCAGCCACAGGTCACGTGCCTGATCACCGCCTGCTGAGGGGTGACCCATTTGCACGGCAAACGAAATATTTGTCTTGCCAACAGGTGACCAAGGTTCCACGTACCCGACGGCCTTCAGATGTGTACGTGCAGATGGTTTTTTTTTTTTTTTTTTTTTTGGGGGGGGGGGGGGGGGATACAAGGGAAAACATCTGTAAACCAGCGGCGGCAGCTATATGGGTGCTTAGGCTTCTTTGGCCACCCCCCCCCCCCCACACACACACACATAGCAGAAGTAATTTTGGAGGATGAACTAGGTGGGGAAGAAACCATCTTTAGAGGTTCTTAAAGTATTTGTTTATACATTGTATTGGCTGCTTTATTAATATCCTACCCCAAATAGGGGAAATCCACAAGTCACGGGACAGTCTAATATTTCAGGGGGTGGTAGATAGGCTGCATGTAGTCGTGGGACCTAGGTTATATGCAGTCGTGGGACCTAGGCTGTGCTCTCTCGTGGGATGTAGGTGGGTTGGGATAAGGGCCAGTTCTAGATGTTTTGGGGTCGTTAAAAAGCAGGAAACCGAGTCTTATCACCTTCTAAAATGTTGAATTGTCATGTGATGTCATCTGGGAGTAGGATATTATTAATAAACCTTGTATTGTTTCAAATTCCTTAGAGGGATTTAAGTGGTATAATAGAATCACTAATGTAGAGCTCTGGGAGAGAAATAGACAAGTTTCCTTGGACCAAGCTGTGGAGAAAAGGCGCTGGCGTTGGATAAGACACAGGTTGAGAAAACTTGAGAACAATATAAATAGAATGTCTTTGCACTGGAACCCACTGGGGCATTGAAATAAAGGAAGGACCCCCCTCAAAAAAAAAAAAAAAAAAAACACGTAGAAGGGAACAAGAGAGTGAAGTTAAAAAGATTTGGAGGACATGAGGAGAGTTGCGATAGTGAAAAATATAACGACTTGGCGTGAGTTTGTGGAGGGCCTATGCTCCATTGAGATTAGAAAAGCCTTAGAAGAAGAAGAAAAAAAGAATATTATTTTAAATATTTTTACAATTAATATTATTAGTACAGTATTATTACATTACATCACACTCATACACGACTTAGGCCTCTTTTAATTCTCTCCCCCCAATCCCCAGAGCCTGTATAAGGCTGCCATCCTCCAGTCCTTTCCCAAATGTACCCTATGTGCCCCCATCCCTGCTACACACCAACTTTACTTTCAAAGATGCAAGCACACTTACTTTAGGCTTAGGTGCCTTGAATGCCAAAGCTTTTGATTTAAGAATGAAAAAAATATTCACAAGCAGCCAGCATTACTGTCACCTCATCGGCAACATCATCATCAGTATCGTCACCACTACCATGATCATCTTCAAGAACAAAATAACATATCATTATCACCATAGTAATCATCAGTATCTGCAATGTCTTAGTTGGGAAGATATGTTAAGTAACTCATGAATGTGGACTGTTGCAGGAGCTGAAGGATGATGTCTGTCTGGTGATGGAGGTGAGTTTTGTCTTTGTCAGTTATTCAGCCTGATGTTAGTCACAATCCAAGGCTTTTTAAATTAGCTTTGTTAAGTTGGCTTCTGTTTACAGCAAAAAAAGAGGTGCTAACACTTATCACAAAGTACCTGTCACACCAGCCCTGAAAATGTATCCATGTTCATTGTTGATTTCATGAGTATCTTCGCTGCACATTGTGCCTACCCAAAAGTGCCCTGATCTTCTCCTTAGCATGTTTTTAAATGTGTTATGTGACGACTCCTGTTCTGTACTGACTGATGTAGCAACTGTTAGCTCGTGCATAGTTTGCATACCATGCTGCTGCTGCTGCTTTATCTTTTGTCGTCTCACTGATACCAGGCTGTAGCCCAGTATTGTGGGTTTTCTGTATTTGTGTTGTGCTTTTAGGGCGGCTTGGATGATGAATTTGTAAATTTTTTTTTTTGCAGGTTTCAACTGCACGGTTTATCCGTCTATTTCTTGGTCTCTCATCATCCTCCCGGATGTTCTGCTGTGAGGAAGGTGAGAGGAAGAGCAGTCATGCTGCTGCAGTTGGTATATCTGGACTTCACATTCTGAATTGGAGGGGAAATCATTCTCTTAACTTGAGGTCTTAGCTCTAATAAACAATGATGTCCCAGAAAAGGTGCAGGTGCTGTGTACTGCTGTGTACCACCAGAAAGAAAAAGCCCACTTCTAAAGAACTTTTGGTGTTGGCCTAGTGGGAAACTCCAATGTATGTCTGTTGTCTGCTTTGTCAGTATATTTTTCTCTCTGAGTTCTGGGAACCATTTGGGGGAAAAAGATAGACCCTATCAACCATATCATAAAAGGCAGAATGCATCTACCTCAGAGTAGAAAAGCTAACATTCTGCATAAAAATAAGTAGACTGTAAAACAGATGTGCACTCAGGAATTATAGCTCTGGAATAAAACTAAAGTCCAAAGGAAGTGGACAAACAACCATAACTTTCTGGCGGAGTTTACAGCTGGTGACTGCTAAGAAGAGGAAGAAGATGCTGACTGCCAGTAACACGAGTGAGTAGGGCTGAAAGTGGTACACTTTTTCTTTCTTACATAACATTTATACTGCCTGTTTTTTTTTTTCTTTTCAGTTTTGCAATGGTGGGGACCTGGCAGACTGTTTACATAGTAAGTTTTTGTTGATGATATGTCCAATAATGTTCTGTGAATGTTCTGTGGTTCCATTGACAATGTACTGATGCATCTCCTGGGTCATATTTGCCTTCCAAGTGTAAATATACATTACATAAATAGTAAACACAATATTTTTGAATTATAACCTTGATGGGTTGAACAGAATATTGTTTGGTTAAATTACTGTTACTACTGCTACAGTGTTGACTACGGGTAAAGGAAGAGTTGGACAGTACAGGTGAGAGAACAAATGTGAAACTGGCAGAATAGTACACTAAGGGGGGGGGGGGGGGGGGGGGGGTAATGTATACTTGTACATTCATGTGAAACATTTTTTTTAATAGTAAAAGACCCTTTCCATGTTGGTGTATGCGGCGTCCATAGCATAGGTGTTGTGAGTCCGACTCATAATTCTGACGTACTTCGATCGAAACCCACTGCTGGCTGCAGGGATTTTTATCATGGTATGGGGATCGCAGGTCAGCCCATCCTAAAATGGGTGCCAGGATGTTTGTCCTGGAGAAGTAGAGACGACCGGCGTAATGCTGACCACATAACCCACCTAGTGCCGATTGATCTGTAAAAATATGGGCGCACTTCTCATATACCCGATACGCCTAAAAGATGTGAAAAGGTATCTTTACTTTACTTACTTCATGACAACAGTCTAGCATATTGTTCTCCACCCACATGGACATAACCACCTTTCTTGTTTACAGGAAATGGCACACTCAGTGAAGACACCCTGTGTTCCTACGTCAAGCAGATTGGTGAGTTGTTTGTTCATGTGTGACCCAGTTATTTCCGTTTCACTGTCAGACCTATTCTAGAGAGTTACTGAAATAAATAACAGACAGTTGAAATGTTTTGACCACATTCAAAGACATAAAGGACCTTTTTTCATGCCTCTAGGCGTGTTGGGCGTATAGAGCTAGACCGATGTTTTATAGACCAGTTGGCTTTGGGTGGGTAATGTGGTCAGCATCATGTCGACTGCCTCAACTTTCCAGGACTGCACCTGGTACCCACTAAAGACTGGGTCGACCTGAGAGCCAAGGTCAGGACCTGAACCCACAACCTTCGATCCGCAGGTCAGCATTTAGCGGCTTCACCACGCAGCTCTCATTAAAAGACAACACTTTTTTTTAAAAACCATACTGTAGGGAACATTTGAAGGCAAGAGATCAAGAGGTAGACAACTATACAGTGGGAGGACAACATCAAGAGGTGGACAGACAGCAGTCTGAGAGCGTGTACCAAGCCAAGAGACAGGGTGTTGGAGATTCATTGCAGCCTCATCGCTGATTGATTGTTTGACAGGTCAAGAACACTGTCCATCTTCCCCTCAAGGTTTAGTCAGTAATTAAAGTAAAGGACCTCATTGTTGCTAGTTGCACATTGGTTTTATAATGTTACGACTCATATGTTGACTTCAGATGAGGCCCCTAAAGAAGGCAAGAGGAAGAAAAAGACCCTTTTCAGTGCACTGGTAAATCGAGCATAAAGAGCTAGATCCTTGTTTTCATAAATTTTCTTCATGCTCGCCGGCTGTAAACTCCGGCGAAAAGTCCTGGTTGTTTGTCCACTTTTGGATTGTAGTAATTTTTCTGAACTTGATTTTTTCATGGACATCCATTTTATAAATCTGACTTATTTGTATGCAGGGGGGAGAGAGAATAACCCCTCCCCCCCCCCCCCACCTCCTACAGCATGCATATAGTAAAAAGCTCCTAGTTAGAGGTGTTTCTTCTGAAGTCAGAGTGCATCTACTTGAAAAGCAAGAAACAACAGTTAGCCCACAACTAAGCCAGATCTGTATAACAGATGTTCATGCAAAACTCAAGTTTTCGAACAAGACCAGAGAGCAGCCAGAACCTTCTGCCGGAATTTACAGGCAATGCACAAGAAAAAAAAGTATGCAGATTATTGGTACCCCAGAAGAATGCAGATTTTTGCTTCCTTACCTCCCAAACAGCTGCAGTTCCTCTTCAAAGGAGACATCCACTCTTTCTATGCTGGCCAGACAACCAGTTTGAGAACCTGCTTCTAGGATAACCATGGAAACTTGTAGATAGATGTTGGCCAGCATGTATGGTTCAGTACCACTGCATCCGTTTTTCAAGACCAAGCAGCACTCGATGGATGATGTGGTCCACATCACATCATCATCCACCTTGCCCTACACAAACCCTGATGTGGTCCACATCACAACATCATCCACCTTGCCCTACACAAATCCTGATGTGGTCCACATCACAACATTATCCACCTTGCCCTACACAAACCCTGATGTGGTCCACATCACAACATCATCCACCTTGCCCTACACAAACCCTGATGTGGTCCACACCACATCATCATCCACCTTGCCCTACTTAAACCCTGATGTGGTCCACACCACATCATCATCCACCTTGCCCTACACAAACCCTGATATCTTTTTTAGAAAAAAAAACACCATAGATTTGAATTTAAACCTGCATAGTGGAGGAGGTGAAGAAAAAACAAAAATTAACTTTTTCAGTTCCAGGTGGTGTTACTTTATTTGATTCCTTTCCATACAGTTGTCACTATAAACTAATAAATATTTGAAAGAAAAGTAGATACGATAATAACATTTTGAGGCTTGTATGGTTAAAGTAACAAATGGGAGAAAGGGAGTTAGTATAACACATGGATGGACTACAGTGAGTTAAGAGCCATGTCATACCAGAAATAACCAATAAATGCATAGTGTGTTCATTGGTACTGAAAAAGTTAAGAGTAAGATCATCCAAGAATTTATAGGTGTAGTAACAATGGCATGACTGTCATTACCTGTCAGTGTCTAACATTTTGAAGAAGATTGTGCCCACTTATGTGATCACCAGGTCCTGGATCTGCGGGCTGCCTTCTGTTGATCTCTAGAGGTTGCAGAGGGGGAAGCTCAACATACAGATGCAAGATTAAGCAGTCATGTGCAGGACGTGATGATGCTTTGGGTGGGCACAGGATCAGAGCGTTACGTGCCGGCTCTGTATTTATGGAAGCCTCCTTGATGATGGGGAATGCCCATGATCCACCCCTGCCTTCCTTTGAAGGTCGACCAGTCTACACACAGTTGCCCTGGATGGGTTCTCCAGGGACAACACTTGTAGAGAAAGGGACAAAGAAGACACACCACAGAAACAAGGTTACGTCAAGTCCCTCGAAAACCAACAGGGAAAGCTAAGTGAATCAACAAATGCTCAGTGAAGTCGAATGAGTCGGCTGTAAACAGGCACAGCACAGTAATGTCACTCAGACGAACAAAAAAAAAAAAAGAATTACCCGTCAGTTATTATCTGTATTATCTGCACTTACCCAGTGCCAGACTTGGACATTATCAAAGGCTAATCTATGTTAAAAAACACCTGAAATGAGGTGCCTTAGAAAAGCCGTCAGTTTAACTATCTGATATTATTAAGACAGACTGTAGGAACAACACCATGCAGCTCATTCATTGAGAAATAGAAGATCAAATGGTTTGGTCATTTAGTAAGAATGCATTTAGGACAGCTACCAGCAAAGTCGCTACACAGGAAAAGATCTGAAGTGGAGGGAAGTGGCCGCCATCAGGAGAAGATGGATTGATGACATTAAAGAGCTTCTCCATCAACACGGAATGAAAATAACCATTACTGCCCATCAGGCAGTGGATCACACACTGTTCCTCCCCACAACACCTAATGGCAGAAGTAGAATTTGATGATGATGCTGATGAGTACGGTAACTGTGTGTTGATCTGTCATGAATACTGTTTGATGCTTGCAGCTGAAGCCATGAAAGCCCTGCAGCACAAAGGGATTGTTCACAGAGACCTCAAACCTCAGAACATTCTCCTGTGTTACCAGGGCACCAAGTACCCACACCCTTCAGAGATGCTGCTGAAGATTGGTGAGTTCTGTGTGATAACCTAGTTTGTGTGTGTGCTTGTAGTGGGGAACGGGTGAGTTCTGTGTGGTAACCTAGTTTGTGTGTGTGCTTGTAGTGGGGAACGGGTGAGTTCTGTGTGGTAACCTAGTTTGTGTGTGTGCTTGTAGTGGGGAATGGGTGAGTTCTGTGTGGTAACCTAGTTTGTGTGTGCTCGTAGTGGGGAATGGGTGAGTTCTGTGTGTTAACCTAGTTTGTGTGTGCTCGTAGTGGGGAATGGGTGAGTTCTGTGTGTGTAACCTAGTTTGTGTGTGTGCTTGTAGTGGGGAATGGGTGAGTTCTGTGTGTTAACCTAGTTTGTGTGTGTGCTTGTAGTGGGATGGGTGAACGGGTAACCTAGTTTGTGTGTGTGGGTAACCTAGTGTGTTAACCTAGTTTGTGTGTGTGCTTGTAGTGGGGAATGGGTGAGTTCTGTGTGTTAACCTAGTTTGTGTGTGCTTGTAGTGGGGAATGGGTGAGTTCTGTGTGTTAACCTAGTTTGTGTGTGCTTGTAGTTCTGTGTGGAACCTAGTTTGTGTGGGTAGTGAGTTCTGTGTGTCTTGTAGTGGGTAACCTAGTTTGTGTGTGTGCTTGAAGTGGGGAATGGGTGAGTTCTGTGTGTTAACCTAGTTTGTGTGTGCTTGTAGCGTGGAACGGGGAAGAGAGGAGGTGCTTGTGTGTAGGGTAGGAATGCAAGAGTGTTGCAGTAGAAAAGCTTTTGTCAACTTACAACACAAACACACACGCGCGCAATGGCGCATGCACACACATACTCTATTTTCACACAAACACATATAAACACATGCGCTGTCTTTCTATTACATGCAAACTCACACACACGCTTTCTTTTACACAAATTCGATATCTCTCGATCTCACACATGCACACACACACACACACACACACACAGACACACACACAGACAGACACACACGCACACACCGACACACACAGACTCACACACACAGACACACACACAGATGCACACACACAGACACAGATGCACACACGCGTGCGCGCACACACACACACACGCACATCAGAAAAAATGTATTGTTTTATGTCTTAAAGTTCCTTTTAATGTGGCTAAAATATATCACTTATCTCTGTTTTTCTTCTTCGAGCAGTTCACTGTTAATTCTCAATATTTTCAGAACCTCTGTATTTGATTGTTTCTGTTTGGATGAAATGTGACCTATTCTCCTGTATGTCTACATCTCCAGAGTCGCAGTTTGATTTTTACCTTCCTGATTGTATGTTTATAACTAGTGTTGAATAAATTTTCTGTATGGTAATGTTATTTGTTTGCTAGGTCTCTTTCCTCAATTTGAATTTTCAACATTTTTGTACGAGTATGATTAACCATTTAGCTACTGATATGGTGGTGTCTGGTAAAATCATGTTGATGTTCGATATGGTTATGTTGCTTGATAAAGCCATATTGATGGATAGTAAAGTCATGTTGTTTGGTTAAGTCATGTTGATGGATAGTAAAGTCATGTTGTTTGGTTTAAGTCATGTTGTTTGGTAAAGTCATGTTGATGGATAGTAAAGTCATGTTGTTTGGTTAAGTCATGTTGTTTGGTTTAAGTCATGTTGTTTGGTTTAAGTCATGTTGTTTGGTAAAGTCATGTTGTTTGGTTAAGTCATGTTGTTTGGTAAAGTCATGTTGTTTGGTTAAGTCATGTTGTTTGGTTTAAGTCATGTTGTTTGGTTTAAGTCATGTTGTTTGGTAAAGTCATGTTGATGGATAGTAAAGTCATGTTGTTTGGTTAAGTCATGTTGTTTGGTAAAGTCATGTTGATGATTGATACAGTCATGTTGTTTGGTAAAGTCATGTTGATGATTGATACAGGTATGTTGATGTTTGGTAAAATTGTGTTGATGTTTGATAAACTCATGCTGACATTTTTTTAAAGTCATGCTGGTGTCTTATAATGTCATGTTGCTGTTTGAGGAAGTCATGTTGTTGTTTGATAAAGTCATGTTGTTGTTTGAGGAAGTCATGTTGTTGTTTGATAAAGTCATGTTGTTGGATAAGTCATGTTGACGTTTGGTAAAGTCACATTGATGTTAATATAGTTGTATTGATGCTTGGTAAAGCCATATTGTTGTTTTTGTTGTCTTGTTGATGTTTGGTAAAGTTTTGTCAATGAATGATAAAGTCGTGTTAGTAAATGATAAAGTTGATAAATTATAAAGTCATGTGGTTTGTAAAGTCATGCTGTTGTTTTTAAAGTCATGTTGATGCTTCATAAAGTCATGTTGTTGTTTAATAAAGTCATGCTAATGTTTGGTAAAATCATTTTAATATTTCATAATGTTGTGTTAATGCTTGGTAAAGTTGTGCTGATGTTTGGTAAAGTTGTGTTGATGGTTGGTAAATTTATGTTGTTTGGTAAAGTGGTGTTGATTTAACTGTCTTGGTGCTTGGTAACATCATGTTGATGATTTATAAAGTTGTGTGGACATTCGGTAAAGTCATGTTGCCTGTGTTTCAGCCGACTTTGGGTTCGCCCGCTTCATCAGTGGAGCAGAAATGGCCACCACTTTGTGTGGGTCACCCATGTACATGGTAGGTCCTGTTTGTGTCTTCTTCACATATTGGCTGCTGTAGGTGTCTCTCTCTCAGCTGTTCTTATTAGATGTGGATTTTTTTTCTAATGCCATTGCCTTGTTATTGATGTTATAGCTGATTTACATTTGTTTTTTTTTTATGCCATTGCCTTGTCAACACTGATTTACTCACAAATAAGATGTCATCTGCAATGGGAAAAAGAGTATTAAAGTGCTACATAGATCTTGTGTTATTATCCTTCATGTGAGACATGGAGAGTAAGCAGACAAGCTGAGAAAAACAGTCAATTGTTGTCTAGAACCTGTGTTATTATATGCATGTGAGGCAAGGACAGTAAGCAGTCAGGCTAAAAAAAAAAAGATTTACTTGCAGAGGAGATGTGGTTTTTCAATAAGGATGCAAATAATAGCATGAAAGTGTTAGAAAAACAAATGAGGCAGTCTTCTTTGAAAGAGGCACAAGTTGTAAACTGATTATAATAACTATACATAGACAGTCACTGTTTTTCACCTGTGTTGTGATAAGGAGTGGATTCAAGAACCTGGTAACAACTGGCAAGTTTGATGGACAGAGGGCAAGAGATAGGCAAAGCGATAAATACCTAGATGGCTGGGCCAGATAGATGGGGCGAGCCAAGAACATTGACATGATTCTCATGACCATTTGAGATGGCAAAACATGGCAGCCTATACTTATCAGCACAGCATATGATGATGATTGATTTATATGAATATGTGTACTGTGATGACTTGTGTGCGTGTTGTTGTTATTTCTATATTGTATCCATAATGACATTATGTTGTACCAGGCCCCGGAAGTGATCATGTCTGTGAAGTACAGTGCCAAGGCTGACCTGTGGAGTATTGGTACAATATTGTACCAGTGTCTGACCGGCAGAGCTCCCTTCCAAGCACACAACCCCCAGGAGTTAAAGAAGAAATATGAGAAGAGTCCCGGACTCAAACCCAAGTAAGAAGTTTTATTAACTGAACACACGTATTTTAAATCACACCTTGAGACTTGACTGATCAGTTAATCATAACTACAGGGCCACCCCTCTTGCTGCTCCATTCCTTTGCCAACAGAAACAGCACTGAATGTTCATGACTGCCCCGTGTAAAATAAAAAAATGGATACAGACTGCAGTCTCAGTAAAACCAGTAGTATACACAAGCATAAAGTGCATGATACAGCCATCAGAAGTGCCAAGACGGACAGTCCGACTGTGGAAATACAAATTTATCGTCGATGGAAGCAGAGTTGTAACAGATTAGCAGTTGCACAATTGATTGTGAGATTTGGTTTTTCTTTTTCTTTTGTCATCTCACTGATACCAGGTTGTAACCCAGGGTCGTGGTTTTCTGTGTCTTGTACTTCTCTGGTAGCTTGGGCGATAGATTGGTTCATCTTTTTGCAGGTTTCGGCTACACCATTTATCCATCTCTTTTTTTAGTCTTCCGCTCACTTTTCTCCCAAATGTTCTGCTGTAAAAAGTCTCATATGCAGTTTAGTCTGGCTGCATTCCCACTAGTTGGCAGAACCATTTAATTCTTTGTCTGGCAATATAATCAAAACTTATTCCAACTTTCTCTCTAATGCTGGTATTTGTAAACTTGTCTCTTCTTGTGTTGTTAGTGACCTTATGGGGACAGCACATTTCACATGTAGGTATTTTCTGCTCTAGTACCCTATTCATGCGGCGTCTGTGGCTAAGGCCTTGCCAGTCTGACTCGTAATCCAACGTACTGCGATCGAAACCCACTGCAGGCTGCGTGGATTTTTATCATGGTATGGGACGTCGCAGGTCGACCCAGCCTCAAAAGGGTACCAGGATGGGCTGTCCTGGGAAAGTAAAGACGGCGGCGTAATGCTGACCACATTGGTCTGTAAAAATATGGGTGCTCTTCCCATATGCCCGATGCGCCTAAGAGCGTGTAAAGGGATCTTTACTTTACTTTACTTACCGTATTCATTGTCCATGTTCGGCAATGATAACATAAAGTAGGGATAAAGATACTATTGACCTTTAGCTGTTTTGCTAGAAAGGAGAAATTTGGGTGTCTAAGCAGTGGGGCTAACTGGTAGGTGACAGCATTTGCTTTTTGTACTCTGGCTTCCATCTCTCTATCAAATCTGCCACCCTCTGAAAATATGCTTCCTAGATGTTTGAATTCTCACACTTGTTTGATTGTAGTACAGTTAACATGAACTTTCATGATATTATGTTTCCTGCCTAGTCTCGTTACCTCAGTTTTTGCTGGGTTTATTCTTATATCATCCTGGTGCAAGTTTAATGTAAGGAGTCAGTATAGAGTTGTAAATTCTGTTCTTGGTGGTGTACTAGACATTGATCATCTGCTAAAAAAAAACAAGTTGATTTATTCTGTGCCTGTATTTGCCTCCTGTGTAGTTGTATCCATGTAAGTAGTGAATAGCAATGGTGAGAGGACACATCCCTGTCTTGACACCTAATGAGATGGGGAACCAGACTGTCATTCCTTCTGTTGTTCTTACTGTGCACTGACTATCTTGGTAAAGAGCTAAAATATTATCCAGCAGTTGATCTTAAATACCATAATCTTCTAGAATTTTCCATAGAGTTGATTAAAACTTCTAAGACTTCCTGGGTAGTTTCCAGGACCCAATTGTTGGGGAAACAAGAATAGACCACTGCTCCTAACAAGCATGTCATGAAAGTAATTGCTGATTTGCTGAAATCAATGGCCAAAGGGGGCTGCGTTAGTGCAGTCGATAGGAGACTTGCTTTCAAATCCATCTGTGACTCCCTGCAGCCCACGGCCGGTGTTCAAAATCGAGTTGTTCCCAGGGTTCACCCAGCTTCTAGGAAATGGGTATCAGAGTTAACACTCTGGGGTAAATGGAGAAACGTCCCTGTAGCTACGGAGTTTCATGCAGATGGTAACACAGGGGGCATTGTCTTATCAGCTGTCTGTACTGGTGGCAGAGCACTTCTGGTTTATAACCGTGTACAATTATGCTGGCTCACATCTCCCGACTTTACCTTTTACCTTTAGATCTGTCCAAAAGATGCAGATACCACAGCCTATCTGTAAACCACACCTCAGTGGTCCTGAACTCCCATGCTCTAATTGTGAATCACAAGCGCGTCTTGCTATTCATACTCACCATCACCAGGGGCTGTGGTTTCTCTGCCTTCTTAAAGCACATTAACACACTAGCATCTGGAAACACGGAGAGGTGCCAAAAAAACACAGATGACATATGATTGCAGTGTTATCAGTGAACCCCCAACAAATGCAACCCTATCCCTCAGAATCCACATGGGCGAAAAAATATAACAAGTCAGCATTAGAGAAATGTGAATGTTGTCTGTGTTCATCGGCTGTAAACCCCGGCAGACCTGAGTTTTGTGTGTGCACCAGTTATAGAGATCTTGTTTATTTGTGTGTGGGCTGCTGGTTCCTTGCCTCTCAGGCAGATGCTCTCCAACTTTAAAGAAATCCCCCAATTAGTCGACTCTTACGACATGCTTGTTGGGGAGGCAGTGGGTCTGTTGGAACTATTGGAACCCGCACGGGGAAGAAATGTGAATGATTCTAATGTTGATGTATAGGAGCAGGGTTGGAGAGGTTCTGACTTCATGTTGACATGTTTTACAGTATACCTGCCAGCACCTCGCCGGAGTTGCGCGACTTGCTGCTACGCATGCTGAAGAGAGATGCAGAGGAGAGAATTTCTTTTGGTGAGTGACTGTTTGTCTTTGGCTGAGTGACTGGCTGTCTTTGAGTGAGTGACTGACTGTCTTTGAGTGAGTGACTGGCTGTCTTTGAGTGAGTGACTGACTGTCTTTGGGTGAGTGACTGACTGTCTTTGGTTGAGTGATTGGCTGTCTTTGGGTGAGTGAGTGACTGTTTTTAGGTGAGTGACTTATTTTCTTTAGGTAAATCATTATTAGTGTGAGTGACTTATTGTCTGGGTGAATGACTGCCGTTGATGTGTGAGTGTCTTTAGATAAGCGATTATCTTTTTATGAATGGCTGTCTGTGTAAATAAATAATTATTTGTCTAGTTTTGGATGAGGGACTTGTATTATTCAATCTTGACAGGACATGAAAGTTTGTGACGGCGCAAGATTTTTCCTCATTTATTGATTGTTTATTTACAGATGAGTTTTTCACACATTCTTTGTTCATTTACAGAGAGTTTTTCACACATTCTTTGTTCATTTACACATGAGTTTTGCACACATTCTTTGTTCATTCACAGATGAGTTTTTTTTTACACATTCTTTGTTCATTTACAGATGAGTTTTTTTAAACACATTCTTTGTTCATTTACAGATGAGTTTTTCACACATCCGTTCCTGCTGATGTCTAGTCCAATGAAAGGTAGGCTTCTTTTGTTACACAGTTGTAGATGTGTATATAATATAGTCTCTCTCTTTGTCTGTTTGTTTGTTTTAGTCTCTCTCTGTATATGTTTGTCTGCTTTGGTGTCTTTTTCTGTCTCTGTTTTTCTCTGTATTAAAAAAAAAACAATGGTCTGTAAATGTTTGTCTGCTTTTGAACTTTTGTCTGTCTTAGCCTTACTCTGTGTATGAGCCTGTCTGGCTTAGTCTCTGTTTCTAATCAGTCTATTTTAATCTAGCTATTGTTATTCAGCTATCTTTGTGCTTTAATCTTTCTGTGTGTCTGTCTGTCTGTCTTAATTTCTATCTCTCTGTCTGTCTTGCTTTTTCTATGCGTTTTGTTTGTGTGTGTGTGTTGTTTGCTTTAGTGTCTTTGTCTTTCTCAGCCTATCTCTTTATCTGTTAGTCAGTCTATCTCAGCCTCTGTGTATCTATCTATCTTAGTCCATCTCATTATCTCTCAGTGTGTCTGTCTTGGCCTTTCACTGTATGCACCCTAGTCTCTCTGTTTATCTGTCTTAGACTCTCTGTATCTGCAGAAGTGGAGGAAACACATTTAACTCTGGCATTTATCTCATATACAACATATTTAACTATTGTAACAAATGATGTTATCTGTGTGTTATTTTTATATTTGATGTAATCTGATGTAGTTATCTAGAAGTTTTAGACTACAGTAGGTGCCAAAAGTTTGAAACCACCTAGAAAATAGATATTTCCACACAGTTATGAAGTAGTGATACTCCTAACAGGGTGGACAAATCAGTTTACTTCAAATTAACAAGTGTGGCAAAAGTGGATACCTTGCAACAGCACACCAACATTACAGGGACTCGCATGAATATACTTTCTGGAATATGCAGGAGTACGGTTAGTTGTGTATCCTTTACAGGACATTGCAGAACCAACCCCAACAGCCCCTGGCTGTTGTGTGGTTTTTCTAGGCATATTTACGTCCAGTAGTTTGCCATTGCTTTCTGGATGGTCGGCTTTCTTGATACCACTATCAAAACCAACGCAAGGCCCATGGCCCGCAGCTGGGATCGGACCCGGCATCCCAGCATTACGAAGCGTTCGCATCGAATTAGCCACAGAGCCGACGCAGGAGTACGAGGGAATGAAAAATTTGATTATTTGGCTATAAAAACGATAGCTATAGGACCGCTGGTACTGGACAAAGGAAACGTTCTTAAGGCCATGTATGAATGCATACTGGTAGAAGACACGATGTTAGATAAAATAGCTTGTAAGAATATGTGAAAATGTTATTAGGAGTGGATACAGCAATGAGGAACACATGAGAGGAATAAAACAACGTTTGTGTAGTCAATGATATATGAGTGTTCTTATGTGACTGACATACTGTCTTGATGTTTATCTCACCACCAGTAATGTCCCCGCCAGTGAGTGTACCAAAGCGGAGATCCAGCTCTTCTCCAGAAAGCTCATCTCTTGGAAGATCACCTGGCACATCATCTCCTTCTTACAGCAAGAAGTCACCAACTCCATCACCTAAAGTCAGTACTACATGTAATTGCTGTTGTTATTTGTAATAAAAAAAAAAAATAATATTCCATGTTGTGCAGACAAAAAGAGTGTGTGGTAAATTTTAAATTGCTGTGGTAGCCACTGAATGTGTTGAATTTCCGGTTAATGGGGTGTACTTTGTATCTTGAGAAAACAGTTGTGAGTTGTGCGTTTCATTGGAAAGGGTACAGTTGTCATGCTTTATCATGTGTTGACTTAACTCTGTGGTAATGCACCTGATGAGATGCAGCAAAATATGCCTGGCAGTAAATTGCGCAATGTATTGCTTTTGTCCACATTATTAAAATACACCATGGGACAATTTTGTATGTGGTTTGTGTCAGCACCTGTAGCTTTGGAATTGCGAGCATACTTTGTAATTCCGAGGTAGCCAGTTCGATTCCAGCTGCAGGCAGGGATTAGAACAGTGGTATTGAGAATTGACGGTTCAGTAAACAATGCTGGACCACTGAACTTAAAAATGCATAGTAAAACCAAAACAGCCAACAAATACTGTAAATGGGGGTCTTCATGGCGAAGTGGTTAAGCCGTTAGCCTTACGCTTGAAGGTCGTGGGTTCATTTCACAGCGCCGCCATTCAGTTCATGAGTGCAATTTTTTGGGAGCGGCATGGGGACTAATCATTTTGCGAAGAGACATTGAGCTGTATAGGGCAAAATCTGAAGCAATAAAGTCGAACCTCTCGCCTTTACCTTTTACTGTAAAGGATACAAAACTAACTTTTTGTATATAGTGTGTCAATAGAAGATTGAACCCAGTCTGTGAGTAGGCCAGGCACACACACAAATTGGGGTGCAAGATCTTGACCAGTGTGGCTTCCTGCAGCCTTGGCCACCCATATAAACTAATAAGCAAGTTGCTTGCTGTTTCAGCTGAAGGAGACTAAAGAAGAGGACATGATGACAACCCTGACAGAGACTGCAGGATTTACAAAAGTGGATAGTGAGGATCTGAGGACCAGATCAGGTCGATCGACACCAGATGTGAGTGCCCGCTTCTCTTCTTCTTCTTCTTGTCTTCCTCGTCTTCTCACAGAGTGGCTGTCTTTATTGTTGAACAGTTGATACTAGTGCTTGGTAGTGGATATAGCAAGGAAATGGAACAGGAGATACAGATGGTGACACAGTGGTTCTTTTTCTTCTGCCTTCTATCCCCCGACCAACTCACGCCAAGTCATTCTGTCCTTCGCTATTAGTGCAGCTTAACCTTTGCCCCGGTCTTTAGGATTTCACTCTCCAGCCCCCTTCTTTTAGCGTCTTTTAGCCCGCCTGTTTTTCATTAGAGGGCACAAGGAAGAAAGCCCATTAGACAGATTAGGCCTTTCTCAAGAGATTTGAAGACTTTTTCACACTAAACAAGAATATTCTCTGGTCAGAGTCAATCTTAACATTGTTGTGTGTCTTGCTGAATGAAATAGGCATTCATGTTCTTATGCACTTCCTGGTCCTTCAAAAGCGCACAAGGAATACCGTGTTGTGGATTACAGCTTAACATCCACAAAATCCGCATTTCAACAAATCCCTAATTTCGCGTGTGGGTTCCGGGGCCCCATTGTTTTGGGGAGGGGTAAAAGGAACTGTAACAAGCATGCCCTAAGAGTCTACTAATCAGGGCTTTTTTTTTTAAATCTGCGTGAGAGGCAAGGAACCAGTAGTCTGCATACATAAAAGCCAGATCTGTAAAACAGACGTGCATGAAAAGCTCCCAGCTATAGAACAAGGCTAAAGACCAGAAGGTGAATTAACAAGAAAAATTTCCTGTGATCAAGAAAAACAGCCTGTGATCATGAAAAAGAAAAGTAACCGCAACCTTAATATGTTGCCTTTTGTGAAATGCTTGTTTAAGGAGCGTTGGGTCTATTCTTTTTTTCTTTTCTCCCAGAATGGAGCCAGAACCTACACTGGAAGCTGTGTATCAAGTCTAGTTATGATATTGTTTTATAGCACCAACATAAACTTCTTCTTATAGTCCATCCATGTGGCATTGTTTTTTTTATAGTCCATCCATGTGGTATTGTTCTCCTTATAGTCCATCCATGTGGCATTGTTTTTTTTATAGTCCATCCATGTGGCATTGTTTTTTTTATAGTCCATTCATGTGGCATTGTTTTTTTTATAGTCCATCCATGTGGCATTGTTTTTTTTTATAGTCCATCCATGTGGCATTGTTTTTTTTATAGTCCATCCATGTGGCATTGTTCTTCTTATAGTCCATTCATGTGGCATTGTTCTTCTTGTAGTCCATCCATGTGGCATTGTTCTTCTTGTAGTCCATCCATGTGGCATTGTTCTTTTTATAGTACATTCATGTGGCATTGTTCTCCTTATAGTCCATCCATGTGGCATTGTTCTTCTTATAGTCCATCCATGTGGCATTGTTCTTTTTGTAGTCCATCCATGTGGCATTGTTCTTTTTGTAGTCCATCCATGTGGCATTGTTCTTTTTGTAGTCCATCCATGTGGCATTGTTCTTTTTGTAGTCCATCCATGTGGCATTGTTCTTCTTGTAGTCCATCCATGTGGCATTGTTCTTCTTGTAGTCCATCCATGTGGCGTTGTTCTTTTTATAGCATCCATGTGGCATTGTTCTTCTTATAGTCCATCTATGTGGCATTGTTCTCCTTATAGTCCATCCTTGTGGCATTGTTCTTCTTGTAGTCCATCCATGTGGCATTGTTCTTCTTGTAGTCCATCCATGTGGCGTTGTTCTTTTTATAGCATCCATGTGGCATTGTTCTTCTTATAGTCCATCTATGTGGCATTGTTCTTTTTATAGTCCATCCATGTGGCATTGTTCTTCTTGTAGTCCATCCATGTGGCTTTGTTCTTCTTGTAGTCCATCCATGTGGCATTGTTCTTTTTATAGTTTATCCATGTGGCATTGTTCTTCTTGTAGTCCATCCATGTGGCATTGTTCTTCTTGTAGTCCATCCATGTGGCATTGTTCTTCTTGTAGTCCATCCATGTGACATTGTTCTTTTTATAGTCCATCCATGTGGCATTGTTCTTCTTATAGTCCATCCATGTGGCATTGTTCTTCTTATAGTCCATCCATGTGGCATTGTTCTTTTTGTAGTCCATCCATGTGGCATTGTTCTTCTTGTAGTCCATCCATGTGGCATTGTTCTTCTTGTAGTCCATCCATGTGGCGTTGTTCTTCTTGTAGTCCATCCATGTGGCATTGTTCTTTTTATAGTCCATCCATGTGGCATTGTTCTTCTTGTAGTCCATCCATGTGGCATTGTTCTTCTTGTAGTCCATCCTTGTGGCATGTTCTTCATCCATCCATGTGGCATTGTTCTTTTATAGTCATCCATGTGGCATTGTCCATCCATCCATGTGGCATTGTTCTTCTTGTAGTCCATCCATGTGGCATTGTTCTTCTTGTAGTCCATCCATGTGGCATTGTTCTTCTTGTAGTCCATCCATGTGGCATTGTTCTTCTTGTAGTCCATCCTTGTGGCATTGTTCTTCTTGTAGTCCATCCATGTGGCATTGTTCTTCTTGTAGTCCATCCATGTGGCATTGTTCTTCTTGTAGTCCATCCATGTGGCATTGTTCTTCTTGTAGTCCATCCATGTGGCATTGTTTCTTGTAGTCCCATATGTCCATTGTTCTTTTTATAGTCCATCCATGTTCATTGTTTCTTTTAGTCCATCCATGTGGCATTGTTCTTCTTGTAGTCCATCCATGTGGCATTGTTCTTCTTGTAGTCCATCCATGTGGCATTGTTCTTTTTATAGTCCATCCATGTGGCATTGTTCTTTTTATAGTCCATCCATGTGGCATTGTTCTTCTTGTAGTCCATCCATGTGGCATTGTTCTTCTTGTAGTCCATCCATGTGGCATTGTTCTTTTTATAGTCTATCCATGTGGCGTTGTTCTTCTTGTAGTCCATCCATGTGGCATTGTTCTTCTTGTAGTCCATCCATGTGGCGTTGTTCTTTTTATAGCATCCATGTGGCATTGTTCTTCTTATAGTCCATCCATGTGGCATTGTTCTTCTTGTAGTCCATCCATGTGGCATTGTTCTTCTTGTAGTCCATCCATGTGGCATTGTTCTTCTTGTAGTCCATCCATGTGGCATTTGTTCTTCTTATAGTCTATCCATGTGGCATTGTTCTTCTTGTAGTCCATCCATGTGGCATTGTTCTTCTTGTAGTCCATCCATGTGGCATTGTTCTTCTTGTAGTCCATCCATGTGGCATTGTTCTTCTTGTAGTACATCCATGTGGCATTGTTCTTTTTATAGTACATCCATGTGGCATTGTGGCATCCATGTTGCATTCTTCTTGTGTAGTCCATCCATGTGGCATTGTTCTTCTTGTAGTCCATCCATGTGGCATTGTTCTTTTTATAGTACATCCATGTGGCATTGTTCTTCTTATAGTCCATCCATGTGGCATTGTTCTTCTTATAGTCCATCCATGTGGCATTGTTCTTCTTGTAGTCCATCCATGTGGCATTGTTCTTCTTATAGTCCATCCATGTGGCATTGTTCTTCTTGTAGTCCATCCATGTGGCATTGTTCTTCTTGTAGTCCATCCTTGTGGCATCCATCCATGTGGCATTGTTCTTCTTGTAGTCCATCCATGTGGCATTGTTCTTTTTATAGTCCATCCATGTGGCATTGTTCTTCTTGTAGTCCATCCATGTGGCATTGTTCTCCTTATAGTCCATTCATGTGGCGTTGGTAGTCATGTGTATCCACAACCATCTGTATAGTGTACTTCCAGTCAGTTCTGACACAGATGGTTATTCAAACCATGATGTACTCCAGTTTTTTCCTTCTAATGACCTGACCAAAGAATTGAGATTGTCTATCCAATTTCATTTGATTTGCCTTGGCTTCATCTACATCTGATGTTCCTAGTCATTACGATGTTCTCCAACAGATCAAGCAGCTTTACACTGGAGACAACAACAGTTACAGTAACAGATCAGTTTACCTGTTTAGATAGCAGTCTGATTGCCAAGGAAACGAAGAAAGAAATGATGATGAACACTGCCAAGGCAACAAACAGCAGCTTTTAAAAGACTGAAATCAAATTTTTTAGTTCTAAAATCAAGTTATGTTTGTTAATTCTAAATTTGTTTCAATGCTGACCTGCGAGTGAAGGTTTGAGATACACATGGTACCAAAGTCAAATGCATTAGAAGTCCCTAACCTAATAATGGCTACGCAAACAGAGCACAAACTTTGTAGCTCCATGGATTTCCCTATAATTGCCTTTGTGAACCAAATCACATAGTCTGAATTGAGCCCACAACTTCCAGAGCATGAGGCCAACAGCTTGACAGCTTCATCACAAAGACCTATCCTTAATGCATCATATTAAGTTGCAGGCATTTCCTGGTTCCTGACCTGATCTCATTTCTATACATAGATGTCTCTTGTTGCACCTATTTTACAGGACTTTGTGATGGTGCCGGAAGCCCTGTGTCTAGAGTCAGGTCAGTTTGCATTGTTTGCCATTGTTTTATTTTCATGTTCATCATCATTGTTCTACTGGCATGTTCATCATCATTGTTCTACTGGCATGTTCATCATCATTGTTCTACTGGCATGTTCATCATCATTGTTTTACTGTCATGTTTATCATCATTGTTCTACTGGCATGTTCATCATCATTGTTCTACTGGCATGTTCATCATCATTGTTCTACTGGCATGTTCATCATCATTGTTCTACTGGCATGTTCATCATCATTGTTTTACTGGTATATTCATCTTTATTGTTTTACTGGCATATTCATCATCATTGTTTTACTGGCATATTCATCATCATTGTTTTACTGGCATATTCATCATCATTGTTTTACTGGCATATTCATCATAATTTATTTACTGTCATGCTTATCATCATTGTTCTACTGTCATATTCGTCGTCATTGTTCTAGTGGCATGCTCATCATCATCGTTTACTGTTATGTTCGTCATCGTTCTACTGATATTCATCATCATTGTTCTACTGTCATGTTTATCATCATTGTTTTACTATAACATTCATCCTCTTTGTTTTACTATCACGTTCATCATTATTTACTGTCATCTTCATCATCATTGTTCTACTGTCATGTCTTCATCATTGTTGTACCATCATGTTCATCATCATTGTTCCAATGTCATCTTCATGACTGTTCTAATATCATTTTTGTCACTGTTCTAATGCTATCTTCGTCACTGTTCTAATGTCATCTTCGTCATTGTTCTAATGTAATCTTCGTTCACTGTTCTAATATCATCTTCACCATTGTTGTAATGCCATCTTCATTTTTCTAATGTGTTCACCAATGTTAAATGGGCTATGTCTAGAGTACAGCAGTGATAATTTGCATTGGACTGAATGAGATACTGGCCCCAAAAAAAAAAAAAAGATGTTGAGTTTGATTTGTTGTTGTCATAGTATTCATTGTGTACAGACATATAACTTGTGTTCATCTCTGCCCAGATGGAGAAGAGAGTGTCTGTATAAGGAAGGCCCCACTGGCAGAGGAAGAGATGGCGTCATTTAGGTTAGTCTGAATGTAATTTGAAAATCTCTGTCAGCTTTTCTAATCTTTTTAATAAATTTTTTTCTTTTAAACTTTTGGGCTAGAACAAATAAGGGGTTGTGTTATACACAAAAAAATACAGTTTGATCTCATTCTGTTCGGGTCTCTGGTATTAGAATGGTCAATTATTTTGCTACCTTGGGTATTCATTGCCTTATTAATGGGAGTTAATATTGTAGTGAAATGGTTTGGCCATCTGGTCAGAATGAACCCAGCGTCACCGGTTGCAAGAGCATACAACTTAAGAATGGAAACATCAGGAGCCAGAGAAAGGCCAAGAAAATTATGGATAGATGGAGTTAACAGCTCGCTGAAACTCAGCAATATCACCACGCAGCAAGCTCACGAGCATACAGTAACCAGGAAACTGATCATTAGCCGTGTCTGCGATGCCCAACAGCATTAAGCAGAGAAAGACAATAGAGAGATTGAATATTGTAGCATCTGAAGTGTCATTAACTTTTTTCACCCCGTAAGATTCTAAAAAATTATGTTTGTATCAAATTTTATTTGTAAAATGTGCAAGCTTATAATTCTATGAAACTCTACCCTAACCAATTAGAAAAAGTGGAGGAGAAAAAGAAGCAGAAGAAACGGTCAGTTTTTATAAAAATCCAGGGGGTTGAACTGCGAGACAATTGAGGAAAAAATAGAGAGGAGAGAGAAAGATATATTTTTTAACTCACTACCTGTTTCTGATAGCGTAATACAAATATAGTCAACTGTCAAATATAGACTCACGTGAGTTAAAAGTGCTATCCTCAAATGGGTTCTGGTGCCCCATTTGTTTAGGGGCTGGAGGAACAGGAATACACCCACTGGCCCCTAACAAGCATATTGTAGAATGATTAATTACAGATTTTTCCTCTGAAGTCGGAGCAATCTGCCTGAGTAGTGAGAAATCATCAGTCTGCATACAAGTAGGCCAGATTGGTTGATGCAAATTCTGGAACAAGACAGAAGTCCAGAGTTGGACGCAAACAACGAGAACTTTCCCCCAGAGTTTACAGCTGGTGAACGCCAAGAAGAGGAGGTGGAGGCGAGTTTTAAGTTTTTTTTTTTTTTTTTAAATCTTGTGGGTCGAACCACTAGACCATTGAGGAGACAGGCAGTTGAAATTCAGTAGAAATGGAATACAGGTATGACATCAATGGGGGGAGGTTTGGAGAGAAGAAGGGGGAAGACAAAATAGAGAGGGGAGAGAGATGTATTTTAACTGCATACCTGTTTGTGATGGCATCAGACAAATACACCTCCTCCTCAGTGTATGACCTATGCGACTTATGACTATGCACACTTACAACCACCCCAAAGGTCAACAAATTCCTAAAACTGTATTTTTCACATTATATACAAAAGTAATACATACATAAACTAAATTTGTGTGTTTTTTGCAAAAAATTTTATGACCCATTTGAATGAAAATAGTGTTAAAAAATATAAATTTGACTTAAAACCTATTGGACTGGAACGTAACTTAATCATAAATCGATAAGACTCTCTAGTAAATTGAGGTAAGTAGACTTATGTGAGTGGAAGCGGTAAAACTAGATCATCTCTTGTTTCAGTGTATCAATACAGAGGTCTCCTAAGCCGAACAGAATCCAGTTCAACAATGCTGTGACTTTCTCCAAGGGCAAGGAGAATGACCCAGCTGGAGGAAGCCCTAGCCGACCTGTCACTCTCTCCATGGCGACAGCACACTGTCAGTCAGATCCTATCTCTGTCCCATGTGACCTGAAGAGTAAGGCAGGGGAAGTCACTCTGAGGGTCAAACAAAAAGTCAAGTCTCCGGATGTTAAAATGGTTAGTTACAAGTTTGTAGTTAATTGCCTCTACCATACAGCTGATCACACGTTCATTAGTTAGTCTGAACGGCGCACATTTCAGACTCCTCTTTTTTTTTCACAAACCATCATCGTGCAACAGTTTCTTCACACAACATTGTTATTGTCACAGCCTGCCTGAAGAAACTGCCCATCACCAGCCCTCCTGTCTCATGCACTTTTCTGCCCCAAAGTGTGTCTCTTATATCAAATGCCCATCTTTATGCTGGTCGTTCCCTGCCCCTCTTGCCTAGTGCCATGCTTTCCACTACAGTTCTTTTCAATCCACCATGACACTTGATATGGTCATAGTTTTTCAGAATTCAAGACGAGACAAGATGTTGTTTTCCTTGAAGTTCAGATCTTCTAACCTGTCAGTTTTATTTTTTGCTTAACTTCTTCTTGGTCCATGGTATTAACAATCTTTTGTGTAGCATTTCGTCTCTGAAGTCCCTATCCCTAAATGGTCACCTCCTATGAAATTCTTGTCAGAGGGGGGTTCCCCCCTCACCCGAAATTGGGCCATAGAACCCATACAAGGGAACCAAGCATGTACAGGGTGGCTAATTAAGGATTTGCTGAAATCATATGTATTTGCCCAGAAGACACAGTATCATAGTTAAGCTGTAAAAACTACTACTATTGCTTTTTTTAAAAGGGTGAACAAAGATGGAGAAGAAGTACCTTAAGATGTATATACATAGTTGAGGTGGCCAGAAGAAAGAACGGAATCAAGCACAATCTGTCTCTCTCAGTCCTTGCTTTGGCATTTATACCTTTCCTAAGTAACGCTCACCTTGGCCGTTTGTCCTAATTCTTCATGCTGACTCTAGAGTTCAACATCTCTTTAATATAAGCAGATTAGTCCCTGTGCCTCATCCGGGTTGCTGTCCTTAGATAACCTGTTTGTTTCCTGCTTCCTGCTCCTGTCTCCAAATTTCCATTGTTCCTTGTAAGCCTTTTTAGGTCAGTACACTCGTAATTTCTCTAGGCTTGGCCACCCTCTCTTAATGTTGTGGTTTTTCCAGAGCTTCGTACGTGTATGCTGCTCTAGCAGTTTCAGTTTCTGGTGTTCTTCCATAGCTTGATTAGTCCTCAACTATCGTTCTTAGTTTAATTGTCCCTTAGAGGCCACCCTACCAGCATCTTTGTCTGTCTTTTTAGGCCAATGCTGTGTGTGCTTTTAACCTTTGTTTCTTCCTTCCGCAATTTATGGGTATATTAGCCTACAAAGGTCCCATTCTCCTAGCTTTATCTCGCAGCTAGGTCTTTGTTTGTCGACTCTTGAGTCAATGCCACCAGGGTTGTTGTATTATACTGTTATATTATACTATGCGACCTTCTTATTCTCAAGTGACTCTATACCTCCTTATTGCTCTGTTGTTTCTTTCCTTCTGTTTTCTTCTTGTAATATTCATGACTGTAATCAGTACTGTCACATTAGGAAAAGGTAAGAATATTGTTAACAGTTTAATGGAGCAGCTACTTTAAAAAAGATGAACAAATCCATCACCCAAGCCATCCGAGAAGCGCAGGACAAATACAGAAAATTTTGACACTGGGCTACAACCTGGTATCTGAAAGACGATGTAAAAAAGAAGCTACTCAAAGCAATTTTAGTAGAACAGCTTTCAGGGGAGTGGCGAGATGGGCATACAGTCAGACTAATACTGGTACCTTTGAATTGGAGCTCTGATCAGGACAGAGGACTTATGGGAATGTCTCAAGTGCTGTGCTGTCTGACTCATAACTCATTTTAGAACAGATGTGTGATGAATGTATCATTGCGATTTTGACCACAGGAGAGTGATAGCCAGGAGCTGGCAGTTGTCAAGCGAGGCTCAGAGACCAAGCTGTCAGGGGTTGACATGGTTGACGCTGTGCTCAGACGCAGCTCCGAGACCAGGTTGTCAGGGGTTGACATCGTGGATGCAGGCTCGTTTTCACCTCCAGCAGGTTTGGTTCACATTTGATGTTCGCTAAATTGTTAACCTGTTGTTACTTTTTGGTCAGGATGCTGGCGTTGGATAGGAGAAAAACTGAAAACAATATAACTAGAGTGTCTTTACTCAGGAACCCATAGTGGCTTAGAAATTAAGGCAGACCGAAAACGAGACACATAGTGAAGGGAATTCGAGAGTGACGTTAAAATTGTGAGTACATTGTGATGCATGCGATAACAAAGTATTGGATGATGAGTTGAGAGTCTATGCCCCATTTTGGAGGCAAACAAAAATGACTTGTTAGTTGGTTGTTTGTTGTCTAGAACAAGCATTTCAAACATGTCATGCAGCCCTTCCCAAGCAGTAATTTTTGTTAAATGACTTCGGTTAATAGTCGCATGTGGCCTTCATGACAACACAAGTGTGACCATTTGGCCATCTAAGGACCCTCAGTTTGACATGCCTAGTCTGTATAGAATATTATTATCATTTGTGTGTATGTGTGCGTGCGTGCGTGTGTGTGTTTGTGTATGTATGATTATTTTTGCATGCTTCTTTGTGTGCATGCATGAGCATGTATTGTACAGATACAAAGTCAACTCATTATTACTTGTGTGAGAACTCATGTGTAACCTTCAATTCTGTATCCACTCACTTTATTTTCTGTCTTTAAAGCAGTTGTCTGTGCTTTAGTTTAAAGCTGTGTTTGACTAAATATATGAGTGGTTTGTAACACGATTGCTTGAAATCTGCAGTTCAGTTCTGTGTGGGCACACCACCAAGTGGACCGTCATGGAGGAGGTCAAATGTGGTGACCCCACCTCCGTACTCTTCAGTGTTGCCTGGTTCCCCACATCGCAAGTCCTGTAAGTGTTGGTGGTTTAGATAATACTAGATAACAGCTCTGTCAACATTGTATCTGTATTATACCCTGTTTTGAGACTGGACATTATAGCACACCTGGCATTCCCATAGGTCCTCTGTCTCCCTGTAGCAATTATCTTAAGGTGTAGATGCTGACTGTTCCCGTAGCACACTGATTATACATACGTCCTTGGATGATACCCACACCCCCATTATATCTGTTACAGCACATCTCCATTACAACGCTAACTTTGTTATAGCCACATCTTTATTATCCCACACTACCCTAACACATCTTCCTACCCACATTGCTATGACACCACATCTCTGTTACACCTAAATCTGCATTACACCCCTATCTTCATACACCCACATCTCATTTACACCACACTTCCATTACACCCTTATCTCCATTACACCTTCATCTCCATTACACCTTCATCTCCATTACACCCATATCCTTATTGCACCTCAACTCCATTACACCACATTTCATCACACTGCATCCGCATTACTCCACATCTCCACTACACTTCATTGCTATTAAACTATGTCTCATTTACATCATCATAACATAACACCACGTTACATCCGCATTACTCCACATCTCCACTACACTACATTGCTATTAAACTATGTCTCATTTACATCATCATAACATAACACCATGTTACATCCGCATTACTCCACATCTCCACTACACTTCATTGCTATTAAACTATGTCTCATTTACATCATCATAACATAACACCATGTTACATCCCCATTACTCCACATCTCCACTACACTACATTGCTATTAAACTATGTCTCATTTACATCATCATAACATAACACCACGTTACATCCGCATTACTCCACATCTCCACTACACTTCATTGCTATTAAACTATGTCTCATTTACATCATCATAACATAACACCACGTTACATCCGCATTACTCCACATCCCCACTACACTTCATTGCTATTAAACTATGTCTCATTTACATCATCATAACACCACGTTACATCCGCATTACTCCACATCTCCACTACACTTCATTGCTATTAAACTATGTCTCATTTACATCATCATAACATAACACCATGTTACATCCGCATTACTCCACATCTCCACTACACTACATTGCTATTAAACTATGTCTCATTTACATCATCATAACATAACACCACATTACATCCCCATAACTACACATTAGATCACAATAACACCATATTACATCACAAACACCATAGTACATCACAATAACGCCTTCATAACAAATCACTACATCCTTAAAACACATTTCTAATCAAACTTCATAACAAATCACTACATCCTTAAAACACATTTCTAATCAAACTTCATAACAAATCACTACATCCTTAAAACACATTTCTAATCAAACTTCATAACAAATCACTACATCCTTAAAACACATTTCTAATCAAACTTCCATAACAAATCACTACATCCTTAAAAACACATTTCTAATCAAACTTCATAACAAATCACTACATCCTTAAAACACATTTCTAATCAAACTTCATAACAAATCACTACATCCTTAAAACACATTTCTAATCAAACTTCATAACAAATCACTACATCCTTAAAACACATTTCTAATCAAACTTCATATATTAAAAAATAATAGTTTGTTGTGACTTTGTTGATGTGCAAATGAGATTATTACCTTTTCTTCATGTATAACAACTTAGACTTCATACCATCATCTTTGTCCCAGGATATGCCAGCATGGAAGGTAATGAGATGGTGGATGTTGTTGCAGGCAATGCGCCATAGGAAACCGGCCTTTTATGAACAGCATGGACGGCATCAGTGATATAAGAGAGACAACACATGCTGAAGACTTCAAACATGAGGATAATTATTTCTCTGTGGCTCAGATGTGAAGTCTGGATACACCAGTTGAAGCAACACAGCGTGAAAACATTGCAAGAGCTCACATGCACTATGTAATCTAATTCAAAGTAATACATGATTGCGTGACCTGGGTGTAAAGCATATTGAAGCACGTCTATGCTGCTGTTGAGACCGAGAGAGGATAGACACATTATAACCAGCTCCTCGTGGTAACAATCAGTAGAGGTACCTTGGAGTGGCTGCCTCAACAGAGGACTGAGAAGACATGAGAATGCCCAGGGTGCAGTCACGTTGTGTTAACATAACAATGCAGAACAGGGATCGTCTTTCCTGTGTGAGTTCCTGAGCTCCCGTTATGGGGAAAATAAGAATAGACCCACTGTCTCTCCAATAAGCATGTCGTAAGAGTCAACTGATTGGGAATTTCTTTCGAAGTCAGAATGCATCTGCCTGAGTGACAAGGAACATTCTACCACACACAGATAAGCCAGTAAAACAGAAGTGCACACTAAACTCTGGCTCTTGAACAAAGCCAAAAACCAAATGGACGAACAACCAGGATTTTCCACCGAAGTTTACAGCCGGTGAACAAAGAAGAAGCAGAAGAAGAAGAAGTCGTCTGGGTAAATACACCAAGGAACATGCTGAGGAGAAGACTGATTCACTTATGGGTGTGCCCAATGTGCAGTGAGGATTATCTTAAAATGAGCAATGTATAACACCTACTAATGTGGCTCATATTTCTGTTTCTCTCTCACAGCTATAACATCCCCTCATTTCTCACTCCTTCAGTTCTCCAACCCATCCTCATCAGTCCTGGGTTCGCACCCCTCCTCCCTGCCCACAATCGTAGGTTCCCCCAACAGGTTCCCTGCCATGTTCCGCCTCAGTTCCCCACACGACAACTCCCCAGAGCCAATCCATGCCCCCTTTGCTTCGGCTGGAGCTGCTTACTTGCCTGCATATCATACCAGCAGTACTGTACCTGACAACATGGTGGCTATGGCCCACCATAGAGATGGTAGGTGGTGCTCCTTGTTGTGGCTGCAGCCGTGTGTCTACTGGTTGTTTGTGGGCTGTGCCTTTAACTCATTCAGTTAATCATTGTGTGTCTGCATGGTTGTGTCTACTGGATGTATGTGGGCTGTGCCTTTAACTCATTCAGTTAATCAATGTGTGTATGCATCGTTGTGTCTACTGGATGTTTGTATTCTGTGCCTTTAACTCATTCAGTTAATCATTGTGTGTATGCATCGTTGTGTCTTCTGGATGTTTGTAGGCTGTGCCTTTAACTCATTCAGTTAATCATTGTGTGTATGTGTGCTCGTGTCTACTGAATGTTTGTAGGCTGTGCCTTTAACTCATTCAGTTAATCATTTCATTCATGTATTCGTGGTTGTATCTACTGAAAGTTTGTAGGCCGTATCTTTAACTCATTCAGTTAATCAATATGTGTATGATCCCCGTGTGGGTTCCGGGGCCCCATCGTGGGGAAAACAAGAATAGACCCTCTGCCTACCCAAAAGCATGTAGTAAGAGTCGACTAATTGGGAGCTTCCTTTGAAGTCGGAGTGCATCTGCCTGAGAGGCAAGGAACCAGCAGTCTGCATTCAAGTGAATCAGATCTGTAAAACTGATGCACACGCAACACTCAGGTTCTGGAGCAGGACTGCAGTTCAGAAGTGGACAAACAACCAGAACTTTTTACCAGAGTGTACAGCTGGTGAACGCGAAGAAGAAGAATATGTGTATGCATGGTTGTGTCTACTGAATGTTTGTAGGCTGTGCCTTTAACTCATTCAGTTATTCATTTTATGTATTTGTGGTTGTGTCTACTGGATACTTAGAGGCTGTAGCTTTAACTCAGTTAAGTTGATCATTATTTGTATGCATTATTTGTATGCATTATTTGGCCTCTGAGATGTGGTTTTTACAATTCCTTAGCAGATTTTAAAAAAAAAAACCTACATGATTTGAAAGAGGTGAAAGCTCGAAGACAACTTACCACAAACATCAGAAAGAGGTCCATAATTTTTTGGTCATATGAGAAGAAAAAAACTGGAACTTGTTGTGACCACTGGAAAAAATTTGTGGAAAGCGAGATGATTCCTGACAGCCTTTTGTCTTGAACATGGAGGGGATTCATTACACGAACTGTTACATGCTGTTGAAGATCATAGATTGTGTTGATTCATGATTGCCTACGTCAGTCGGCAAGGCACTCGATGGTGATGATGATGATGCATGATTGTGTGTTCGAATATGTATATTTATGGGCATGTATTATTGTGTATATACAAAAGTGTTGAGTTGATTCAAAAACCGACATCACAGCACTCGGAACATTCCCATAAGCTCTCCGTCCCCATCTTCAGCAGCCAGCGAAGAGTTCCAGTACTAATGGTGCTAGTAGCATTCTGATTAAATGTCCCTCTTGCCTTTCGTCTGAGCCTCGAGCATCTGCCTGAACCTCTCGTCATTCTCCCCTGCATCAATCTCACTAGACTGTGGTGGTACAAAAGTGTGTATATACGAGAGTGGTGTGTGTGTGTGTGTGCGTGCGTGCGTGCGTGCGTGTATATATATATATATATATATATATATATATATATATATATATATATATATATATATATATATATATATATGTGTGTGTGTGTGTGTGTGTGTGTGTGTGTGTGTGTGTGTGTGTGTGTGTATAATGTGTTGTTTGTGTGTGTGTGATAGTTATACATGGGTGTATATGAGTATGTTCATGCATATGTGAGTGTGTAAGTGGGTATAACATGATGATGTTGGAGATAGGTTTAGTCGTAGCCTCATTACTGGATACTGATATAGTATTGCTAACACAGAATGGTCGAGTGTTAGAGCCAAGGTGATATCCTCACATTGAGTTTTGCTGTGATGTCTTGTGTTGTCATTTTTGATGTAGAAATGTTTCCATGTTTCTGTCTAGTTCTTGGTGAGATTCAACCCATGGACTACCACCGTGTCAGTACAGACTCCAGTCTTGTGTCCCACCAACTGCACAGTCAGCCAAGGCAAGGTAAGCAGGCACTTCACCTGTGAAAATTGTGAAAGAATCAGTCATTCAATCGTCAGGAAGTCAAGAATTTACGTCCGTGCACCCGAGACATTCCTGCACATGCTGCCGCATCTCCTTACAGTCAGTAGCCAACAAAGAGTCAAAATGCTAATATTACTAAACCAGACTAAGGCCTACGTGTACATTGAGTTGGAAATCTACACCATACCAAACAATTCATTGGTATAACCCTCATCACTGAGTTATACCACAAAAATGATTTACACTTCAGAGCTCACATAAATTTCTACTCTGAGCTAAACATCTGTTGAGATAAACCTCTCGTGAGATATATATCCCTTCCCCGAGACATACCTCTTTATTGAGATATAACCCCGTACCTGAGACATGCCTCTACATTGAGATATACCCCTTCCCCGAGACATACCTCTACATTGAGATGTACACCTTGCCCGAGACATACCTCTACATTGAGATATACCCCTTTCCCAAGACATACCTCTACATTGAGATATACTTTTTTCCTTAGACATACCTCTACATTGAGAAATACACCTTCCCCAAGATATACCTCTACATTGAGAAATACACCTTCCCCGAGGCATAATATGCATATTATTACATGCTTTATTGATGAAATACAACTGCTGTGTGAAAGATGGAAGTTTGGAAGGGCCGAATGTAAGACAGGCCTGCATGCCTAATTTGTAAGCCTTTGAAAATAAAGTTTGTTTGTTCGGTTCGTTCATACCTCTACATTGAGATATATCCCTTACTTGAGACGTACCTCTACATTGAGATATATCCCTTACTTGAGACGTACCTCTACATTGAGATATACCTTTACATTGAGAAATACACCTTCCCCAAGACACACCTCTACATTGAAACATACCTCTACACTGAAGTAAAGCTGACAAACTGAGATGTGTGGTTATGGATCTTGCGGCGCGAGGTGCTGTATAGTGATGTATGTTAGGGTTCATTAGATGTTGAGACGTAGCTGGCTTGTTGAGATATGATATAATTCAGCAGGTCCTATCCAAAACCTCACTGTCATCACGGTCTGCCTAAAAGTCTCTTTCTCTAACCATTTCTCCAACCCTATGTGCTTTCATAGCCAATGCATTTGCAGTGTCTTTTATCCACCTTCGTAGAGGTCAGCTTCTGTCTCGTTTTCCAGAAACTTGACCCTCCATCACCATTCTCTGTGGGTCACTTTGACCCATAGCATAGCCAATACCTCAGGTTTTAAGTCAAGATGCTGTTTATAAGCCAGTTATCCATGATGTTCAGATTATATAGGATGTCAGTGTTTTTATTTTTATTGGTCCATAGTGTCTTGAAATTTTTGTTTTGTTTTTGTAAATGAGAAAGGTTGGCACATGTCTCTGACATGTCGTTTCTTCCCTGTAGGACTGATGGGCTACATGGGAAGGGAGAGAGTCTCATCTGGGGACAGCGATAAAGGAAGATATGGTTCTCTGGAGCGAGATCGCTCTCCTTCGTTTCCAAGGAGAAACAGTGGGCTGGATATATCGCCCCCTCACCACATGCTGCTGGCACAGTCGCCGTCCACGGGGGCGCAGAATATGCCAACTCTTCGCTTTGTGCCGCAACCTCTGTTGGAGGAGACCCTGATGGATGTAAGTTGGAGGTCTTTCTTAGAGTTGATATAACTGGTACCAGCCCACCGTATTTCTTTGTTTAATGTTCAGAATATACTGAAATTAACACAAATAAACACAGAAAAAAGTGGTATCTAGGTGGTCATGTGTCTTAGTACGCTTGTTCCTGCAGCCAGGCTGTCATCATTTGAGGTGACAGTTTTGAATTCTGGTATGATAACTACAGTTTTTTTTCTGTTGTCTAGTGTGTTCGTATATCACTCTATTCTTTTTTTGTTTCTGCCAGTCAGTATATGTCAGTTTGTTAATTATAACTTACCAGACCTGAGTTTAAATATGCAGTATTTTTGTGTGTGTGGGGGTGGTTTTTTCTGCGTTAAAAACCTTTTTGTTCATCATCATTTAGCAGGTCCTTGCAAGAACTCAATCTCTCGCCAGCTTTCTCACCTCTAGCCCTTTCCTACCCAACGTGACACTTATATCATGTGCCCACCTTTGTGCTGGTTGACCCCTGCCCTCTTTTCTAATGCCATGTCTTCTGCTGTTATTTTTTTCCAATCCACTGTGGCGCTTGATATGGCCAAAATATTTCAGTTTCCGAGACAAGATGCTGTTTACCAGCCAGTCTTCCTCGATGTTCAGATCTTTAAGGGTGTCAACATTTCTTTCCTTCTTGGCATTCTGAAAATCTTTCTGTATTATTTCAGCTCAGAAGCACCTATTTTTTTTTTCCTTATTGGCTGCACAATTATGTAGTGATAATGTTGATTTTGACTTCTTAAAAATGGTGATAATGTTGATTTTGTCTTCTTACATATGGTGATGATTTTGACTTCCTAAATTTAGTGATAATGTTGATTTTCACTGCTTAAATATGGTGATAATTTTGATTTTACTGGCATTTATTATTATAAAGATATAGTTGAATTGGTGATAGTGTTGATTTTGACACCTTACACATAGGGATCATATTAATTTTGACTTCTTACACATAGGGATCATATTAATTTTGACTTCTTACACATAGGGATCATATTAATTTTGACTTCTTACACATAGGGATAATATTAATTTTGACTTCTTAAATGTGATGAAAATGTTGCTTTTTTCCCCCTTGCATTCATTGTTATAAAGATAGGGCGTATACCATGATTAGTTATTTTGTTACTGCCTGATGCAACTGTACGTGGTTATAAATTATGTTTGTTACTGCATGACGCAATCGTGCATGGCTAGAAATTGTATTTGTTACTGCCTGACGCAGGGTCATGGCTAGAAATTGTGTTTGTTACTGCCTGACGCAGCTGTACATGGCTTAAATTGTGTTTGATACTGCCTGATGCAGCTGTACATGGCTAGAAATTGTGTTTGTTACTGCCTGAAGCAGCCGTACATGGCTATAAATTGTTTGTTACTGCCTGACGCAGCCGTACATGGCTAGAAATTGTGTTTGTTACTGCCTGAAGCAGCCGTACATGGCTATAAATTGTTTGTTACTGCCTGATGCAGCCGTACATGGCTAGAAATTGTGTTTGTTACTGCCTGAAGCAGCCGTACATGGCTATAAATTGTTTGTTACTGCCTGACGCAGCCGTACATGGCTAGAAATTGTGTTTGTTACTGCCTGACGCAGCCGTACATGGCTATAAATTGTTTGTTACTGCCTGAAGCAGCCGTACATGGCTATAAATTGTTTGTTACTGCCTGAAGCAGCCATACATGGCTATAAATTGTTTGTTACTGCCTGATGCAGCCGTACATGGCTAGAAATTGTGTTTGTTACCGCCGTTCTTGGCTATAAATTGTTTGTTACTGCCTGACGCAGCCGTACATGGCTAGAAATTGTGTTTGTTACCGCCGTTCTTGGCTAGAAATTGTGTTTGCTTTTTTTCTTCTAGGACAACCATAATGAGACATTAGGGAAACTGTCGTTTGTCCTTGACCTTGTGGAATGTATCCTTGACCTGGCCAGAACTCTGGGTAGTGCATTTCGCAGCATAGACCCGGTTGAAACCAAGAAGGTAGGTCTTGTTGCTGTGTTCAGTTCCCTTCAGCTCCCTGTTTGTGTGAAGATTAACTGCTGTCTCTAGTGACCATGTGGAGCTTTTTCTTGTTTTAGATTGTAGATGTGCACTACAGACATCTGATTTTCTTGAGATTATGAAGTACACTGTACATGTCTGGTTTTCTTGAGAATATAATGTACACTAGAGGCACCCTGCCCTTTTTTAATATGAAGTGCACATCTGACTTTCTTGTGTATGTTTATTAGACATCTGACTTTCCTGTGTACATGTCGTGCACATCTGGTTTTCTTGAGAACATGAAGTTCACATATCTAGTTTTCTTGAGAACATGAAGTTCACATCTGGCTTTCTTGAGAACATGAAGTGCACTAGAAATATCTTACAATTAAGATAATCTGGCTTTCTTGAGTTCATTTATTCCACCTCTGGCTTTCTTGACAACATAATGTGCACATCTGACTTTCTTGTGTATGTTCATTAGACATCTGACTTTCTTGGGTACATGTCGTGCACATCTGGTTTTCTTGAGAACATGAAGTTCACATCTGGTTTTCTTGAGAACATGAAGTTCACATCTGGCTTTCTTGTGTACATGTCGTGCACATCTGGTTTTCTTGAGAACATGAAGTTCACATCTGGTTTTCTTGAGAACATGAAGTTCACATCTGGCTTTCTTGAGAACATGAAGTGCACTAGAAATATCTTACAATTAAGATAATCTGGCTTTCTTGAGTTCATTTATTCCACCTCTGGCTTTCTTGACAACATAATGTGCACATCTGGCTTTCTTGAGAACATAAATTACACGTCTGCCTAGCTAAAGAACATGATGTGCACATCCATTTTTCAGGGCTGTGATGAATTGAACAGTTCTGCATAATTTTTAAGAGTACCTGTTGGAGTGTTCCAAGTGCAGCAGTATCATTTATTCATTCATTCATTCATTCATTCATTCATTCATTCATTCATTCATTCATTTTAACACATGTGACCCTTTTAAGAACATGAAAGTATACATCTGAGACCTTGGTGGACATTCTTTATGGTTTTCATTGGTGCAGGAATGGAGCAACTATGGGGTGACACACTGGCATGAAGTTGCATCTGCTGTTACCTGTTCGTTACCCTTTTGGCCCGATAAGCTGAAAAACCAACACTTCCTGTTGGGTCTAATTCCCAGTCAATGTAACCTTTCCGACTTGCATATAGTGACCTGTTTACGAGCTGTTTAGTTGCTGGAATTGAGTTTGTGCCTGTGCAAACATTTGCGAGGTCAGGATATGAATACATTAACCAGCTGTAGCGCTTAGAAAAGGTTTCATACAGCAAAATATTTTTTTTTTTTTTTAAATCCAAGATAACATCAGATTTTCTCATAAGCCTCAGTGATTAAGGTCACAGGGTCACAGCATGAGTCACCTAATACATTTGTGTTTTTTTTTTATTCCGGGGGGATATATTTAATTAAATGCTTCACCCCATTCAAGTTTGTTGATTACTCCTTTCATTTATCTTTATATATTTAAAAAAAAAGTTTAAATGTCAATAAATAAATTTTTTTAATGATTTATTAGTAACTTGTGTCCAAATTGTTTTTACAAATTGTTGTCAGCAATCCTGATAGGGCCTTGACCTTGTTTTTGTTTAGAATTTAGAATTCTGGCAGGGAAAGGGTTCAGAGTTGAAACTTTTCCCCACAGCTAACAAACCTAACCACATTGTCTGTTCCAGGCGAAGCACCTGTCGCCGGAGCACTACGGTCAGTACCGGACATCCCAACGCAGCTTGGAGCAGCTGGTGCTGTATGCCAGGGCCTGTTCCCTGCTCAACTCTGCCCTACACCTGGCCAGAGACGAGACCCGCAATAACCGACTGCAGCAGTCCACGAATTTGTGCAATGGTAAGTCTAGGTTGATGCATCTTTGGCCATGTTTATTCATCTTTGGCCATGTTTATTCATCTTTGGCCATGTTTATTCATCTTTAGCCATGTTTATGCATCTTTGGCCATGTTTATTCATCTTTAGCCATGTTTATGCATCTTTGGCCATGTTTATTCATCTTTGGCCATGTTTATTCATCTTTAGCCATGTTTATTCATCTTTGGCCATGTTTATGCATCTTTGGCCATGTTTATTCATCTTTGGCCATGTTTATGCATCTTTGGCCATGTTTATGCATCTTTGGCCATATTTATGCATCTTTGGCCATGTTTATTCATCTTTGGCCATGTTTATTCATCTTTGGCTATGTTTATGCATCTTTGGCCAAGTTTATTCATCTTTGGCCATGTTTATGCATCTTTGGCCATGTTTATTCATCTTTGGCCATGTTTATTCATCTTTGGCCATGTTTATGCATCTTTGGCCAAGTTTATTCATCTTTGGCCATGTTTATGCATCTTTGGCCATGTTTATTCATCTTTGGCCATGTTTCTGGTGTGTTGATGTTGTAATGTGGGCAGAGCTTGACAGTAAAGTAATATTCACCTAGCCTTAATTGTGTTTTGCATAGATCAAACATTTCTTCACATACTCAATATAATTTCTTCCTGCACAGACCATCATTTTTTCTGTGCACGTATATTTAGATTTATTCTTGCTTTGGCCATAAATGTTTTTGTTGTTGTTTTTTTTGCATAGACTATCGTTACTTCTTTCATTTAATAAAATTTCTAGTTCGGTAACTTGTGTCCAGCTGTTGTGATATAGTGGTCAGTAATGGAAGTTGGAGTAAGTTGTGTCAAACTTTTTTAATTAGGAGGAAATACATTTGCTTTCACTGATAGCAGATCTAGCTCACTTGATTTAGTCTGATTGTTGTGACTAAGTGGACATACATTTCTTTCTAGTAACAGCAGGTCTTTTTGGGTAAGCCGAGTCCAGTTGTTGTGATTAAGTTGATATACATTTACTTCCAGTGATAGCAGAGCTGCAGATGTACTACCACCATGTGGTTGACAAGTGCAAGGGCATTCACCAGGACTTCACCACAGCTGCAAGACGCCACTGTCCCCCAAGCTGCTGATGGCAACCGCAGACAAACTCATCTACAACCAGGCAGTCCATATGGTATGTGTTTGTCACTTGTCTTTTGATTTGAGAATTCCCCATGTGGATTCTGGGGTCCAATTGTGAGAAAGACAAGACTAGACCCACTGCCTCCCCGAAAAGCATCTCGTAAAAGTGGACTAATTAGGAGTTTCCTTCAGAGTTGAAGTACATCTGCCTGAGAGGGAAGGAACTAACAGTCTGCATGTAGATGAGTTAGACCTGTGAAACAGATGTGCACACAACACACACTGTTTCTGGAACAGGACTAGAGTCTAGAAGTGGTCAAGCAACCGGAACTTTCCGCCAGAATTTTAAGTGAGAGTATCTTCAAGCATGTCAGTAAGTAAGTAAAGGACCCTTTTCCCTGACCTATATTTTATAGACCAATTGGCACTGTCAACATTACGCTGGCCACCTTTACTCCCCAGGACTTTACCCTGTACCCATTTGAGACTGGGTCGACCTGCGAGCCAGGTTAATTTTTGAAGAGTGTGTTGAATACAGATGTACTGGGGCAAATGGTCCAAATTTGCTGCCTGGTTCTAAGCCAGAATACCACATGCCAACCACTCTGTTAAGGACAAACACAGAAAGAGAGCAGCAGCAACTTGGCATTTAGTGTCTGATTTGATTGGAGCACATGTGGAACACATACTTGATCATTTAGTTACTTAACTTTCACTGAACTTGTAGCAATAGTTGATCTAATTGTCAGCTTACATACAGCTATACTAGACACATACTTGATCATTTAGTTGCTTAACTTTCACTGAACTTGTAGCAATAGTTGATCTAATTGTCAGCTTACATACAGCTATACTAGACACATGCTTGATCATTTAGTTACTTAACTTTCACTGAACTTGTAGCAGCAATAGTTGATCTAATTGTCAGCTTACATACAGCTATACTAGACACATGCTTGATCATTTAGTTACTTAACTTTCACTGAACTTGTAGCAATAGTTGATCTAATTGTCAGCTTACATACAGCTATACTAGACACATACTTGATCATTTAGTTACTTAACTTTCACTGAACTTGTAGCAATAGTTGATCTAATTGTCAGCTTACATACAGCTATACTAGACACATACTTGATCATTTAGTTACTTAACTTTTACTGAACTTGTAGCAATAGTTGATCTAATTGTCAGCTTACATACAGCTATACTAGACACATACTTGATCATTTAGTTACTTAACTTTCACTGAACTTGTAGCAATAGTTGATCTAATTGTCAGCTTACATACAGCTATACTAGACACATGCTTGATCATTTAGTTACTTAACTTTCACTGAACTTGTAGCAATAGTTGATCTAATTGTCAGCTTACATACAGCTATACTAGACACATGCTTGATCATTTAGTTACTTAACTTTCACTGAACTTGTAGCAATAGTTGATCTAATTGTCAGCTTACATACAGCTATACTAGACACATACTTGATCATTTAGTTACTTAACTTTCACTGAACTTGTAGCAATAGTTGATCTAATTGTCAGCTTACATACAGCTATACTAGACACATACTTGATCATTTAGTTACTTAACTTTTACTGAACTTGTAGCAATAGTTGATCTAATTGTCAGCTTACATACAGCTATACTAGACACATACTTGATCATTTAGTTACTTAACTTTCACTGAACTTGTAGCAATAGTTGATCTAATTGTCAGCTTACATACAGCTATACTAGACACATACTTGATCATTTAGTTACTTAACTGTCACTGAACTTGTAGCAATAGTTGATCTAATTGTCAGCTTACATACAGCTATACTAGACACATACTTACACTAGAATTCATTCATTCATTGCCCTGTTGTGACATTATGTGTCACATGGGGCTTTGCAGTCTATTCCTCCATTCCGTTCATTCATGTGCAGTTAGTTTGATTTTATGGATGAAATCCGGTCCAGTACCTTTGGCTAAAACCTTTGCTTTGGGGCATGGTTATTTAACTGGTGGCCTGCAGGCCACATTTGGCCTGCAGAAACCTAGCATGTGGCCCGCGGATCATTGCCAGTTGTATAGTATTGTTTCCCGTGTGGGTTCCGTGGCCCCATTATGGGGAAAACAAGAATAGACCCACTGCCTTCCCAGCAGGCATGTCGTAGGAGTCGACTGCCTAGGGGACATCCTCCGAAGTCCGAGTGCATGTGCCTAAGAGGCAAGGAATAACCAACTGCACACAAGTAAGTCAGTAAAACGGTTGTACATGCAAATCTCAGGCCCTGTCTCCAAAAGTACGAACAACCAGGACTTTGCGCCGGAACTTACAGGTGGTGAATAAAGAAGAAGACAAAGAGTATAGTATTAATCTTCACATGCTGGGGCTCTGGCCTCTAACCCATGATGATTCCTTATTTCAAAATATCTGCCTCTGAGTAAAATTAGTTGAGTAGCCCTGCATTTGGGTTTCTCCTGTGCCTCTTTTTTCCCCTTGATCCGTAAATTTCCCATTTCAGTACCTTTACACAGAAAAAATAAAGGACCCTTTTCAACGCTGTCAGGCGTATTGGGCATATAAAGCCAGAACTATATTGTATAGACCAAGGGGCACTTGGTGGGTGATGTGGTCAGCATCACGCCAGCTGCCTTTACTTCCCAGGACTATCGGGTACCCACTCAAGGCTGGTGACCTGGATGCCAAGATCAATCTTGAAAACAGTCCGGCCCCCATCAAGACCCCAACGCACGACCTTCTGATCCACAGGCCAGCTTTCGGCGGCTCCCCTTTACACAGTAAAGCTTAGCAATAATCATTTAGATGCCAGAAATATTATATTGTCTTTTTTTTTTTTTTAAACACAACCAGTGTCAGACTGCAGCCCTTGATGAGTGCTCCAACAAACACACACCGGAAGTCTTGTCTGAGGTAGGTGGGGCTACTGTGGTCTCCTTTCTGTCAGTCAGGTCTATGACTTTGTTGTTTAGCTAGCCCCAACTGGGTTTGTCCTATAGCTTATTTATACCTATAGGAATTTCCTGCAAATCTGTTTTGTACTCAGTGAGTTAATAAACTAGTCAGACACCGGCAGCAGAGAAGATATTGGTGGTTTCTGTCTGTTTATATTGTATTCATATTGTGTTGACACACAAAGCATTCGCACGTATTTCCTTTGCTGTCACCCCCCCCCCCTTTTCCCTTTTAAATTTTCCAGCCTATGAGCAACACAAGTTGTCCCCTTCCAACACCCTCTGCTATACAGCAGCATTCAGAAGATGTTGATGTTGTACACTTAAGTTTTGTCTTCAGACCAAGTCCCTTTGACTTGAGCACTGCATTGGTTTGGTGTTGCTTTGTTCATTCTTGACATTAATCTCTTTGAATTTTGAATTAAGAATCAATATTACAGCACTCGGGACACTTCATAAGCACACCATTCCCATCTTCAGCAGCAAGCAAAGAGTTCCAATTCTGATGGTACCAGTAAGGTAACTTGTACATCCATCTTGCCTTTCCCTTGAATATTGAGCATCAGCCAGATCCCCTGGTAACTCCTCACAGCTCCATTTTCCTCAGACCGTATTGATCTATCTGTGCTTCTGCACTGTTCACTCACTCCCGTCTAGCTTGTCATACATCAGTAAACCACCAGGTGGTGCAGAACCAGTTAGTCTGCTTGCTCGTTTCCCATCACACCAGCATATCCAGAAAATATCCAAAGGATGCTGACTGCCTGTGACCTCTAAAGCGATGCTTCAGAATGGTCTATCTTATCAGGTGCAACTTCACTGAGTTTTCTCTTCAGGCCAACTCCCTTTCCATTTATTTTAAAGCATGGCAAATGTATTTTGTTTTTTTAAAGGCTTCTTCTTCTTCGCATTCACCAGCTGTAAACTCTGGTGGAAAGTTCTGGTTGTTTGTCCACTTCTGGACTGCAGTCCTGTTCCAGAACTTGAGTGTTACCTGTGCACCCGTTTAAAAGTTCTTCTTCTTCTGCGTTCATTCGAAGATGTAATTGCGTTGTCCGTTTACAGCATGCCTGCGATATTTGCACCTTTCGGCCAACACATCCGACTTCTGCGGGCATTTGTTGACCGGGTTAGCCTTCCTGGTTGTTTGACAGATCTAATTTGAATGTAGACTGTTGGTTCCTTGCCTCCCAGGCAGATGCACTTCGACTTTAAATGAAGCTCCCAATTAAGTTGACTCTTACGACATGCTTTTGGGTAGCCAGTGGGTCTATTCTTGTTTTCCCTACAACAGGGTCCCCGAACCCACACAGGGATCTTAAGGCTTAATACTACACATTTTCTGAATATCCAGCTAGTGTAACTTTGCTTCCTAGGTATACAAATTCTGCAACTTATATTGTTGCTTCATATTTAAGATAACTGAATAACAAATTTTTCCTGATCATTTGTAAAGTAATGAGAAAGTGCTGGGACGCGGAGATGCTATTGTATGGTTATGTCTTTCTCCTTAGCTGTATATTCTGGCAGAAAGTTTCAGTTGTTCGTCCACTTGTGATCATTGAGTCCTGTAGTGTGTCAGTGTCGGCTCTGTGGCTAAGTCGATGCGAACGCTTTGCTTCGTAATGCCGGGATGCCAGGTTCGATCCCAGCTGCGGTCAGTGCGCATTACGTTGGTTTCGACAGTGGTATCAAGAAAGCCGGCCGTCCAGAAAGCAATGGCAAACTACTGGATGTAAATTGCCTAGAGAAACCACACAACAGCCAGGGGCTGTTAGGGTTGGTTCTGCAACGTCCTGTAAAGGATACGCAACTAACTTAGTGTGTCAGTAATACTGTTTACAACAAAAGGTGAAAGGTCAGTAACATTCTGTGTTGGATGGGTTTTGCAGGTGGTCAGGCGATATCAGGTGGCTCAGATTCTCTTCCACAGCCTGGCTCAGACGGCACACAATGAGAATGACAAGTATATACTCAGCAAATGTAGGTCCCTTTGTCGCATACTTGTTTCATTCTGTGTGTGATTGTTTGTCTGTTTGAGTGTTTGTCTGCATGGTTTTTATGTGGCACAATTATATTACCAGTAGTCACCATTGTTGAAACATCCAAACATAATTATGAGTAGGGGGAAAAGAAAACCACCGACAGATGTGGGACTGGGGGTTGGGGGTTCGAACAAACAAACTGACTTTATTATCAAATAGTTAGGAATTGAGCATGCAGACCCATCTGACATTCTGCTCTTCCAGTCCATTCCTTGCATGCAGTTTTTCAGGATCATTTCAAATTTTCAAATAATAGTAAGCATTTTCACTAAATCTAAGTCTCAGTTAGAAACAAACTAGAATGTCCTCCAATTATGCTTACATTACTGAACGTTTTAAAATGTATAGTATCAAACCTTAATCTAAAATGGTTGGGAGGGGGGGGGGAGGGTGGTGGGATGGGATGGGTAAGGGATTAGAACCACTTTCCTCTAACAAGTATATTGTAAAAGGTGATTCATTAAGCTTTTGTTAAAATCTGATGTTTTGGGCTGAAAGATGCAGATGTTGCAGCCTAGCTGTAAACTGCAACACAGTGACCAAACAGCCTTCTAAGAGCAAGCACTAAAAAAGATGTTTTAGCTTGTGTAGTATGTTACAGATAGTTGTTCCACATTGTGGTGGTATGTGATTGATTGATTGCATGTTTGAATTGTTTCATGTTGTATCCTTGTATGATGGTGTGTAGCTCTGGTTTAGATAATTTGGTTATGTGTGTGTCATTAATGTCAGTGTATGAGAAAGAGGCGTGTAGAGGTGCTGAACTGTACGTATTGTTATACTAGGACAGGGCTCAGAATCGTAAGTTCAAGACATGATTCACAATAATTTCTGCCCAGGTGATGTGGTTATCAATACAGATGGCTCTGTGTTAGGAGGCGGACGGCGTGCATGGGGGTTCATAGCAAAAGGTGAATGAATGTCACTTAATGCAACAAAACCTGACATGTTGTTTAGAAATTGAGAGGGAGGTAGTCACTGCAGCTTTTCACTGGCTAGAGAATTGGCTGTAGGCAGATGTCGTAATTGTCACTGTCTTACAGAGCATGTTGAGAAAGCTGGACACTGGCATCCTCCTTGCAGGGTGGCTAGCATTGCTTCAGAGGTCTTGGCTAGTTAGCGTCCATTGAATATTATCTTCAGGTCATGCCGTTATGTTGGCAAATGAGCAGCAACCCTGCAAATGCACTCAAGTGAAAATTGGCCTCTTACGTCAGTTTGGATTTGCGCCAGTGATATAGGCATGGATGATTGCTGATGTGAACATACCAAAAGAAATACTTTTTTTTCTTCTCTAGATCTGAAAAGTGTGGAGCGGAGGCTGTCAGTGCTGACAACTGAAGGAACTCACTACAACAGACACCAGCATCAGTTCATAGACAACCAGCGATACCAGTGTACATCTTAGCACTCACTGTCCATTTGCTGCCTTGGTATAGTGTGGATGTAGGTTTGGTTCAGTCTAGATGTAGCTTTGTCAGTGTAAATATAGGCTTGGGATAGTCTAAGTGTAGCCATATTACAGTCACAATGTAGGCTTGGTAGTCTAAATGTAAGTTTGGTAAAGTCTAAATGTAGGCTTGGAATGGTCTAGATGTAGCCTTGTTATAGTCTAAATGTAGACTTTGTATAGTCTGAATGAAGGCTATGGAATAGTATAATTGTAGCTTTGTAACAAGTCTAAATGTAACCTTGGTATAGTCTAAATGTAGGCTTGGAAAAGTCTGTAGTCTTGATACAATCTAACTGTATGTTGTCCTTATGGTCTTAATATATAGTCTTGGTACCATAAAGAAGTTCTTAGTCTAATCTGAGTATAGTCTTGGCACAGTCTAGCCGTAGTCTCGGTTTAATGTAAACATAGACCTGGCTCACTATACTGCACTTCATATCGAGAGTATGCATAAAATCTTCTGGGCAGCCTGAAATGGAATATCATAGAATACCAACAGAATTTGATGGCATGACAATACTGACTATGACAGTGATAGCAAAATGCCACAGAATGAAAATAGGGTGGCACACTATAACAGTGGAGTCTCATAGAATGATGGGGAGTTTCATAGAATGACAGATGTCACACTGACAAGTTGGCAGAATTGGTGACAGTTTGTTAGTTTACAAAAGTGCAGTATGTTGATGGCAGTGTGTCATTCTGTGATTCTGTAAGATAATGTTGTGATTGCATGGCCATAAACTGGACCTGGAGTTTACAGCCGGTGAGCCCTAAAAAAAAGGAAGATTCTCATAGATGTTGTGTGGATAATGATCACCATTCGTAGTGTTGTCACATTAGATGTTGTTTGAATATATGACTGTCCGTGTGTCGTCACATTAAGTGTTATTTCGGTGTATAGCCTTGTTACTGAGTGTTTTCATGGTAAGTGTTGTTTGAATATATGACTGTCCGTGTGTCGTCACATTAAGTGTTATTTCGGTGTATAGCCTTGTTACTGAGTGTTTTCATGGTAAGTGTTGTTTGAATATATGACTGTCCGTGTGTTGTCACATTAAGTGTTATTTCGGTGTATAGCCTTGTTACTGAGTGTTGTCAGATTAAGTGTTGTTTGAATATATGACTGTCTATGTGTCGTCACATTGTTGTTTCAGTGTATAACCTTGTTACTGAGTGTTTTCACAGTAACTGTAGTTTGAATATATGACCTTGTCACTGAGTCTCGTCATATTAAGTGTTGTTTGAATATATGACCTTCACACAGAGTGTCACATCAAGTGTGTGAATCTATGACCTCATCATTTCAACTGCTAATCAAAACAAGTCTGTACCCTGGCAGCTATTGTAATTGCATAAGTGTCTTGTGACAGGTTTCAAAAAGTCACTCTTACATACCTACCTACATTTGTGTTCACTTGCCTGCCACATATGTACATTATTTTGTTTGAAAATGTTAATTTTCTTTTGCATTTATTTCCTCAATGAGATGAATGTTGATCCTGTGGAAAGCACTGGTAAACTACTGAATGTAGAATTGCCTAGTGAAAACACAAACAGCCAACAACTGCTAAGGTTGATGTGCAACATTCTTTAAAGGATATGTAATGACTTTTAAAAAACATTATGTTGTCTTTGTTCTCTTTGAATATATTCACTCATCTGTGACTGTATCCATGCAGTGATGTTGTTCTTTATATGTTAGTGCCTGTTACATGTTTGTGTTCATATGTTGTATATACATTAGTCTTGTCTGCAACATATCTTTACATTGTTCTTGTATATTTGTCAGCTGACATATGTTAGTATATATTTTATCTGCTGATCTTTGTTGTTGATTTAATGTTCTACTGAGAACAAAGATCACTTAGTTAAAAAACACTCGGTTGCTGACCTGAAGGTCTGATGTTTGAATATGCTTTAAGGCCTTAGCTCCCAGGTTGATCTAGCCTAAAACCTGTACAAGGTGTTGTCCTGGGAAGTAGAGGCGGTAAACATGATGGTGACTGCATTACCCACAGAATACCAGTTGATCTATACAAAAATTATTATTAACGTCATATTTCTAATAGCCAACAGGTGTGTAAAGGGACTTTCACTTTTTTTTTTAATACTAATGTTCTGTTTTGTGGAAAACTTTGAGAGCCATTGTCACAGTACTCCAGAGCAAATCATTATTCTAGAACAGGACACCATCGACTTCGCAGCCACATGTAGACAAAGTTTCAGATTGGGGGAATCAGCCATGTGCACATGTGGACTGACACCTGAGACAGCAGATCACGTCCTCCAAGACAGTATCAAATACAGCACATCAAGGCAACACTTGTGGCCAAGACAAACAGTGAAGCAAGCTAAACTCAACGGGTCGCTGAGTGAACCATGTACACTTATCAGCAGATCATATTTTAGTGATCAAATGCTATGAGATTGAGTTTTTTTTTTTTTTTTTTTTTTTAAAACCAAGATCTGAAACCTATGGATAATATTCATGCAGTTATCTATGTGCGTATAAGCATGATTTGTACCTGCTTGTGTGCAAGCGCATGTTTCAGTGGTGAGTCTCTCATGTATAAATGTAATGATTATTGATATATAAAATGATTGTTGTGAAGATTGTAATTATGTAAATATTTGTAGTTAGTTGTAACATATTGATTGATCTATCAAGTTCTTGTTTGTAAGAGAGGAAGAGAGTGTACATACATATGTGTCCATGTGTGCTTACACACACACCTGCGTGAGAAACAAGTTTTATTTCCTGATGTATCTCTTGTGAATTACAGTTAGAGAACTAGTGTGCCCCCCTCCCCATCCTGACCCTCCACCAAGGACTAGATATTAACCCCTTTAAATAACACACATTAGAACTTTATTTGCCAGAATTTACATATTCAACTTTTTGCACTAACACGAGCCTGAACACATTAGACTTTACTTGTTAGAATTTACATGAAAGGCTTCATAAGCGAACATTAGACTTTTCACAATAACACTAGATTTTCCATGCTACATTTTATGCACTGGACTTTCAATTCTAGACTTAGCACATTGGACTTGCACGCTGGTCTTTACACACTCAACTGCATATTGGATTTTAAATAGTAGACTTTGCACACTCGATTTTATACACTAGACTTTGCACATTAGACTTTACGTGCTTGACTTTTTGCACACTAGGCTTTACACACTAGACTGTGTATGGGAAATGTGTGAATATTGGGCGAGTTACTGTTGGATGATAACCATTGTAGAGATATTTTCTGTACAGTGTGACAAATAAACTGGTTGATAAACTAAATGACTTGAATTTTGTGTCACCACTGAGAGGGGTTTGGGGGGGGGGGGGGGGGGGGGGATTGAGAAAGAGAGGCATGACAAATATAAATGTTTTTAGTATAAAATATGAGAGTAGAGGGGAACAGTCTTTTTCCATACCAAGTATCGCCTTACCCTGCTATGTCGCTGTCTAGCCTGACTCTATCATGTTATTACCTGACTGGTACTGTCACTTGTAGTCTCAATGTGTGATGTCACTGATGTTCTCATCTGCCACATGTCACACCCACACCTGTAGTCTGATCCAGGTATGACAGAGATGGCTGACTGTTTTAACCAGAGTATTAAGACAGCATCAGTACCGCAAGACTGGTGCACAGCTATCTAATCCCACTACCAAAACCTTTTAAAGATCATTCTAAGCTTAGTGGCTTTAGAATCATCACCTTACAAAACACATTTGGGAAGGTCTTGGAGAAGATAGTTGCTGTAAAGTTACAAGAATTTTTGGAAAGGGGGAAGCTTCTCCCAAGAGGTCTGGGAAGTTACAGGCCAGGAAAGGACAATTGGGCAAATGCGGCCACTTTTGCTTTTGACGTCTATGAAGGGTTCCAGAACAGACAGGAAACTATGGCGGTAGGACTGGATCTCGAGGATGCTTATAACAGAATGAGATACGACATCTTAATGACTGCACTGAGGGAGAAGGAGGTCAATCCATGGCTGATGAATTGGGTTGCAGCTGTCCTGTATTCAGGACGGGTTGCTCTCCGACTGGGCTCATGGACCTCTGAACCATGCAGTTTGGCCCCAGGACTGCCACAGGGATCCGCCATCTTGCCTGTGCTCTTCAACGTGTATACGAGCAAGATTGCAAGCCTAGAAGCACCAGGAGTTGGAAGGATACTGACTTTTGTGGATGATATACTTGCATATAGGCAGGGGGAAGAGAGGGAACAAACAGCCCGGGAGCTACAAGCGACAGTAGACAAAGTGACTGAGTGGTGTACAGAAATGAAGGCTGTCGTCCACCCGGAAAAGGCGTGTTTTGCGGTGTTCTCTGGACAACAGGATCGTTAAAGCTAATGTCCCAAGTCTCACGATAGATGGTAGAGACGTCAACAGAGAGAGCAAACTGAAGTATCTGGGAATAACATTTGACAGGAGCCTGTCATTTAAGGACCATGTGGAGAGTGTTGTGACGAGATGCCAAAAAGGACGTAGTGCACTTAAGACTATGGCTGCAATTGACATAGAGCAGAGAATGCTTTTCACACTATATCAGCACCTGATCCTGTCAGTGGTGGATTATGGCCTGGGACTGCTTACCGTCTCAAAGAGTCAGCAGATGGACAAACTAGAGCGCATACAGAACGCGGCAATGCGGGTCATTCTGGGTTGCACTAGAGACACCCCAGTGGTGTGTATGCGATACATCCTTGGTTTGCCGACGGTTGCAGCTAGGCACAAGGTGATGCAGGCGAAGTCATATCTCAGGGTAGCTGCAGACACAGACCACCCTCTGCATGAAGCTCTGGGTGCAGTTAAGGGTCAGCGGCTGATAAGAGGGAGGTCATGGATGGCTCAGGCAGAAGACACAATCAGACAGGTTTGCATCCTTGAGAACATTAGGCGAGGAGAGGAGTGGGTCAAAGTGCCACCTGAGCAGTCAGACCTGTGTAGTCATAATCACGCTGAGCCGGAAATGCAGAGACTGGCCAGCAGGTGCCACAGAGGTGGAAATTCAGCAATTAATTCAAGATAATACTCGCTCAGAGGATTTGATCATTTACACGGACGGTTCAGTGTCAAGAGGCAAAAGAAGTGCTTGGGGCTTTTAAGCAAAAGTTAATGGTCGACGTTTGGTGCAGGGGAGCCTAGCATATGATACCACAACATCCAGCTTAAGAATGGAGGTGGAGGCGGTCACTGCAGCTTTCCGCTGGCTAGAGAACACGACACACACACACACATTGTAATTGTAACTGATTCAGAAAGCATGCTGAGGAAGATCAGAACAGGTATGCTTCGTGCAGAGTGGCATGCTTCGCTGCGGAGGACACGAGAGAGGAGTATTGTCTGGATTTTTTCACCGGGTCACGCTGGTGTGTTGGGAAATGAACAGGCGGACAGACTGGCTGGCTCTGCACAACTTGGTGGAATACTGCTACATGATAGGGCAGACGTGGTTAGTGCCTTGTGGGAGAGCAAGACAACATTTAATCAGAAAGCTACTGGCATCATTAGTATCGGAACTCTTCGCTGGCTGCTGAAGATGGGGACTGAGCGCTTATGGGAATGCCCCGAGTGCTGTGATGTCGGTTCTTGAATCAAATCAAATCAGGCAGATACGCTCCAGTTATAACATTGCAAGCCCCAAATTTGTCTATTCTTATGACATTGTCTTATCAACATTTTCAAATGTGTCTTATTCACGTTTTCAATATTCCTACACCCCAGTAAACTTAGTTGAACAGCTCTGGCCTGCAGAGATCAATACTGGAGAGAACATGGTTTCAATAAGCAGTTTATTATTTGGCAGTGGCAAATCTTGCTGAATGTGGAGTCTGATCTGAACATCTCAGAATGGATGAACATACCAATGAAGAGAATGAACAAACACATTTTATTTTCCAAGGGTCACAAAATGGGCACGCAGGCCTGTTTTACATTTGGCCCGTTAAGACACTCATCTGTGAGACAGCAATTATACAGACAGACGTAGTGAGAAGGCTAGGAAGGGAGAGATTTAGGAAACCTTCTTCTTCTGACCTGTGCACCCTGTGGAAAGTTCTGGTTTTTCGTCCATTTTTGAACTTTGGTCTTGTTCCAGAACTTGAGTTTTTGTGTGCACATCCATTTTACAGATGTGGCTTATTTGTATGCAGACTGTTGGTTCCTCACCTCTCAGGCTGAGGTACCCCAACTTTAAAAGAACACCCCGAATTAGTCACCTTTTACAACTAGGCTTGTTAAGGGGAGACTACTGCGATCAAAGATCCACTGCTGGCTGCATGGATTTTTATCATGGTATATGGCATCGCAGGTTGACCCAGCCTAAAATTGGTGCCAGGATATGTCCGGGGAAAGTAAAGTCGGTCTGCGTAATGCTAACTACATTACCCACCTAGTGCCGAGTGGTTTGTAAAAATATGGGTGCTCTTCCCATATGCCCAATGGGCCCAAAGCAGAATTTTAAATTTACTTTTTAAACTTGTGTTAAGGGGACAGTGGGTGTGTTCTTTTTCCCTCTTGCAGTAGTGCCCTAGAACTACCCCAACTCTCTCAATCCCAAGAAACACATCATAGGTTCCTACCTAGAAGGCCGGTGAACACAAGGTGTGCCTATGTTATGTCTCTCTTTACTACCCCTTAGATCTCTGATGCTAAATCCACGGGACCAAAAGAACAAGGAATTGACATAATTGTACTGGGGACATTCTCAAAAGCTCTTTGGCCCCATCTTCAACATCTAGTGCACATAAATCTGACGGTACGAGTCTAACTGGTTATGTCCATCTTGCCTTTTCTCTGGCCGCTAAGTGATGGCCAGATCCCCCGGTCACTCATTGCTGCATGGTTTCTCTTCTATGTGTACCTCTGCCCTTTTTACAGGGAGAGGAAGAGATAAAGAGAATACAAGGACATACAGTAGAAACATGAAGAGAGCAAAGCAACATACAATCAATACATATTGTTTTATGATATACACCTATTCTCATGTGATTTCCATAGCCCCCATTGTGGGGAAAACAAGAACAGACACACTGACTCCCTAACATCATGTTGTAAGAGCCTGCTAACTGGGGGCTTCCTTTGAAGTCGGAGTACGTCTGCCTCAGAGGAAAGGAATCAAACCTGCCTAAAATAAGCAATTATATGCATTACTGACACCTCTTCTTGAGACACAATTTGTTTCCAGCCCTATTGTAACAGACACTTTGTGGTCTGTACTGGTACCATTTTTAAACACTTTGTGGTGAGTCTGCCACCCCTTTTTTTTTCCTCTATGAAAAAGGCCTGATTGTAAGCAACCATCAATATAAAGAATGCACTTGACTGTGATCTTCATTTTCAAATTCTTCTTTTTCTTTTTCTCTTTCTCCAGTTATCTCATCACAATACTGGAGAGAGATGTAAGGTACTTCCATGTGCTCTTTCTAATGTATTGCATAAGTTTACCTTTGCTTCTCTAAGGCTGCTCTTGATGCTGCCATTCTGTTTCTTGTATGATTTTCCTCATGCTCTGTGTTCCTTATATTTCTTCAATGTGGAAATTGGTCCAAGAAATTTTCCTCACATGACCAAACCATCTCATCAGTTGCTCTTTAATAAACCATATGACTGGTTTCAGTTCTAATCTTCTAATTTCCTTACATTTTAATTGTATTTCTTCTTGTTACTCTGGCAGCTCTTCTAAGACATCCCATGACTCTTATAATTTTGAACTCATTAGCTGTAGTGTAGTAGGGATCCATGTTTGGCAGCAAAGAAGCAGTGATCTGTTTTATCAAGTTCTCAAATCATGTTACAATGCTTGCAGTTCTCTTATTTTAAAGCCACATGTACCACACCAAACCACAAGCAACAGAACTGAACAATTAATACAGAAATACAAGAAAACATTGCGATGTGTCCATAAAATACATTGGAATCACTTGCACAAAAAGCTGGCAGCATAAAATCTGTTTGCTGTAGCAGTCGTGGTTTTGGTGGCAAAGCTTTTTGAAGGATTTAGCGTGGAGGATGAGATCATTCTATTTCAATGTCTGATCGACCCAACTGATCGAGGTACTGAGAACAGAATTCAACTGTGCGGCTGTGGTTGTCTGACCTTTGGGAGATGTGTGTGCCCGGGAAAGCATAGGCTTCAGGCAGCAAAACACATTTTTGTATTGTGGAGATGTTGGCACATTCTTCGAGGATGCATCGTACCTGGGGAGTTATTAAATAGATATTGACTCATAAAAATAAAACAGTATTTATTTTCAACATACTAGTATCCATTACAAGATGTAGAAGCAACCGCAGACGTTGGTTTAGCTGTTTTGAAATTTTACTAGGTAATATAAGGGAGGCGCCGTGGTCTAGCAGCTAGACATGAGTTCGGGTCCTGACAGGGTCCAGACTTTTTTCCAAAATGACCTTGGCTCCTAGGTCGACCTAGTCTTGAGTGGGTACCAGGTACAGTAAAAGTCAAAGACCCTTTTCCACGCCTTTAGGCGAATAGGGCATATAGGGCTAGACCTATATTTTTATAAACCATCGGCACAAGATGGGTGATGTGGTCAGCATCAGGCTGGCCGTCTTTACTTCCCGGGACTGCACCCGGTACCCACTCAAGGCTGGGTCGACCTGGGAGCCAAGGTCATTTTTGAAAAAAGTCCGGCTCCGCCAGGGAGTGAACCCATGACCTTCCGATCCGCGGCGAGCATCTAGCCGCTCAGCCACGGCGACTCCCTACCAGGTACAGTCCTGGAAAGTAAATGCAGCTAGTGTGATGCTGACAACATCACCCACCAAGTGCTGTTTGGTCTATGAAATATAGGTCGAGCCCTATATGCCAAATACCCCTGAAGGCGGGGAAAAGAGTCCTTTACTTTTACCAGGTAATATAAAGTTCAGTAGTTTGCCTTTGTGTTCTGAATGGTCCATGCTCCATATGATTGTCAGATCAATGCAAAGCAGTCTGCTGTCAAATGGCTGAATCAAACCAGGTATTGCTACTGTGGGTTCTAGTGCCCTATTTTGGGAAAATAAAGAAGGTTGTAAAATGTGACTAATCAGAGGTGCTCCTTTCAAAGTCAGACTGCATCTGCCGGAGATGCAAGGAACCAACAATAGTCTGCATACAAAAATGCCACTTCTGTAAAACTGATTGTGTACACAAAACTCAAGTTCTAGAATGTGACCAAAATCGAGAAGTGGACAAACAACCAGAACTGTCTATTGGAGTTCACCAGCAAGTGAAAGCTAAAGGGAAGATTCTGGAATTATAAAGTACATTTGCAGTGCTTTTGCTGCAGATGCCAGCTACAACAGGTAGTAAGAATGATAAAACCATGTACACAAACTAAGCAATGAAAGGAGCTTAAAGCATAATTTGTTAACAGGTCAGTTACCTGCAAAACACTGGGGAAATAAAGTATATGTTTGCTTTACAAAACACTGGGGAAATAAAGTATATGTTTGCTTTACAAAACACTGGGGAAATAAAGTATATGTTTGCTTTACAAAACACTGGGGAAATAAAGTATATGTTTGCTTTACAAAACACTGGGGAAATAAAGTATATCTTTGCTTTACAAAACACATTACAATAAAAGAAAAATGTGCACTGGCAAGAAATCCCTGTGGCTGCATCTGGATTCGTGAGTTAAGTGATTTGGTGTATTTGTGGGGTTTCGTTTGATTTTTGTATGTGCTGATGAAGGCTCTATAGCCGCAACATTCATGTTTTGTATGTGTTGGTTATATTGTGAAGCACGCTCACATACTTTTCCTTCGGTTTTATATCTTTCCTTGATACAATAAAAAAAAAAGCTCCGGCAACAGATCCTCATCAGAAGAAAGAAAATACATCACACAAATAAAGGAAAATGATACTGAAGTAACTATTACAGTATAATTATTCCTCATGTGGGAACCAGGGCCCCCTCGTGTGGGTTCCAGCCGCCTCCCCCCCCCTTTCCCCGCCGTGGCGGAAAAGAAAAGACAGATTTCCTTAAAAACAAGCATGTCATAAGACTCGACTAATCAGGGTTTTCTTCTATGTCTGAGTGCATCTGCCTGAGAGGCGAGGAATTAACAGTCTGCACACAGATAAACCAGACCTGAAATATGGATGTAAATGCAAAACACAGGTTCTGTAACAAGACTAAAGTCCAGACGTGGACAGACAACCAGAACTTTCCACCAGAATTTACAGCCAGTGAAACAGAAAAAGCATGAATATTATAAAAAATATTTTAGAATTGCTTGGACCATTCAGAATTATAAGATAGAAATAATTAAAACAGATATCACCCTACAGAGGCCACACAGTCACCTGGAAAGTGTAAAGAAAACTGACCAATGGGAGAGAAGAGTGGAAGAGAGAGGTTTCCAGTTTTTTATAAGTATTATAACAGTAATAATAATAAGAAGAAGAATGCCTATTATTAACAATTATAAACCTCATACAACAACAGTCAAATAACTTCCTGGCCTGTTGCCAGAAAACTGGTGGTGCCTTTTGCAATTAATTGTGTGTGCAACTACTGATCTGTTGTAACTGCTGCTTTCATCAATGATGAACTGCTGTTCTAGTGTCAGACTTTTGTGTGGGTACTTCTGACGGCTATCTTATGCATTTACTATTTTTATAAGAGACAGTGATGGACATTCTGTGTGGTTTATGTTGGCACAGGAACGGAGCAACTGGGGGTGACCTTATTGCAATAAGTTGGAACTGCCATTTACTGATTACCTAAAAACTTCATCAAATAGCCACTAACCTCATACAGAGGTGGGGGTATAAATGATTGGATACACAGCACCTTGAGGCAGGAACAGTCCATGCAGTGTCGCACGATCTGTCGGATACCCTCCAAGGACAGCGAGCAGTAGGACACAGAGAAACATGTGATCACGTGCCCATGCGCCTGGTCAGGCAGTCTTGCAATCTGGGATACATTACTAAAAACTTCATCAAATAGCCACTACTCTCATGTGGTGGTATAAATCATACACAGCACCTCAGGCAGGGAAACCATGTGTGGTCGGATAACCAAGGAAGCGAGCAGTAGGACACAGAAAAAATGTGAGGTATGGGTCAGCAGTGTTGCAATCTAGATGCTGATTAACTCCATGGGAACATTTGGAAACATGGTATACTATGTACATGGTCTGAGGTAGAGCCTAGATGTAAGGGCCCTTTGGAAGCAGGTAAACATGATATGCTAGATGAGGTAAGGGCCCTTTGGAGGCAGGTAAATGGAACAGGGGCACAAACAGACCATCATAGTCTGAAGACAAACGGTGAAGCAAGGATGACCAGGGGGTCTGACCAGTGCTTAATGCCAGATGAAGTGGCGAGATGAGCATACAGTTATATTATTGCCGTAGCACTGAAATTGGAATAGGAAGTCTGCTGAAGATGGGGATAGTGTACTCATGGGAACGTCCTGAGTGGTATGATGTTGATTTTTAACTAACAGGCTCATAAAATGTAAAAATAAAGTACCAAAATAATGCCACACTCATATTTTTATAAACCAATCAGCAACTGATGGATGAAGTGGGATAGACCATGCTTGCCGTACTTACTTCCCTGGACATTTCCTGGTACTCATTTCAGGCTGGACGGAGCTGGGAGTTAACGTAAATTAATTTGTTTTAATCCACTTGATGCTGATTCAAACTCAAGACCTTCTGGTCAGAGATGGGCGTAGGCCACTACACCACCACAGCTCCATGACTGCTAGACTGTTACTGATACCATTGGAATCAGAAATCTGTGCTTGCTGCTGAAGAGGTGGATGGACAACTTTTGGGAATGCCCCGAGTGTTATGATGTCAGTTTTCAACTCCTAACTCAGCGCCACAATTGAGAATGTCTGAACCATTTAAACCTTTTTGGGCATTTTTTATACCAGCTTACCATCTGCATAGTTTGGTGATTTATATATTTAAATATTAAGCCAGAATAGCCATAGAGAACAGTTTGATCAGCTACAGCATTGTTGCTGCTTTAAGGTAAAGGGTATGTTAAAGGTGAATTATTTTATATGGTAAAAGGTACGTAGAAGGCAAGTCATTTAAAAAAAACGGTGTGTGGAAAATGAAACATTTGTCATGGTAAATAGTATGGGGAAGGTGTGTCACTTGTTAAGGTAAGTGGTATGTGAAAGGTTTGTTACTTTGAGGTAAATGGTATGTGGAAGGTATGTCACTTATTAAGGTAAATGGTATGTGGAAAGTAAGTCACATCTCAAGGAAATAGTATGTAGAAGTATGTAATTTGTTATGGTAATTTCTCAAGGTGAATGATAGTCAGAAGGTATGTCACTTGTTAAGGTAAATGGTATGTTGAAGGTAAGTCATCTCCTAAAGTGAATGGCAGATAGAAGGAATGCATTCTGTAGAAGATAAATGTGGCAAACTGACCAGTGATGCTAGAGAGCTGAGATTGTTTCTGCTCAGGTTCAGTTCCATTAGATCGGTCAGCCCAGGCCACAACATTAAAGCCCGGAGGTCAATGGATGTCAGGCGACAGTCTCGCAGGTTGAGGTACAAGAGGCCAGAGTCCAGGCTCGACAGCAGGCTGTCCAGGGAGTCTCTGAGTGTGCAGGAAGCCAGGCTGAGCTGCAAAGGAAATGTATACATGATGTAAAAGACAGAACACATTCCAACGCATCAGGAAGAATAACAGGGTTCAGACAACATCTTCTGGATAAGCAGAACGGTGCCCTGAAACCAGTACCATTGCACTTCAACTCTCAGGATCACAATGTGTCTGTGACATGGAGGTGACAGCCATTAAATCTAACTATTCCAGTGATAGAGTCTGCAAGTCTCTTTAGAATCGCTTTATTTTTACCTGGGTATACAAACACCCAGGGGACTGAACTGTCAATACTGGTTTATCAAAAAACCTTGAGTTAAAGCACTTGGCATCCTTGGGCTTTTTATTCTTGAGTCACACGTCATTTCATTCCACTGGCCACATCAGCTAGCCTGCTTTGGGAATATGTTACTGAAGTGATTTTGTGTATTTTAATTATTATTATTATTATTATTCTTCGTCTTCCTCCTCCTCCTCTTCCTCCTCCTCTTCTTCTTCTTCCTCTTCCTCTTCCTCCTCCTTCTTCTTCTTCTTCCCATTCATCGGCTGTAAACTCTGTTGGAAAGTTCTGGTTGTTCATCCACTTCCTGACTGCAGTCCTGCTCCAGAACCTGAGTGTTGTGTGTGCATCCATTTTACAGATCTGCCTAATTTGTATGCAGACTGCTGGTTCCTTGCCTCTCAGGCAGATTCACTTCGAAGAAATCTCCCAATCAGTCGACTCTTACGACATGCTTTTTGGTAGGCAGTGGGTCTATTTTTGTTTTCCCTATAACAGGGTCCCAGGACCCACATAGGGACGTATTTGTGCATTTCTGTTTGATTTTTGTATGTGTTCATGAAGGTTCTGTAGCTGCAGCGTTCACTTTCCATTTGTGTCTGTCATATTGTGAAGCTTGCTGATCTACTTTTCGTTCAGTTTTATATCTTTTCTGGATAAAGTTTGGAAGTGTGGAAAAACCGGCAGTATATTCATAGACTCTCTGTGTGGATTCTGTGGTCTCTTTTTGGGGAGAGAGAAAAAGAACAGATGCACTGCCTGCTAACACGCGTGTTAAAGGGCATTGATGGGTTTGCTGAAATCAGAAGTGTTTGTCTGAAAAGCACAGATATCACAGCCTAGCTGTAAACCACAGCAAAACACATTGTGCCAAATGTCCTGTTAATGGTAAACACAGAAGAAGAATATATATCATCATCATCATAAACCACTTTTGCCATTAAGCGTCGTGGGGAGGTGTAATGACCCTGCTTTGCATGGTCCTCACGATTACATAGTGGCAAGCAGAAAGTCCGTACAACAAGGGACAGCACGAGATACTTGTGCCTAGTCGAGGAAGCGAGGGAAAGCCCGAGCTAGCCTCGTGGTCAGTCGATCATCAGAAGTCAGAGAAGACGGTTGTAGTATTTGAAGATGTCATCTTTATGTTGCGCAAATGTTTAATGTTCGAATATGTCGCGAGTGATAAAGTGTGAATAATGTTTGAACATGTGGAATAAATGGACCAGAATAAACTGACAGAATGTACCAAGAAGCTGAGCGGCGTTTGTGTTGTCAACCCTAGACGTTAAAGCAGTGAAAGTTTTGTAGCAGTAAACATCCAGAGAGTGAGCCGTGGCGAAAGCCAATAGGTAGTAAGCCAAAGTGCAGTCCAAGTCAAGCCAAGGTTTATTACAGGAGGAATAATTTGCGCTTCAGTGCACGTTGGCTGTCACTGTCTATTGTCATGTTGTGAAGGCGTAAAGTGTCTTTAATGTTGTCGATCCATGTTTTCCACCGCCGTCCTCTTGCTTTTGTAGCTGATCTTCTGAGATGTAGTGCCTGTGATGGTAGTTGATCTTGTTGCATTCTAACAAGATGGCCAAACCACTTGATCTGCTGTTTCTCGATGAATCTATTACAAAATGTTGTTCCCACAATTTGCCTAACAGTTTCATTATTCACTCGATCTCGGATGGTTAGGATGGCTGCTTTTCTCAGGCACCTCATCTCGCAGGTGGTGATTTTGCGTATATGGGCCTTAGATAGTGTCCATGTTTGGCACTGGTAAAAAATATATAATATACATAATGTCAGGATGAGATTTAAAGTACTCCCGTTTGGGTTCCTAGACCCCATTATGGGAGGGGAAATGGGATGGAGGAGGGACGGGGGAAGGATCGTAAGAGCTGACTAATTAGAAATGTTTTTTCTGAAGTCGGAGTGCATCTACCTGATATGAGAAGAACCAACAGTCTGCACATAAGCCAGATCCATAAATGGATGTGCATACAAAATTCAGGTTTAGGAACAAGACTAAAGTCCAGAAGTGGATAAACAACTGGAACTTTCTGCTGGAGCTTGCAGCTAGAGAAGAAGAAGTAGAAGTTGAGTTAACTGAGTTGAGTCAAGAATTGACATCACAGCTTTTGGGGGCATTCCCATAGTTGTTCCATCCTCATCTTCAGCAGCCAGCACAGAGTTTCAATACTCATGGTACCGGTCACAATCTAGTTCCATGTCCTTCTTGCCTTTCCTCTGAGTGTTGTCAGCCGGCCAGACCATCTGGTTACACCCAGGTGCCTCATTCTCTCCAGGCCATAATAATCTTCTTTCTCTACTGATTCCGTTGCTTGTTCCCAAAGGGTCTTGACCACATCTGCCTTGTCATGTATCAATTCACAGCAAAGTAGTGCAGATCCAGGTCGAGGGTCATGGAGACTCAGGGCTGTGGTGGCTAAGACTCTCGGACAGTGGAGCACACCAGCTGTTTCCTCTTATGAGTCTCTGGGTCTAGCCTTGTAGGTAAAAAGAGTGCACTCAGGCTCTACTAGGGTGATGGGTTACCTCCTAATTCCACTTCCTAAGCCTGGTAAGAAGAAGAAGAAGAAGAAGAAGAAGATTTAATGTACAGATAAGCTAGACAAACGACACATGACACAAACCCTACCTTCCTGAGTTTGCTCAGTGTCTTGAGAACCCCGCCAATCTGTAACGTGGCCGTCGGCAGGAGTGTCACATGGATGGAGTTGGGCAGAGACAAACACTGAAGCTCTGAGAGCAACGACAGGCCCTCCAGCAGACACTCCCATCTGGAGGAGTCAGAACAGACCTCGCTGTCCTCTATCTCAATGTGGGTTAGGTACTGGATATATAGACAAAGAAGTGTACATCAGATGCGCAGTAGGAAAAATGTATAACAATATCTTTGAAACTGATATGGCTGTTACATTTGTTGAATATGTTCGTCTTCATCTGCGCTGACCTCTGAAAGGGTGGCTGGCGTGTTGTGTTATAGTTTACAGTTAGGCTGTGGTATCTGCGCCATTTAGCCCAACATGTCTGATTTCATCAGATCCTTAATTGGTTACCTTTTATGACACACTTTCAATCCCAGTGGGTTTAGCATCAGAGGCCAAAGGGGTGTTCATTAGTCTTCTAGGTAGGAATTGAAAGAGCATTGGGGCAGTGGGTCTGTTATATTTTCCTCAAAAATGGGTTCTGGAACCCACATGGGTCAACTGGTTGAATACACATTTAAACATAACAGTAAAGTACCCTTTTCTACGCTTTCAGGCACATAGGGCTAGACCTATAATTTATAGACCAATCGGCACTTGGTAGGTGATATCTGTCAGCACCATACCGGCTGCCTTTATCTCCTAGAACTGCACCTAGTACCCACTTAAGGCTGGTGTGTGGATATATATATATATATATATATATATATTATAAACAAAGTAAGTAAAGAGCTCTGCCCACAATAGGTGTGCATTGGGTGCATAGTGTTAGACCATTGTGATTTTAAATTATTCTGAAAGACCAAAAAGCACTTGAAGAAAATGGAGCTAAATGTGATTACATCAGGTGTTTTTTTCCCTTCATATAGTCCATGCAGTGTTGTGTTGATAGTCATGTCTATCCACAAACTTCTGTCTTGTGTACTTTCTATCAATTCTGATACAGAATATCTTCCATGCTATGATGTCAAACTGTCCATCATTTTCTCTCTGTCTTCCTCTGGTTCCCCACCGTCATGATGTACATCAGTTTTCTCTTTCTTATGACACAACCAAAGAATGTAGATTGTCTCCTTCTGATGTAGCAATTGGTTCTCTTTGTGAGTTAGATTTGTTCAAGGCATCTTCGTTACTCTCTTCATGTGTCTAGTGTGTTTTCATCTTTTATCTATAAACCCACACCTACACCACTTCTACATAACTGTTCTAAATTAACCAAATGTTAGTCGCTCACTTTCACACATCAGCATATCCTTTGTACAGATCTTTAGAATTCTATTTCTTCACCCCAACATGAGGTGTAAAAATAGCATATTGTAATTATGCTAACATTCTAAATAAGTTATAAATTATACATAGGTCAAATTTTTAAATCTTATAATAGTTATAAATATATTTTACATTCTAAATATATTATACATTCTAAATACATATTAAATTCTTCACATATTAAAAATCCTAAATAAGTTATAAATTATAAATTTATCAAAATTATAAATGTAATGACAAATATAAATATTTTATATATTCTAACCAGATTATACATTCTTCACATATTATAAATAATATTACAATAAATATGTCAAAATTATAAACCTAATAACAATTATACATATATTATACATTCTAAATATTTTATACATTCTAAATATGTTATAAATTTTTCACATATTATAAATCCTAAATAAGCTGTAAATTATAAATATGTCAAAATGATAGATCTAATAACAATTATAAATACATTATACATTCTAAATATATTATACATTCTAAATTATTTACAGATTATAAATTCTAAATATGTTTATTATTCTATATTTATTATAAACTTAAAATATCTTATACATTTTAACAGGGTAAACACACTGTTCTGCTAAACTATTAGCTTGTTCCTGGCCTCCTGCTGATCTCTACTGATAAGTCACTACTACCTCAACATGTTTCTTGCCTCTGCTTTTGTTATGTGAATAAATATCTGTATAAATATGTTATTTTATTTCATTTTATTCAATCTTATTACTACCAGTTGTGGATGATTAACATTTGTATTTTCAATACTTTTTTCCTACTATTATTATCACTGTTAAATTCATGACTATTTTTGGAGCCTTGCTTTATTTTATTTAATTTTATCCATTCCACATCATCTTTTTAGTTTCTCATGTGACCCTTGGTTGTTGGAGTACTCTCCCCTTTGTTATTGTTTTGTAGTTTAGTCCATGTCGAGAAAGGCCCTGGCCGAAACTTCAATTTGTGTTATTTTGTGCACGTTTTTCTGCGTCCCCATTTCATTAAGCTTTTTAGTCACAGTTCACTGGATTAAGTTTATGTGGAAATCTTTGTTTGTGTGTGTGTGGTTTGGTGTCTAATGTTGCTAGGTAACAAACAACATACTCTTGGCTCCAAGACTTTGTTGAGTAATGAGACTGGCAGGCATACGTCAGGGAGCACCTCCAGCCACGCCCTCTGACATATGTAACGGAATGGGGAGTGGTCTTGCAAGGCTAAACCAATCAGAACATCATCAATGGTCAGCTTGCAGTCTAGCACAATTGTCACTGGACCTATACAGCATAAAAAACATTTCAGTCTCTGAGAATACACGGACACTGTTTGACAAGACACACTGGCTAGTAATGTTTCCAGCAAAAGTAAGTATTTTCTTTTGGAATAAATAAGGTGGATCGAGAGAGGGACCATGATGCATATGCAAAATATGGTAACTACAATACTGCCCAGGCTCTGTACTATGGAAAGAAGGAGTTGCATTTTTCGTGTTTAATTAGGAATCGACATCACAGCACTAGGGATGTTCCCATAATGCTCCATCCCAATCTTCAGCAGCAAGTGCAGAAATCCAATTTCAACAGCACCAGTAGCAGTCTGACTGTATTTCCGCCTCTCCTTTCCCTTGAGTGTTGATCGTCGACCAGATCTCCTGGTAACTCCTCACAGTACCATTCTCTTCAGACCATGATGAACCATCTGTGCTTCCGCACTATTATCTTGCCCCTAAGGGCCCTTACATCTAGCTTGTCATGCATCAGTTCAGCACCAAATTATTCAGAATTAGCCAGTTTATCTGCCTGTTCATTTCCTAATACACTGGCATCTTCTGGGGAAAATATCCAAAGGACGCTAACTACCTGAAGCAATGCTTGCCACTCTTCATGGAGCATACCGGTCTCCCCCTTTCTCAACATACTCTGTATAGAGTTGGGTGTCATATGCCAGACTTTTTTGCACTAAGCGGCATTCATTTTTCGCCCTTCGTCTGGGTACAGTGACCTCAGAACCATATATCTGCCGAGGACTACCCCAGGGTTCTGCAATTTCACCAGTGCTCTTCAATATGTGTACAAGAAATATTGCAGAACTTAAAGCAACAGATGCTGAAAGGATATTCACATTTGCAGATTATATTCTTGCATAAAGGCAGGGGCATAACAGGCAACGGATAGCCCATGAGCTACATGCAAATGTAGAAAAAGTGACTGACTGTCATCAACTAAGAAAAGGTGGCTGTTTTATGGTGCTCTCTGGACAACGAATTGTAAGAGCTGATGTTCTAGCAGGGCATAAACCCACTGCCACCATCAAGTATTTAATTGAAGGTGATTAATCAGGGGTTTGTGGAGAACCAATGTTTTGAGCCAAAATATACAAATATCAGCCTAGCTTTGAACCACAACACAATGTGTCAACCACCCTTTTAAGGGTGAATTCAGAACAGAAATAACTGACTTACCAAAGTTGTGTCCGTGTCGGACCAGAAGGTCAATGTTGGAGTAGATGCAGGAGATTCTGTTCAAGTACCTCTGTACTTTGTCCTTACTGATAGCTGTGGAGAAAGATAACTCTAATTATGATTTCTGCTAAAGAAGATAATCATATTTTCTGTTGTTTTTATGCCAGTAATATCCCATTCAACCCCTGTAGATTACAACTGAGATCTATATATATATATGTCTTTTTATCTGTCTATTTAATTTTATCTGCCCACATGTCTAAGAATCTGCTTATCTATGTAACTACCCATCTGTCTATGCATCCATTTGTCATGCAACTATTTATCTATATTAGTGTATGTTAAATTGAGTTAAAAACTCACATCATAGGATTAAGAACATTCCCATACTTGCTAAATCCCCATCTCCAGTAGCCACAGCAGAGTTCAAATTCTGATGGTACAAGTTGGGAGTCTGACTCTATGTCTGTCTTGCTTTTCTTCTTATTTAAAAAAAAGATTAAAGTCGAGAGGATCGACTTCACTTGACTGGAAGGCTAGCCGCCTGCCAAGGTAGCTCTGGCAATGATTCCCAGGGACCTCCATAAAAATTACACTTGTAAACTGAACGACCAGCAATAAAACAAACCCACAACCCTCTGTCCATCAGATCCCCTGGTCACTCCCTGCTGTGCCCTTCTCTTCACACCATGATTATCTATTTGTGCGTCTGTACTGTTCACTCACTCCCAAAGGGCCTTTATCAAATCTAGCTTGTGTTGCAACAATTTACCATCAAATTGTGCAGTACCAGCCAGCTAGTCTGTCTACTCGTTCATTTTCCAATACACCTGAATACCTTGGAGGGAATATTGAAAGAATGCTACCCAGGATCTCTGAAGCGATGCTTGCCACTCTGCACTGAGCAAACCTGTATCCACCTTTCTCAGCTTTCTGTGACAGTTGGTTACAATCACAACATCTGTGTGGTTTTTAAACCAGCAGAAGGAAACAGTGACTGCCTCCACCTCCATTCTCATACTAGATGTTAAGGTATCACATGCAAATCTTTGTTGCACTAAGGGTTTTCCATTTGCTTTTGCTTTTAATAGGTCTTACTGTATTTGCCCACCTAGTTGTATCTGTCTGAATATTTGTCTGTGGCTCACCCAGAGTTTTCCTGAGAACACTGTGTAGATATCCTGACTGACGTTCTCCAGGTTTCATCCAGACAATGGGTAACCTAAGAAGCTCTTTGCAAAGCCGTCGGTCTGTGGATAGTTAATGCATGGATGAGCTCGGTCATCAACACAAATACATATCATATTATACACAAACATATACATCATCATCACACAAAACAAGAACCTCATTATCATCAACACATACATACCTCACTGTATTTACACACAAACACACAACCTTGCCATATTCAACACACATACACTATTAACATCATCACCAACGACCCCCCCCCCCCTTCCCCCCACAACTGTATATAGAAGTCACAATAATAGTCATCAGTGTTTCTAGTTTGCTGTGATCAGGTCACCCCATACTTGCTCTATTCCAAATGAAATGTCTCTCACTGTCCCATCTAAAAAACTGGTGAAAAAACAATGAGTCTCAGCACAATTGAGAAATATGTGCATTGAGTAAATGCATAAGGCAGTTGCTAGAGGTGCCAAAGCCAACAGTTACCACCAGAAATGCAGTCTGTCATTGACATAAGACCTTGATCATGATAAGTTGACTATTATACACATGTAAAATTATTACATAATGTATTGCAACATCCCATAAGTAAACCGGCTACCCGTCATTTTGAATACCACAACACAACCGCTGCACAAATGAAAGGCATTCCACATGAAAAACACTAACGCTGTCATACACCACACCAGCACTGTCATTTGCCATCCTGTCACTGTCAAACACATACTATAACTGTCATACGTCATACACTCATTGTCATATGCCACACTGTCAATGGCAAACACACACTAGCCCTGTCATATGCAACAATGTCACTGTCAAAAACATACTAGAACTGTCATATGTCATACACTCACTATCATATGCCACACACATACTAGCCCTGTCATATGTCATACACTCACTGTCATATGCCACACTGTCAATGGCAAAGACACACTAGCCCTGTCATATGACATACACTCACTGTCACTGTCAAACACATACTAGCCCTGTCATATGCCATACTGTCATACACCATACTAATACTATTAGAACACCAAACTCACTATTCAAGTACTGACAGATCAACTTCCAAAGACCCAACAATGACATGACCCACCATGGCGGAACCCAGTAAAGTTGACACACTTGAGGCGGGAGTGAGGCTTCAGGTTGAGTAGACCCATAGACAGGCTGTCCATGAGTGACATGGACTCTCCGTTGTCTGCAGGTACTGTTAGATAATCACTGCAGACCATTTCTTCAACAGGAATAAGGCTCTGTATGGGAGAAAGACTAGGTGTTTGTGTAAGGTAGAAGGCTCTGTATGGGAGAAAGATCAGGTGTTTGTGTAAGGGATGAGGCTATGTGTGGGAGAAAGATCAGGTGTTTGCATAAGAGATGAGGCTATGTGTGGGAGAAAGATTACGTGTTTGTGTACAGGGATGAGGCTATGTGTGGGAGAAGGACAAGGTGTTTGTGTACAGGGATGAGGCTCAGTTGGAGAGAAAGACAAGGTGTTGTGTAAGGGATGAGGCTCTGTGAAGGAAAAAGACTAGGTGTTTGTGTTGAGGGATGAGGCTTTGCATGGGAGAAAGATCTGGGGTTTGTGTACAGGGATGAGGCTCTGTGTGAGAGAATTACTAGGTGTTGTGTACAGGAATAAGTCTATGTGTGGGAGAAAGACCAGAGAGATGTAGTTATCTGATGGCACATATTGATTATTTGTATGCTTAACACTTATTGGTGCTCTAGATGCAAATGAACTGTCAAATGACTGGTTGAACCCTTGGATATTCTTACATGCAATTTGAACAGCTTTACTCATTTAATTAAAAAGATTATAAAAGTCAAAATTATGACATAATTGTGTTTGTTCCAGTACCTATACCCTAGGTTTAGTATTGCCATTGTGAATTCCCTCAGACATTAGCTAGAACCTTGTGAAACTAAAAGAGTTAAATACTGAATCAAAAACATCAGAATCAGCATTGTAACACACCTGAATGTGAAGTAGTGTAAAAGGCCAGGTGGAAACCAGGTATGACAAAGCCTTGAGCTGGCGCTGCAGGATGGCTTCGGTCAGCAAGCAGGGGTAGAGGTCGGAGGGCAAAGTGTTGAGTTTCATGGACTCCAACCGCCCAGGGCCAGACACTGTCTGGTACAGACACAGCTCTCGTAACTTCCTGTGGGTACAAGTCAGGTATTATTTGTTCCGGTACAGAGGGTCAGTCAGGTATCATTTGTTCTCTTATTGTTTCTCTTTCTTTCCACACAAACACACACACAAACACAGCTCTCGTAACTTCCTGTGGGTACAGGAGGGAGGTACAGTCAGGTATTATTTGTTCCTGTCTGTCTATTTATTGATTGTAATCTCTGTTTGTTTTTCTTTCTTTCGACACACACACACACACATGCAGGCACGCACATACACACACAACATACTATATGCATATATTTTTTCTGACTTTTGTATATCTTCCCACTTCTAGTCACCCTCCACATTTTATAAGGATTATACCAGGGCTATTCAACAGCTGGCTACCATAGATCTAGCAAGTGGCCCACACAACACTGCTAGTTGTACTGCATTAATGGTCATTAATGAAATACCTTATGTAATAAGAGAGGAAGTCAATTAGTGAGTCACAAATTGGTGTTTAAAAAACAAAACAAAAACAACTAAAGATGATAACTTGAAAACCATTTATTTTTACACATACACTGTCCCTTTAATATTCAATCTAATTTCCACCAACACTGATGTACTTCTAAACCTCATTTTCACTTAACATTTAACTTCTGCGTCATTCACCAAAGTGAGGATTAGGTGGACCAAAAAGGTGGAAATTGCTAGGGACTAAGTCAGGGCTGTTAGGTGGACGTTTCAGAAGTTCCCATTCTAGGTCGTTAACTTTCTCCTGATTTAACCGAGCCGTATATGGTCTGGCATTGCCATGAAGGAGCAGCACTCCTCTGCTCAGCAGTCCTGGACGTTTTCTTCCAATTGCATCATGAGGCATCGATAGAACTTTACAGTATAAATCATCATTCACACTGTCACCTTTTTTTTTTTTTAAATTGATGAAAAGCACTCAGTGACAATTAAAAAAAACTGACAGTATAATCTCCCCTGCTGATGGTGTAACCCTAAATTTTTTAACACAAGGCAAAAAATTATGTTTTCACTGCACTGAAGCAGGCTTTAATTCAGGCTGGTCCACATTAATAATCCTTTTCAGCATGTCTTGTCCTTCATCTGACTATCAAGAGAGATGCTGCAACGACAGGCCTAATCAATTCATTTTGTGTTTGTCCATCATTTGTCTGGGTACCCACCTTGAGCACACTTTCTTAAATTTCAGTCGATCATGCATTATGTTGTATGCTGAATTGTGTCAGCACCCTATTGCAGCTGCTAAAAAGTCAACCATTACTTGCCTGTCACCTCTAATCATCTCCTCCACCTGCTGCATGGATGCGTCTCAACAGGACAACCAGATCGGAGTTCATCAACAATTTAAGAGCACCCTTGAGAAAATTATTGGATCCAGCTATGCACCACTTTACAGGATAAACATTTGTTAGCATAAACAGGATGCATCTCTTGATGAATCTCATTTGCAGCCAGCCCCCCCCCCCCCCCCCCCCACCAAAAAAAAAACAACCACGTTATTCTTTGAGGGCACCCTCCTCAAGTACAGTCACAATTTTGCTTCTGTGTTGTAAATGTGCATGCAACACCTAGCGCCACCCAACGAACGGAGACAATAAAGTTCTATGTTTCTGTCACCTAATGACACCTTTATAAACCACCAACTATATTTTGCTGCCATCCCATAACCATTTGTGACTTACTTATTGACTTAGCCTCGTAATTCTACATGTGTATGGCCAACATATCGTGCCAGACTACTTCCATCAATGACAAACTGCATTTCTGGTGGTGGCTTTTGGCTTTGGTGCCTCTAGCAACAGCTTTATACATTTACTGCATGCACATATTTCTGAACTGTGCCGGGACTAATTGTTTCTTCACCAGTTTTTCAAATGGGGCAGCGAGGACATTTCATTTGATTTTCACTGGCACCAAAATGGAGAAAGTATGAGGTGACCCGACTGTAGCAAAGCTGAAACCTCGACTACGACTAATGATCCTTTTACACTGGGTTCAGTCTCCTGGCCCGTAATGATTCCCATTTTCCACATTTTGGCCCCTCAGCAAACTTAGTTGAATAGCCCTGATGTCCCTGGTATTTGCAGTCACAGACAAAACATACCCAGACAAGACCAACAGACAATGTTTGATCACATGCAATGGCATTTGAAAACTATTTGCAGTAGTATGTGTATACTGATGAGTGTATGTGTTTGTGTAATTATGTAAATGCATTGGTTAGATAGTCTTTCCACTTCGGCCTAGGGCAGCACATAGGACAGAGGTCACAGCTGTCTATGTCTGGCGGTTCGTTGCCACCTGTTTTAGGTCCTAATGTTTACTAGGCCCATGGTTGAGCCTTCCCTGATGACAGTTGAATACAGGATCTCTCTGGGTCTTCCCCGTTTTCTCTTCTCTTCTGGTATCCATATGAGGGCTTGATGGGGGAGTCTGGTATCCATATGAGGGCTTGATGGGGGAGTCTGGTATCCATATGAGGGCTTGATGGGGGAGTCTGGTATCCATATGAGGGCTTGATGGGGGAGTCTGGTGTCCATATGAGGGCTTGATGGGGGAGTCTGGTATCCATATGAGGGCTTGATGGGGGAGTCTGGTATCCATATGAGTCTGGCATATGAGGGCTTGATGGGGGAGTCTGGATGGGGGAGGTCTGGTGTCCCATAGGGCTTGATGGGGGAGTCTGGTATCCATATGATATGGGGGAGTCCTGGTATCCATATGAGGGCTTGATGGGGAGTCTGGTATCCATATGAGGGCTTGATGGGGGAGTCTGGTATCCATATGAGGGCTTGATGGGGGAGTCTGGTATCCATATGAGGGCTTGATGGGGGAGTCTGGTGTCCATATGAGGGCTTGATGGGGGAGTCTGGTATCCATATGAGGGCTTGATGGGGGAGTCTGATGGGGGAGGTCTGGTATCCATATGAGGGCTTGATGGGGGAGTCTGGTATCCATATGAGGGCTTGATGGGGGAGTCTGGTATCCATATGAGGGCTTGATGGGGGAGTCTGGTGTTATCCTTCTCCTTCTTCTTTTGTCAAAATCTGCTTGTGCCGCTAGGCGTCGCAGTCCATCAGATGATCGGCAACCGAGCCAGGACGCGCTCAGTCGCTTCATATGCCGTGATGTTATGAAGTCTCAAGTTGTCCTTGACTCCTTCAATCCATCTTCTTCTTGGTCTTCCCCTGCCTCTTGGTGTTTCGATTTTCATGTTGTATGCTCTTGATGCTGGCATCGTTGGTTCCATTCTCATTAGGTGACCAAACCATTTCATTCTTTGCTTCTCAATAAATTTAACGATGGGTATGGTTCCAATAGTTCTTGTAATCACATCGTTTCTCACTCTATCTCTTCTGGTTTTATTCGCAGCCATTCTCAAACATCTCATTTCACAGGTGGTTAGTCTTCTCTCGTGTTCTTTATGTTAATGTCTAAGTCTGACATTGATAACCTAATGTCGGTATAAAGATTGTATTTATAATTTGTCTTTTTATCTCAGCTGGGACAGCAGGGTGTTTTAAAATTGGGGCAAGCTGGTATGCGACATTGTTGGCTTGTTGGATTCTTGCTTCGATCTCTCTGTCTATTTTACCATTGGATGTAAAGATACTTCCCAAGTATTTAAATTCTTGCACTTGTTTTAGGCTGTGATCTAGAATCTTTATGTTGATGGTCTGTTGCTCTCTAATGCTCATGACTTCTGTCTTTTCTGGTGTTATCCAATCTTATCCATTTTGAGTGTATGGTTGATGTAGTTCAAGCAGTGCTTTCTTATAAAATTTGCCTTGCTTGGTCTCTTGTCTTTTTGCTTATTGGATCTGTCCTGTGGAGATTAAGTATTTTTTAAAGACTTTTGCTCACAAAACTGTCTACTTGTTGATCTACAGCTACCATTGCTTTCCAGCTCTCGCATCCATGAGTTAGCACTAGAATCATAAAAGAGTTGAAGATCTCAAGTTTTGTGTGTTTGTCTTCCAGCTGTTTGACGACAGTTGGTTAAACGCACTAGACGCCAGTGCCATTCTAGATGATATTTCTGCGTCACTGTGTGTACCAGTGGTGACGCACGCATGTAACGGCTGTAATCAGTGTTTACATTTTAAATTGCCATTGAAAAAAGTATTTCACCATTTTTTATTACTGTGTATGATTTATTACAAATACAAAACTCAATTTACATCTCGAACATAGCGAAAAGAAGGCTTGCTGCACGCTTATGGCACTTAGATAGAAACAGTGATTTAAGGGAGAGGAAAGTATTATGTGACACAATCTCTAGTGTAACCGTTACATTCTAACACTTACACATGTCAACTTATCAAGCCTCACCGCTAGTGTGTGTATATCAGTATAGTATTATATCTTGGTATGCTGTCTGTATGAATATGTAACTGTATGAATGTGTACACTGTATGAATCTATACACGGATATGTAGGTATGTGACGTGAACTGTTTGTGAAGTCTGTGTGTTTGTGAATCTGAGTATATGTTAGTGTAGCAGAAAGAAGGACAATATCTATAAAAGCAGTATATAGCATAGAACTGCGCTCGCCCACTCACACACACACGCATGCACACACACACACACTCACACATACACAGCAGTTTCATTGCTTAATTTGTCATGAGGAAATAACTACCACTGACCTGGGAGAACAGATTGCCTCCCCCTTAATATCTTTCACAAATCCCAGCTGCCCCTGGGAATCTCTGTATAGATGATACACAAAATGAGCCTCTGTCATCCACAAGGGGTGACGTCTCAGACTGGCCTCGTAGCTGTCATAGTCGCTGCTGCTGTCGCTGTTCTGGTTGAAATCGGCTGTAATGTAGTCCACTTCATTCATAGCATCCGTCATCGCCATGACGACAAGTTTAGTTGTGACTGGACGGCTGATTGGCTGGTTACATTGCCGAAGTGGACTACGATGTTTGACAATTCTGTAAATGTTCTGCTTTGATCAACCATTCGTCCGTTTCTGATCCTGTATTTTATTTTAAGGGGGGAAAAGAGGGGGGGGGGGGGGGGGGTGTAAAAACAAGAATAGGATTATAAATGTGCATTGTTTACAACTAGGCTGTTTTTAGGTGTAGAATATTTTTTTTATGTCTATAACATTTCATTACTTCTAACAGAAAGCAGATACAAAGATTTTTTTTTACAGCAGAAAAAGAAAAGTTATGGTAATTAGAAAGATAATACGCCCTCCTCAAGACAACACCAAACTTAATGAAACAGCTCTGAAGCAAGTCAATACACTAAAGTACTTGAGTACACTAACAGGCAGACGGAAGATATATTAAAGAAGTTTAAATGCAGAATTGTTAAACAAAATGCAGGATTTTACAGAACAAAGAACAGACAATGCAATCTTGCTTGTTAACTGTTATGAGGAAGAGAATTCTTTAGAGCTATGTATAGTAAAAACTTAACTTAAACTCATTTAGGAAGAATACTCTGTTAAAACGAAAATAACTTTGGTTCTACAAAGACCTATTATTGTTATGAGTTCCAGTTAGCACCAATTTGATTTAACATGAACTCAATCTTTGATTTCTTGGACTTCACGTTAACAAGTTTTTACTGTAGTTCCAATCTTGTTTTACGGAACACAAACTTTGGCCCCTTGGATTTCATAATAACAAGGTTTTATACTGTAGTTCCAATCTTGATATATGGAAGTCAATCAGGGACAGGTGGTCAATAGGCCAAAAAGTATGTGGAAGGGGCTGAGATGAGATTTTATAGATGAATGATGAGAACAGACTGGACAGATTCAACAAATCAATGAAGATTTCTTGAAAGAAATGAATTCATGAAGAGAACTGATTGCCCACATCAGAAAGAGACAATCTACATTATTTGGTCATGTCATAAGGAGAAGAAAACTGGAAATCATCGTTACAGTGGAAAAATAAAGGAGGAAATGAAGCAGAGGGAGACAGAGAAAATATGTTGAACAGTCTGACATAATGAAAGGGGAGATAACTGTGCCTAAATGACTGAACTGACAAATTGTGAAACAGAAGGATGTGGATAAAATGAGTACCAACACCAAATAGCATAGGCTACAGGAAACATAATTTTTCATTGGAAACTTAAGTGAATAAGATAAAGAAGACATTGGTAAGCTGCAAGTGACAGCTCCACTGAGATATAAGGGGCAGACAAAGAACTGTTCATATCAAAATGAAAATAAAACAAAGCAACAACAATAGAAAAATTTACTTTGGGCTCAAGTGGCCATTTATGATAAATGTCAAACAGGGGCAAAGAGATATTTTTTATAAAGCTAGAGGGCAAAGTAGCTTCTCTACAAGTTTTCGAGGACTACCCATCCCCACTCTGAAATTTTTCTTCTTCTTCTTCTTCTTATTATTATTATGTTGATTATGATTATTATTTTTATTATTTTTATTATTTATAAATTCTTCTTCTTATAAAATACAATTGCTGTGTAAAAGATGAAGGTTTGGAAGGTCTGAAGGTAAGACGGGCCAGAGTGCCCAATTTGTGACCCTTTAAAAATAAAATTAATTTGTTTATTCAATCTTCTTCTTCTGTGTGTTCACCAGCTCTTAACTCTGGCAAAAAGTTCTACTGTTTCATCCATGTTTGGACTTGAGTCATGTTTCTGAACCTGGGTGTTGTGTGCATATCCGCTTTACAATTATAGATTTTTTGTTTGTTTGCAGACTGTTGTTTCATGGGGTGGGGGGGGGGGGGGGGGGGTTGCACTAGGCAATCAGGTACAGACTGTAAATTGCTTATATAATATTCCAGAATATTCAATCAACTGACGCAGGAGATCAGTGTACGACTTCTGCTGTCAGTCTGCATAAACTATACTGAATCCCTGATCAGGTCCCCTCAGCCTACTTCATACCTCCTCCCCAAACCCCCATGTATAGAGGTACTTCTTTTCTGAAATTGTTCTTTTTTACGTATTATTTTCAAATAACATTTATTTACTTATGCATATTATCATTAGGCATTTAAACAAGGCTTAAGTCCCTGAGCCCACAACCGGCCCCCTTGTCTTCGCCTGGAAGATCGGTTATGGGGCTGGCGGAGCCACCTAATGTTTTCTTTGTGTCGCCCCTGACAGTATATTCACACGTTCCCACAGACACAGTAAGCCAGAGGCATCAGTGTCTGCTGTAGAATTCCAAATGATAACCTTGTTTCCAGGACTGACAACAGGATCTGTTCTCATTAGCCTAACATCCGACAAGCGATTCTTTGGTGTACAGTTGATCAGTGAACGAGTCCTTATCAACAACTTCTGTTTCCCCAATCTCACAACAGCTAGTACATTCCTAACTTTCGCAGACAAAGACTTTCTTGCAGACATTACGTGCACGTGTCAAGGTAATCCCTGAAACGCAAATTGATCTGGATTTGTTCCAACCTGGATGACCTTTCACCTCCTCACCTTCAAATACTCGTATTTTGGCTCCTTTACTTCAAGCCATAAACAATGAACAATGTTACCTATGATTAACTATGAAAGTTTAACAGTTATGTAAACAATTACCTCATATACTTGTTGACTGAGCTCTGCTTCTGTTCACCAAGTTTCAGTAATATCTGGGGTTGCGTGTTGAAAGCTGAGTAACTGAGACAACCACAACAGACAATTACACACCGAGTGAGGTAGGCAGAAGACACAGTGACTGGAACAACACATGTAAACAAGCGATGTGTCAAGGCTAACCTGGCGCTCTCTAGCGATCTTTTGGCAGCGTTGGGGCGATGCTTTTCCTCTTCCTCTTTGTGAGGCAGCAAGCGAGGGTGCTTTGTCTGCCTCGTGACGAGAGAGGCGTGGGTTCGGCGTGAGGTGTGCACGATTCTGGCAACAAGGATTTAGTTTTTCAGACAGGCGGACAGGAACTGGGCGCTTACGGGTCTTTAGAAGTTTCCTACACTAGAATCTGACCGACGATCAACACTTAAGGAAAGAGGTGGCCCAGCTCACTAGCGTAGCTGGTTAAACCTGACTTCGCGGCGACCCGGTGACGAACTCCTTGTGGTCTGAGTTCACCCCGGGGGTAGGCAGAAAAGCCACATCTATCATGGAATCAATCGGCTCTGTGCCTAAGTCGATGCGAACGCTTCGTAATGCTGGGGTGCCGGGTTCGATCCCAGCTGCGGGCCATGTGCCTTGCGTTGGTTTCGATAGTGGTATCAAGAAAGCCGAACGTCCAGAAAGCAATGGCAAACTACCGGACGTAAATTTGCCTAGAAAAACCACACAACAGCCAGGGGCTGTTGGGGTTGGTTCTGCAACGTCCTGTAAAGGATACGTAACTAACCATCATGGAATCAAGACCGAAGTGTTGCGATATCCAAAGTACCGAGCCAAAGGGTTAACAACTCATGGTTTCTGGATATTTAAAGGTAAGAGGTGAGACGATTATACATTGACACTGTACTGGATACTATCGGACTTGGAACTCTGCGCTTGCTGCTGAAGATGGGAACGGAGCGCTTGCGGGAATGTCTAGAATGGTGTCGATTCCTAATTCAACATTATAATTGACTAGAATATCAAATTGCCAGGTGGAATAGCTACAGCTTGTCGCTGCTAGTTCTCTGGACTAACGTGATTGGCCAGCACTCAGAGCATTTGTTCTGGTGGTTTGCAGTACCGGCACCTTTTAATGCTTGTCTCCTAGCACTTCTGTAATAGACACCCTGTCTCCTAGCACTTCTGTATCCTAGCACTTCTGTAATAGACACTCTGTGACTAATACCGACAAATTACTGTTTACATTTAATTTTCTTGTTGTACATTTATTTCGTGCTTCCAGTCAAACAGGCGCACAACTCTGTCATCCTATCTTTATAAACAGGGAATCATATCATACAGTATCCCCGCTTCATCCTCATCAAGGACCTTGCCAACTGGTGCAGGCATTGATGCATCTCCTTTGTGTTCTAGAAGAATTCCACTGATTATATTCCTCCATGCTACTGTCTTAAGCCATCCATAATCATTTCTCTTGGTCTGCCTCTTCTACCAGGGAACTTTGTCTCCTTGTCATTGTTGTATATAATGATACTTTCTTTAGCCATTTCCAGGCACTTACTGTTAGTTATTCTGGCAGTCCAAGGTATTCGCGACATTCTTCTCAAGAACCACACCTCAGTCGCCCCAGAACTCTTCTTGTTTGCTCACTTCCCCGCATACAGCTGTATAAGTCCTTCCCGGGATTAGGTTAGTAGCCTATCCTGTACAGGACATTGTAGAATCAACCCCAGCATTTTTTGGCTGTTATTGTTTTTCTAGGCAAATTTACGTCCAGTAGTTTGCTATTTCTGCTGACGGTCGGCTCCTCCATACCACTGTCGAAACTAACGCAAGGCCCGCCGCAGGGATCTGACACGGCATTCCGGCAAAACTAAGCGCTTTTGCAACGCCTAAGCCACAGACACGCCTCCCCGGGGACGAAAGAGAAAACGACTAGCGGCTAGCTCCAACTGTCTAGTAATATCTACCAGGGTGAAGGGTCTGCGTGGTCCTAGGCATGATGTCCGCCTCGAGGGCTAAAGGTTCCGGGTTCAATCCTTGGTAAAGGCTGGGATTTTTTTCACGTGAACTTGTACTTCTAGTAACTCCCCCTGGTCTTTGGGCAGTAAGATCGGACTCACGTGTGCATTGTTGCGCACGTAAAAAATCCCTTGGCAGTTAGAAATCGAAAAGAGAAGCCCCACGGCGCTGCCCGGGCAAAATTTGGAGTTGAAAATCCACCTAAAGTACTTCAGGATCCTCAGCGGTGCTACAGAGCCTGTGCACTGTGCTGGGCTTCTTCGGATTCAGACTTGAGTTTGAAGAAGAACGGAACACTTATAGGATACTAT